CGACCTGAAATGAACTGTCCCCTCCCCACTAAAATCAGCCCCATTGAAGGAGGAATGGAACACACAAAGCCTTTTGGAAGTTCTGCCTGCCATTTTGTCTTTTTTCAACAGAGATGGAAGGAAATTCTTGATTGGGCATTGCCCTCATGGCTTGTGTTATTATACATTGTTTGTAGAAAATAAAGACAAATACACCATCGCAAGGAACACAATTTGACATTGCTCTTGAAAATCATGGATTGTGTACGCAGCCTACAGATTAGTATAATCTGCTAGCAGATAACTAACTAATCTGCAGGTTGCGCTGATTTCAAAAACTAACTGTAGGCTCTCAGCCAATGAGGAGATGGATTGTGAGAAACCGTATAATAATTTTACTTATTGTACCTTGGTCATCATGCTCAGCTGTCCAGACCATTAAATCAATGCTGGCTGAAACAGTCTGAAGCTTCCAGGGTAATGTAGCAGAGAGATTCTCTGATTTCTTCTGAAATTCAGCTTTAACTGTTGTGAATACCATCTTTCCTACATCATGGGCTTTGCTTGCAACACTCTTGGAAAGACCTGCATATTGGCGACAAATAATATCAAGTTTAACCTAAAAGAACTACAATTCTCCAAACTCTAGACTCTAAACTTAAATTCCACAAAAACCTCTAGACTTCTAGTATGACTAACACATCTGTGAATAAAATCCTGTGATTATGTATAGCTCCGTCATGGAGAGATGAAAATTAGTGGTAAAAAAATCAGTTGGAAAGTATTGAACCTTCCACCACAACACAAGGGATACCTTGGGTTAAGAAACAATATACATGTAATATTAAATTTATACCTGGTGTATACTGACAGAGATCTCTCAGTAGAGTCATCATAGACAGCAGGATAACCTCACTAAACATCTGGAAAGGAAACTTCCTCAGTAGTACCCCAGCCTATCAAACATGGGAAAAAAGAAAGGAGTGAATCTATGTCAGTGAAATTATGAATCTTTCACTAATAGTAGCCAGTTACTGATAATAATTTTATGGTCAGTAACTCTCTAAAGTTTGAACATTTTATTGTCATTTAATGTGGTCTACAAGAGTATAGACAATAGAAAACATTTATTTATTTATTTGTTAATAATAAAATAGACAAACTGTAACTTATTACAAGAACAGTACCTGGAGACAGTCTGACAATAGAAGGTCTAATCCTTGAAGAACTTGCATGTTAATCAATTGTTCAACCTGTTCAGAAAAATAATATTAATCATCAAATGCCTCAACACTTTGGGTTCCATGAGTGATCAACATCAATTTTCTCCTGCTAAATATCGCAGGAGATGACACAGGAGCTAACAAATATGCGATGATAATGCAAGTTGCTGAGGACATGATACAAAGCACCTAATTATCATGGCTTATATGTAGGCATGTCAGGCAGGTTGTTCATTAGGTATCAGACATCAGAGAATTCTCCATTTACTACGCGGAATTCTCCGGCAAACGTTCAATAACCAATGACTAATTTTTATCTACACGTGGAGCCTGTTTCAAAATGTTCTCCTGTAACGTTACACCTTTCTCGTGCTACCAGAATTCTTAAAGAAAACCCTGGTCAGAGGCCGTGTTAGGGTAAAATTCCGCCAAGTAACATGGCCTTGAAACAGTGACATACAACTCTATGAAAAGGTGACACAAGACATAAAGATGGGTTAAATACCAACAGTGACATGGCCTACTCCTTAAAACACAAAACCATGATATTTGAAACTCAGACTAGAGACGTACATATCCCGCCTAAGAAGCCTTTATGTCAGAGTAGAACATATCCAATGCCTAATATGACTGTACAAGAATATTAAAGTCATTTCTAATAACTGGTCTATTGAAGATGAAGAAATGATCGTCGCAGTGAACGCAATTTATGCAATTGCGTAAATCTGATCATTTCTTCATCTTCATTTCATTTCCGCAGTTCATATATGATTTATTTCATATATCATTAACAACTGGTCTATTATAGACTACTCCTGCCAAGGACTTACTTTCATTATGAGATTATTTAGTTGAGTATCAGATAAATGATAACTGTCATCTCTGTTGCCCTGTGGAAAGCTTAGAAATCGTCTTGGTGCAGCACGACTCAGTGCCCTTGGTAACTGAGGTTCATCAGGAGTGCTGTGACCAGAGTGTTTTGGAAACAGTAGTGTTGTAATCAGGGAGGGGTCAGACACATAGACACTGGACACTCCAAGAGCTTGGGCCACACCAAGGAGAAGGGGGACAGTAGTGCAACAAAAAGTAGCTGTAAACACCAACAAAGTGGTGATAAAAAACAATATTCTATTATTAATAACTCATTTGTGAGCAAAATAGTTGGTGGTGAATGTTTCATGATAGAGAGAAAGTAACATTCAACACTCACATCAAGACTCATTCTAGTCAAGACACTTTCCCCACAACAACATAAATCTCCCCTTCTCTACAGTTTTCTACAAAGCATTGTAGAACTAAACTGCACCCTCTCCACCAGGGGCTGGTTGCTCGAAGCCTGGTTAGCACTAACCGTTGGTTAAGAGGTATCAAAATGTATAGGTTTCCATGGTATTTAACGCTGGTTCGCACTAACCATGCTTCGAGCAACCCGGGCCAGTATGGTACTGTATCACTGATGAAGGAGATGTATGCTGACTTACTTTTGCCTTTGGGTGCCAAGACAGGGCCATTCCATTTTATATCCACACCCTTTAGATAGATGAGATTTTCTGAAGGGGTCAATACTAGGAGACAGGTTTTTCTGAGGGGGTTGTTGTCCAAAATGCCTATTTCTGAAGAGTGCAAATACCAAGAATAAATTTCTGAAGGGAGAGCTACATCATCAACATAGGCATGGTGAACACAGTTTTTCTTATGAAGAATACTGTAAAAGTCCTTTTCTGAAGGGGACAAATAACATCACCATATTTTCTGAAAGGTACATAAAAAAATAATACTATTTCTGAGGGTATCTAAGAATAAATGTGAAGGTAATAACCCCAGGAAAAAAGTCCCTCATCTATAGGGGGAGTGTGCGGATATTCAATAGAATTGCCCACAATACAACTGTTTGCACAAACATAAATGCTGGCATCAAAGGTTCAACCAATGTGAGCTTCCTACAATTTTCTGGTATACCACATTGTCCTAAAGAGTTCTCCAGAAAATTATTTTTAACAAGGAAGAATTATAATATTATTGAAGTACATGTAAATAGATTTGATTGAAAGGTGCCCAAACATGGGGGGGTAGGTATAAGAGGCAGTATCACCCCATTCCTTTGGAAGAGTCTGTGGACCTACAACCCTGCAGGCAGAGCCTCCTTTTGTGTTCTTCCTGATTGAAGAGCAGAAGAGGAGAATCTGCCTGAATCGTGTCAATCCTTTGAAGTAGCCACAGCCTGAATACCCTGCAAGCAGAGGCCCTTCGATCTTCCTAGATAAGTCCGGAAGAGGTAGAGGAAGGGACCTTCCTCTTCCCGGCTTGTCTAGGAAGATCAAAGGGCCTCTGCTCACAGGGTACAGCCCAAACTTCTGGACTAGTCAATTTTGTATTCCCTCGTCAAACTGAGTTTTTGAGTGCAAGCATCTGCCTATTGATAAACCGATGTTCACAACAGAGCCCACAGTGTCAATGGCAAGGATATTAGGCCTGGGTTTGAAGCTGTATCCTAGTAACATGCAATGCAAGCTCAAGAAAGATCATATCCTGTTTCATACAGAGTCTCTTCTGGCAGGGTGAGGACCTCCATGGTAAAACTTGTAATTTAGGGGCCTCTGAAAAGTGCATTTCAGTGGATTTTTAGTGACTAGGGAGAGCAGGAGAAACCTGCCCATTGGACAAAAGTGTCTCAGCTACTTCATCGCATACTTAAGCTACAGTATCACCTTTCTTAGGATCTGTCAGGTCTTTATAACCACAGCATTGGTCAATAAGAGTATCAAACAGACTGAGCTGGAGTTTGATAATGTCCCCATCCAAGCTGTTATCTTGCGCAGCTAATCCACTCATAAGTGTTACAAAACAGAATGCAAACTCCCCTGCTAAAGGGCTCTTTGAGAAGTGTACAGGCTCCCTAGCTTCCAGCCACCTTGCTGTTGGAAGACCTTTGAGTACATCTACCAAGTAAGGCATTATTTTCTCTTTGTATTGTAAGCCTGAGTGAAGTGCAAACAACCCCAGTGCCAGAATTCCATCAGTACCACGTTGATCGAGGATAAAGACATCAGAAGATGAAGACGGACTTGCAGGACAAAGACGACTGAGCTTTTTAACCTAAAAAAAGGCAAGAGTTTCATGTTATATTTGTAGGTTGGAGTCACAATGATTCTGTACTCTGAATGCAAGAGTGCTTTAAAATGTAGCAGTATACTTAGCCAGACAGCCTCTGTCTTTTTTTACTTCCTTAGAAAACGGGGAAAAAAGCTCAAATCTTCAAATTGGCATTCAAGGGGGAAAACAACGAGCTTAATTTGCTAAACAGCTGATGTACGTGTCTCATTCATCTGAGACACTAAGGAGCCCATTACACACAATTTGTCCTTTACTTAAAATGGCGATCTTCACAGTGATAACTATGGCATACTATCTTACCTTTTCCCAAGGTGCTGGATTCAAAGCTGCCAGAGAACAGGCTAAGTGCCGCAAAGACTCTGCTGGTCTTGGACCATCGACCGCCATTTTGTTTGTATTTTGTCGTACTCGTCGTAAATACTCGGAATCGCTCGGAAGCAGATCGTGTTCATCATCGTGATTGTCTAACTACTTCCCTCTCATTTCCGGAAATTTGGTGCATTGTAACTTTGTGTATTGTTATACCGCGCGGAAAATCTGAAACACTGAAAAAAAGGTAGAAGAGAAACTAAAGTACAGCTTAGAGTGAAAAAAAGGAGCTTTTCGAACACAAAAAAGCACCTAAAAATGCTTTCAAAGGGGTAGTTTGAAATGCTAGCCTACGTCTCACTGAGCGGCACACCGGGAGACGGCTGAAAGGGCTAACATTTCAGACTAGTTTCGAACTAGTTTTTAAACTGTTTGGTGATCGAGAGGAGTGCCATCTTGAGAAAATCTATTGCATCAGTCCAAAGAGCCCAAGTGCGTCTACAAAGGTAACATAGCCTATCATTACGTTTCCGGTAATTCCCCGAAACTGTGAATGCATCAGATTAAAACATAACATTTTTAAGAACTTACCATATTATAATTTCTACCTCCTCGACCGTGACTCGTGTGTGTTCATGGGCAGGCAGTCTCAAAGGGCTGTTTTGAAGAAACCCTATTTTTATGGTTCCCTTAACAGTCCCGAAGCAGCAAATGACATGACATCTTCCTTCTCAGTTGCGTTGTACTCAAATGAGGGAGTGGTGAATTGAAACATTCAGCGACTGATGGCTTCTCGTATGCAAAGTAAGAAACATTTAAAGCAACACACATGTTATTGGTTTTTATTTTAACATTCCCGCAAAGTTTCGTTGGCAAACTGTGTAGCACAATCTTTTTCATCTCGAAAACGCGTAACTTCTCCCGCAGTCGTACTGTACCACTACGGTATAACAATCTCTTTTATTGATTTCTTTATACTGATTCATCGCCCTCACACGGGAATCCCATTTTCAATTTCATTACACTTCCGCTTCAGTAACTCTTGTAATGGCGCTTTCGGAGACAAATAATTACGGTTTGTTTTCTCATCAGTCCTAATGTTTCGTCTGTTTTTACTCGGCTTGTATTTCATGGCTTTATTACTTCTCTTCGGTATTGTTGATATAACACATTGCGTTGGAACATTTTAGACTCGGCAACGAGTAACGTGTGCCCGTTTCTTCTTAACGTTAATACGTTCTGTACTTGCACGGGGCTATTTCACGCGCGAGTACGAACTACAGTGTTCTTGATTCCACTCAGAATTTATGACGATTTCCTCGATAAACCGCGCTTCTACATCGCCGTTTATAAGATTACATACGCGAATGTGATATAGCACCCAAACTCGCCATTAAATCGAACAGAAAACGGCCTTGCAATTAAAAAACAGGTCTTAAAAACATTCTGAACGGTTTAGTCATTTGGATTTCTGGGTTCTGATAATATTGGAACGCTGCTCACCATTTGTGGCTTGTTCTGTCACCTTAAAACCCTGAAGCTGGCTTTTGATTTGAAACGAAAGGGATTTAGACTTTTCAGTAGTCAATAGACCTTTTTATCGATACGACGGCCATATTGAATTAGTTCGATTTAAGGAGTATTATAGGGTGCCCAGGGGGCATGAGCACATTTTGCTTGTATTTTCGAGTGCTTTTCGGGACATTTTTTCTTTACGTTTTCTTAGAATAAGATTGTAATGGGAAAAAAGATCCTTGTGCCGTGTTTGGATGTAACAATGATCGCCTTTTTCTAGTTTAGTATTAGAAATATGAATATGCTGAATTTTGCTGATGATGCATTGTTATATGGCACAATTTGTTGTGATGAAGACACAGCCGATCTCCAAGAGGACTTGTATAGATTAGAAGATTGGCAACAAAAGTGGAAGATGGAATTTAATCCTTCAAAGTGCAAGATCATGTGTTTTACAACCAGGAGAGATCCACCAAAGCGGGAATAGGTATTTTGTGGACAAATCCTAGAAGAAGTGGAATCTCACCCTTATCTGGGGGTAGTGCTCGATAACAAAATGAGGTGGTCACCACACATTGAAACAATCACATCTAGGGCAAATAAGGTCTTGGGACTTATCAAGCGAAATCTGTGGAATTGTCCAAAGTCAGTGAAAGAAACCGTGTATATGACACTTGTGAGGCCAAAACTCCAGTATGCCTGTAGCGCATGGGACCCACATTACCAGAAAGATAAAGCCGCTCTAGAAAGGGTACAGCGGAAAGCAGCCCGCTTTGTCACTGGAAATTACGATCGAACAACGAGCGTGACGGAAATGCTGCAAGACCTACGTGGGACACACTTGAAACAATGAGAAGACACGCAAGGCTCTCCACTATATACAAGATGTGCCACGGCCTCCTAGATGGGGACTGGGGGGATTATTTGATAACAAGCAAAGAAAGGAGAACCCGGGGAAGCCATGATTTTAAATTTATTGTACCGAAAGGACATAAAGATATTTTTAGATTTTCTTTTTTTCCCAGGACAATAACTGAATGGAACAAACTTCCAGAAAAAATTGTTTCCAGCCAATCCCTCTGTATTTTTAAAAGCAAACTAATTTAGTTTTCTTTTTATCAGTAGTTTTTTAATAGTTTTTAATAGTTTTTTAATAGTTTTTAATAGTTTTGTATATTCTAGTATAGTTTTATTTATTATTATCTTAGAGTTGGCGTGATGTCCCAAACGATTTTGCCGACATAACGATATTTAGATTTAGATTTAGATTTAGATATGGTCTTTCACTGTATATTTCTCGGCAAAAAGGCGATCATTATTACATCCAAACAAGGCACAAGGATCTTTTTTCCCATTACAATCTTATTCTAGAAAACTTTACTAAAAAATGTCCCAAAAAAGCACGAAAATACAAACGAAATGTGCTCATGCCCCCTGGGCATCCTATAATACTCCTTAAATCAAATTAATTCAATATGGCCGCCCTCGGTAAAAAGGTCTATTCAACGGATATGTTTTGCTGTGCGAAACGGATTGCGTGTGTGTGTGTTTTTAATTTCTTCCTCTCAAATCCCGTGACATGACGATTACTATAATCTTTATCAGGTGGCGTGATGTCGATCAAGCAAGGCGTGCCCGAAGATCATGAACTTCTCAGTCTTGCTGGGGAAATCTTAGTGATCTGGAAAAAACTTGGTTTGGTTTTGGGTTTGACAAATTCGCAGTTAGATGAAATCGAAGCAGATAATTTGAAAGGAGTGGATAGGAGTTATGCTATGCTAAGAAAATGGAAGGAATCACGTGGCTCTGAAGCCAGTTATCAACGACTTGCTGAAGGACTTGATCACAAAGCAGTCAGTAGGCGTGACTTAATAGAGGCATACTACCCAGACAAAGGTTAGTGTTGAGCATGCGCAAGTAACACCTTGCGCCCTTTGCCACATTCGCTCGATCCGCCGCGCAGACCAAAAGACCCAAAAGGATCGCAGCTCTGGAAAAGAGAATGCAGTTGCCATGGCTCTATGTACGTGTCCGCCATGTTGAGAGTACTCAGGAATGCACTTTTTGAAGCCTTGGAAAAGTAACTGCATGAGACTGAGTCGGAAGAGCACCATGGGACTGTTTTGAGACAGGAATTTGGATCCAGTTTTCCCGCACAACCTCGTAAAAGCCTGTAAAAATGGCGAAAAGTCCCAAAACAGTCCCATGCTGCAATTCGGCACAACACCGACCCAGTCTCACGCACAACTTCCAAATGACCGAGCTCTTCAAGGCTTCCATAACTAAACTCGTCCCCAGTCGTCACTCGGGCGGTTAACCCCAAACCGGGCTGGCCACAGCAGGCCAAATGTCGCCGGGGGGGGGGGGATTCCACTTTTAATCAGGACTATCCAGCCAGATTAGTTTATTTCTAAATGGTACACGCGGCAGTGATGAGTTTTAGTAAAAATTTCGAGAAAACACTGATATTGCATTTTCAATATGACAGGTCTTGCGCGGCTGGCCAGTCGTAACTTTTGGAAAACGCCCGAAGATGAGAAACAGCTAAGAATTGAAATAAGCGACTTGACTTGACTAGTTGAGTTTTCCAGATATTAAACTAAATTGAAAGACGAGTTTGAAACCCATGCCCATTTATCCCACAGGAGAGGCTGAGTTGCAACGAAAAATGTCTGGACTGAGAGTTTCTTGTAAAGATGAAACTGACGGTGTCTTAAAAGGTAAGCCCTAGCTTGTTCACTTATTAGAATGTAACGATCATCTGAATAACAAAGTACTTTTTAATGCCTGGCCTTGGTGAAATCTGGGGTTAGTCGAGTCCTTTGATAATAAGTCGCTTTGGGTTTTTGGTAGATGTAGGCGGCTCGCGCGTAAACTTTAGAACGTTTCTCTATTTGAGTACATCTTTAAGTTTGCTTCTTATTTGAAAAAACGGAAGTGACAAGCTTAAGAACCAATAGGATCCAATAGAGCTTGCAAACTAACCAAAAAGTTGTAGCCAAATTGTACTGTCGTGTTCGATTGACCAGAAGGCGAGCCACAGTACATGCACAGCTGCAAACAAGAACAAACTTGAACAAAGAACATTGGAACTAGGTTCACCCAAGAAAGCTTGCCCCATACTCTCTTGATTCCATTCTGAATAGCGGACTGTAACATTTTAGAAAAAGTAATGATAAAAATGCCTTTATTTTCTTCAAACTAAATCTTAGGGATTATAAGCACTTTATACCATCAGCAAGGATTGGCTTCAGGCATGGTTAAAACCCGGGATACGATTGAGCAGTAACAACAACAACAACTTCTACTTCTACTTCTACTATATTACTTCGCAAAGCCTGTACAGCAACACGCGAAGGATCCGTATATCGACTGACTGTCAGGTCCAGTTCAAAGGTCGAACTTTTCATGTACCAAACCTAATCCTTTTAATTAAGTACACACATGAAAAGATCAACCTTTGAATAAATAAGTCTGACATATATCCAATGTGTATCGATTCATGGATTTAATTTGAGTGGCCCACAGGGGAATTTCGAATGCAGAGCGACTTGGTTTTAATCGTCGAACTTTTTCGATATTTTAACTTAACTGGTAAGCTAACTATTGCCCGGTGTACATCGTGAAAATGAATTGAGTCCGTCTAATTAAGTTAAACTTGTGAATCAACCGTCGAAACTAGTATCAGTTTGGGTCGACTTAAATAGGTCTTTGGTTCGGCACATGAAAAGTTCGACGTTTGAACTTGGCCTGATCACTCTTTGAAATTAAAGATTTTTTATAAGATATTTTGTTTTCTTTCTTTTAAAAAATAGGCCCGCCTTCCGTCGAGATATTACCTGGTAAGCCGTTTCATGCGACTCAAAGACGAGGGGGCGAAATAAGAAAGATTCAGCAAGCCTTTAGTCACTTGCGACGGGATGCCGCGGAAAGTTCGCTAGTAAGAGCAGTGTATGTGAAAGGCCCTCCAGGGTGTGGTAAGACACAACTGGCAAGACAGTTTGGTAAAGAGTACATGAAGGTGAGCGCAGGTTGCGGTGGGCAGTCACCAAGGAGAATTGTCGCCACGTTGGATGCGCGGACGCCAGAGTCGCTTTTGGAATCGTATAAGGAACTACACCAAAAATTGGAAATGTCAAAGGAGAGCGAAGAAAGAGCAAGTCTGAATGAACTAATCAAGACTTACTCGAATGAGATTAAAAACCATCTTCGTAAAAGCTCTACTGTCTGGCTGTTAATCATTGATAATCTGACAGTCAATGATCCTCTCAGAGAATTCTTGCCAACGCCTGAAGAAAACAGCCCGTGGGGAGAGGGGTTAGTATTGGTAACAACACAGGATAGCAAACTGGTACCAGGATCCCACGCATACGCCAAAGTTGTGGATTTAGGTAAAGGAATGGAGAAGAGGGACGCAAAGAAATTGTTAAGCGCCATTTCTGGGATGGAGGCAGATGAGGACGCCATAGAAGTCGCTCAGTTTCTGGGCTTTTACCCTCTGTCTCTTGCTTGTGCAGCAGTCTATGTAAAGCAGATGCGAGAAGATCGGCCGTTCTCTAAGCTTCACTGGAAAACCTACCTAGCCAATATTAAAAACAACTTCGCGTACCTTGATCATTCCGACTTTACACGTCATAATTCATGTTATCCGCAATCGATGCTTTCAGCAGCCGTGTTTGCCGCCCGACGGATGGCGGAAAATAACGAAGTGCTCCGAGCTGCCTTCGTTTTTCTGTCTTATTGCGCTCTTCAACCCGTACCGTTGGACACCGTTACCGAGTACGTCTTGTACGAGACTGCTGCTTCCGGCGACAAAACCATTAGGGTCCCAGACGACGTTAAGATTGAAATAGCTCGATGCTCTCTGCTGATCTATCCTGAGACGGGTGAAAGAGGAATTGAAGTAGTTACCCTCCATCAAGTCATGCGATTGGCATTTGTACAAATCAGGCGAAAACCGGACGAGCAGACGAAAGAGATGGAAGAAACCGCCGAAGTGGAAAAGCGCCATCGGAATGGGGTGCTTGAAGTATTAAATAAGGCGTACAAGATTAGAAAGGGGGATGTCTCCAAGGAGGCTATAGCCACAAGAATAATTCTGTGCCCGCATTTAAGGGAGTTTGTAGAAAAGGCGGAGAACAGCCAATTCCAATTTGTTGAAGTGAATTTACTTGTACAAGCCTTAGTCTACCTTGCTGATGGCCTGGTCCATGTTGCCGGGGCGACGGACAATAATCGCGTTGCTTTACTTGAACGTGCTTACAAGATAAATAAACAGCTATCTACGACTGATATGAGCGCATGCGAATTCCTGTGTGATTTAGGATATGCTTATTGCGAAGCGGGGCAACTAGACAGAGCTATTCCAGTGTTAGAAGAGGCTAATCATCTCTGCAGAGCACATACGGAAACAGAATGGATGAAAATGAGATCGAGGGTTTTTAATAACCTTGGGTTCACATACCGTGAAAGCTTCCAGCTAGACCTCGCAAAAGAGTACATGAAAATGTGTGCTGAAGTGACCAGAAAGGCCTATGGCGAGAAGCACGTGCAAGTGGTGGAGAGACTTTGTAATCTTGGGATAATCTTGCACGATCGCTGGGAAAATGACGAGGCGATAGAAGTGCTGGAAGAAGCCCAGAGGATTATTGAAGCTTGCGATACCTCAAGAACGGAGCTGTTCTTCCGCGCGCAAGTTTTGAATTATACAGCTAAGGTTCATCTTCGCTGGTATCTCGGGCTGCGGTATACGCATCCTAACGCTTGGAGCACCAAAAAGCACCTTGAAGAATCGAACGCTCTCCACGAAGAAGCCGTAAAGATTTACGAAGAACTTCATGGAGTTCACAAGTTCACAGCGGGAACTATGATGACCTACGGAACAGCGAAACTGCACTTAGGACAAGTTGAGCAGGCATACGAAATGTGTCATAACGCCGTCCAGGTCTATCGAAGCTCAGGTCACATTGCGTTTCCGCGCGCGGGTACATGGCTCGCCGACGTTTTCCTCGTTAGAAAGGAGTATGCACGCGCGAAAAGTTTCTTGGAAGAGCTCGTGAAAGTTCACGAGGACTTACACCTGGTTGTTAGTCCTGGTGCATATCATCCTAAGGCGCTGCTAGCGGAAGCTTGCGTGCATCTTGGAAATGTTCGATATGGAAAAGAAATGTTGACACAATGCCTTCGAGAGTGGGAAGAAAAAGGTATGCACCCTCAACATTATTGGGTTGCTCGTGCGCGCGCTTTCCTGAGATTGCATGAGGAACAACACACCGATGATGCTGTGCCAGAGTTGTAATATGGAAGACCCCAGCATAGTCCCTAGGCGTTCTCGGCGCGGTCAATCCTGGACTCTACTGTGAGCTGTGACGTCACCGGGAGACACTCGGCCGTTCTTTCCCAGACTTCGCGCGGACAACGGGTCAGGAGAGAACGCCTAGGGACTAGACTGGGAAGACCCCATCAGATCAGAGTCCTCAGCCTCTGCGTTGCCTCGTCTCCAGTAATACTTTCGCGCGGAAGAGAAAGCGTAGGAGGCAGTACAGTGTATTCACAGGACACCACACGTGCCGCTGGAAAGAGGCAACCAAGTCTCAGTAATTCGCCCAGAAAAAAAAATTGTATTGAGACTGATTCCACGTCTGAATCAATTGCTACTGAGGTTTATTTTATATACTTAATTTTACATTCTTGATCAATAACGATTTCTTAAAACATAAGCAAGCGAATATTAACGTTAAAAGCCGACGTTTCGGTATCATCATGACACCATTCTCAAGGCAAAATGAATAAATAATGCGAAGATTTGATTTCTATAGTCTCTACAAATTAGCATAATAACAAAGGATCACAAGTTCTTCAAGTGAATACCTTTGCGCGAATCGAGTCCGCCTGCACGTTTAGGGATGGTTTGAGTTTTCTTATAAAGAGTATCTCCTTAATTAGGCAATCAAATTTGTTAGAACCTTTAGTGAGCACGTGAAATCGTTCTGAAAGAAAAGGTGGTACGCCCGAGTTATGTTCGCTAAGATAATGTTTACATTGATATTTTAACTTTTTTTCTTTTTGTAAAAGATTTCAAAAGAGAGTAAGTATTCATACAGATAAAATTAGATGCAGAAGAGCACATTCAGAATTGCGTTGAATATGTCAAGGGCCTATAAACACTAACAAAATGCTGTTTTTCTACTTTATGCCTGAGGTTTTTCATAAGGAGGTAACAAATTTTGATAGGATAGGATAGGATAGGATAAGTGCTTTATTATCAACAGAGCGCCTACAGACACATGTGTTTACAACGAAAACAAAGATTTTCGTGCACTAATTACAGAGGTGTACCTTTGTAAAATTTAAACAACTATTAAACAAGGTTATATTTAACGCGTCTATCTCTTTCGCGGAAGCGATCATATACGTATTTAGCCACAATTTTTTGCGTTTTCTCTCCTTGCTTCATACTTATCAACGTTGCAAAGGCAGAGCTTGGCTTGTGATGATGGCACGGGTAATGGTCGCGCATTCTTCTTTTAACCCTTTAAGCCCTAATATCCACATACAAATTCTCCAAACTGATCTCCATACATCTACTTTAAGAATTAGTTGAGAGAATTTGATAAAAGATCATGGAATTTTCTCTATGGTGATCATTTTATTAATTCTGATAACTTTATCTCCGTGACAGTGTATGGATATTGTTAGGAGAAAATTGATGTTGAACACTATAGGGACTTAAAGGGTTAAACCTCTTGTAAACGACCACCTGATGCACGGTTCGATATCCGTTCGCTGTAGGCACTTTGAATACGAAGTTTTAGCGACAAAATGGAACTACACATCTCATAAACTCAGCAATTGCATCGAATAAATTCTCTTCCAGAAAGAAATTGTTTCCGTACCTGTTTTCGGAAGAGACCCCTTGTGGTTCAATTCTCGTAAGAGACCACTTTCCTTATATCCTTTGCATTTTGGGTGACAGATTCGACTGTATAATACGTTCTAGACTGCGAGCAGTCCCTCAGAATGGTCACGCGAGCGAGGAAATAGAGCGAAGCGAGCGAAAGCCGAGGGGAAGCTGGGGAGGAGGCGGGAAAAGGCCTCTCTCCAGTTTCCCTCTCGGCCAATTCGCTCTCTCCAGTCCTGCCGAGCTCACGACTTGACTGACTGAAGAGGGACTGCTAGCAGTCTAAATACGTTCTCTAGTAATTCACAGCTCCATATACTACAGGGAGAAGGAGCTCAAACTTTTCAAAGATTTCAGGGATCGTTTGGGTGGATATTATAAGCAATGGTCGGTTAATGGTCGCCTTTGAAGACCATCCACCAATCATAACTTGCTAATATATAACGCTAATGAGCTTGTGAAATGATCGCAGAAATAATTAGACTGCAAAACAGTTGTTTTTTTTCCTCAAAATCAGTTAAGAAATCGGTAAAGCGTGACGTAAGAGTCTTACGCGCGCGAAGAGCGCGAGCCTCACACGCCCTACGGGCGTGTAAGGCGAGAGAGAAAAAAACGTATTTTTAGTGTCTCTCCCCAGTCTCACTCTCCGTTTTCAGCCTCGTTCCAGACCTTTTGTTTGACCTGTCGCGCTTACTTGAATACGCCAAAATACGGACTGTTTTGCAGTCTAACAAATAATCACAGAAATCGTTTTGCAGAAGGCTTGTACTCATTCTCCTTGTAGTTATGGAGTAGCAAATAGCTAAAATCTAAATTAAAGTTCGTTAGTTTAGGCGGCTAAGCCGTTTCCTCTTCCTCGATAGCGCAAATCTGTTTTCCTTCCCACATGGGCGTAACCAAAATCTCAGCTTCATCCTCTTCGTGCTCGCCTTGGTTTTCCTCTTCTTTCCATACATACTTACCCAACTGTACACAGGCGGAGTCGAACACGTACTTTCCTGGTCCCCTGGGCCTGTTTTCTTCAAAATTGCCAATGTATCTGTGATTTGAGTGCACTAGGTGACCTTCATCTTGCATCTTGCCGTGGAACCACGTTCCCTCATAGTGAGAGCCCGTTTCATTATAGGTATAGGTCCCCTGGCCGTGACGAACTCCCTGATACCACTCCCCTTCGTAAGTATCCCCGTTAGGGTAGGTGTAAGTACCCCAACCGTTCCGTAGATCGTTGATCCAGGACCCATCGTATTTGGATCCATCAGGATACAAGAAGACACCTTCGCCGTTCTTCTTGCCCTCTACGTAATTTCCTGTGTAACGTGCTCCAATTTTGAACCTGCAAATTATATCGCATCAAGTAATCTGAGGTACTAGACTCCCTGTAAAACCTGTCGTACTTCGCCGCTTATGAAACTGATATGGGGCGGCGCGAGACGAGTGATACGCTCGTCCTTCTTCAGTTCCTTGCGATCACCACTCCTATTTGTCCCTATATATCTCATCCAACTGCTACACAGTACAACCGGCCTAAGTCGCAATTTTGCCCTAAGTGAGAAGTAAGTGTTAATGTTGACTTAGGGGAGGGGTAGGTGGAAAGTTACCCAGAAACCTCAGTTGATCCCGTAAAACCTTATATAAAAACCCGAGGGGGGTACTCCTGGGAATTCTTGGTGGGAGTATGTCATCGTTACATAGATTATAACGCCAGCCAGAAAGATTTCTTAAAATCCGTTAGGAACTTGCATATTTCTCTTTTAGTTTCTTACTCATTTGGAATTGAAACGATAATATGTTCCTACAGTCCCGTAGTTTCCTCGAAACAATATCCGATCCCAGACCAAAATGGGCAAAGTCTGTACCCGTTTTCAGACCAAAACGACGCAAAAATCATACCCTGTAAGGCGGCACAGATCTGTATGGCTTATATAAAGGAGTACCCCCCGGGCATAAAAAGGGCTTCACTATTAGGCGTTGCGGGGGTCGCCTGCACCCATGCGTGAGTCTCTTACAAAGAGAGGGGAGAAGACAGGGGAGCTTGTCCACAACCTAGAAATACTTAGTGAAATATCGCCTTGGTCAGGAACTGGCTCCTGCCCTTGTTGGTTTGAAGATGGGTGGGGAATACTTTCATATTCTTATCTGAAAATGGTTAACAGTTTCACAAAGAACTTGATTCAAAATCTTCCAAATAATGGTACACCTCCTTTCTCCACCACCCCAATGCAAAGGGGAATTGAAATTGCAGGAGCTGGACAAGATAGGGTAGGGAGGGACGCTTAACACGCGAGACTGACGCCCTCATTTCTCAGGTTTTATGGTCTGGTCTCGTCCGTACAAGAACAGTACCTGGAGACAGTCTGACAATAGAAGGTCTAATCCTTGTAGAACTTGCATGTTAATCAATTGTTCAACCTGTTCAGAAAAATAATATTAATCATCAAATGACTCAACACTTTGTGTTCAGTGAGTGATCAACATGAATTTTCTCCTGCTAAATATCACAGGAGATAACACAGGAGCTAACAGATATGTGATGATAATGCAAGTTGCTGAGGACATGATACGAAGAGATTACCGGGTATGCTGATTATCATGGCTTACACGTAGGCATGTCAGGCAGGTTGTTCATTAGGCATCAGAGATCAGAGAATCCTCCATTTAATATGCAGAATTCTCCGGCATGTCAGGTAACCAATGACTAATTTTTATGTTCTCCCGTAACGTTACACCTTTTTCGTGCTACCAGAATTCTTAAAGAAAACCCTGGTCAGAGGCCGTGTTAGGGTAAAATTCCGACAAGTAACATGGTCTTGAAACACCGACATAAGACTTGATGAAATGGTGACATAAGACATAAAGATGGGTTAAATACCAACAGTGACATGGCCTACTCCCTAAAACACAAAACCATGATATTTGAAATTCAGACTAGAGAGATACATATCCCGCCTAAGAAGCCTTTATGTCAGAGTAGAACATATCTAATGCCTGATATGACTGTACAAGAATATTAAAGTCATTTCTAATAACTGGTCTATTGAAGATCAAGAAATGATCGTCGCAGTGAACGCAATTTATGCAATTGCGTAAATCCGATCATTTCTTCATCTTCATTTCATTTCCGCAGTTCATATATGATTTATTTCATATCTCATTAACAACTGGTCTATTATAGACTACTCCTGCCAAGAACTTACTTTCATTATGAGATTATTTAGTTGAGTATCAGATAAATGATAACTGTCATCTCTGTTGCCCTGTGGAAAGCTCAGGAATTGTCTTGGCGCAGCACGACTCAGTGCCCTTGGTAACTGAGGTTCATCAGGAGTGTTGTGACCAGAGTGTTTTGGGAACAGTAGCGTTGTAATCAGGGAGGGGTCAGACACGTAGACACTGGACACTCCAAGAGCTTGGGCCACACCAAGGACAAGGGGGACAGTAGTGCAACAAAAAGAAGCTGTAAACAGCAAGAAAGAGGTGATAAGAACAATATTCTATTATTATTAACTCATTTGTGAGCAAAATAGTTGGTGGTGGATGTTTCATGATAGAGAGAAAGTAACATTCAACACTCACATCAAGACTCATTCTAGTCAAGACACTGCCCACAACAACATAAATCTCCCTTTCTCTACAGTTTTCTACAAAGCATTGTAGAACTAAACTGCACCCTCTCCACCAGTATGGTACTGTATCACTGATGAAGGAGGTGTATGCTGACTTACTTTTCCTTTTGAGTGCTAACACAGGACCTTTCCATTTTATTTCCACACCCTCTAGATAGATGAGATTTTCTGAAGGGGTCAATACTAGGAGAGAGGTTTTTCTGAGGGGGTTGTTGTCCAAAATGCCTATTTCTGAAGGGTGCAAATACCAGGAATAAATTTCTGAAGGTAGAGATACATCATCAATATAGGCATGGTGAATACAGTTTTTCTTATGAAGGGGACAAATAACATCACCATATTTTCTGATGGGTAGAGAACAAAATAATACTATTTCTGAGGGTATCTAAGAATAAATGTTAATTTCTGAAGGGGCCAGGCAAAAGGACCCTCATCTATAGGAGAAGTGTGTGGATATTCAAGACAATAGAATGACCCACAATACCAGTGTTTGCACAAACATAAATGCTGGCATCAAAGGTTCAACCAATGTGAGCTTCCTACAATTTTCTGGTATACCACATTGTCCTAAAGAGTTCTCCAGAAAATTATCTTTAACAAGGAAGAATTATAAATATATTATTGAAGTACATGTAAATAGATTTGATTGAAAGGTGCTCAAACATGGGGGGGTAGGTATAAGAGGCAGTATCACCCCATTCCTTTGGAAGAGTCTGTGGACCTACAACCCTGCAAGCAGAGCCTCCTTTTGTGTTCTTCCTGATTGAAGAGCAGAAGAGGAGAATCTGCCTGAATCGTGTCAATCCTTTGAAGTAGCCACAGCCTGAATACCCTGCGAGCAGAGGCCCTTGATCTTCCTAGATAAGTCCGGAAGAGGTGGAGGAAGGGACCTTCCTCTTCCCATTCGGCTTGTCTAGGAAGATCTGTGCGAGGGCCCCCAAATTTATAAAGCTTTAGCTCGCAGGGTCCCTTTGACAGCCCAAACTTCTGGACTAGTCAATTTTGTATTCCCTCGTCAAACTGAGTTTTTGAGTGCAAGCATCTGCCTATTGATAAACCGATGTTCACAACAGAGCCCACAGTGTCAAAGAATCGGCAAGGATATTAGGCCTGGGTTTGAAGCTGTATCCTAGTAACATGCAATGCAAGCTCAAGAAAGATCATATCCTGTTTCATACAGAGTCTCTTCTGGCAGGGTGAGGACCTCCATGGTAAAACTTGTAATTTAGGGGCCTCTGAAAAGTGCATTTCAGTGGATTTTTAGTGACTAGGGAGAGCAGGAGAAACCTGCCCATTGGACAAAAGTGTCTCAGCTACTTCATCGCATACTTAAGCTACAGTATCACCTTTCTTAGGATCTGTCAGGTCTTTATAACCACAGCATTGATCAATAAGAGTATCAAACAGACTGAGCTGGAGTTTGATAATGTCCCCATCCAAGCTGTTATCTTGCGCAGCTAATCCACTCATAAGTGTTACAAAACAGAATGCAAACTCCCCTGCTAAAGGGCTCTTTGAGAAATGTACAGGCTCCCTAGCTTCCAGCCACCTTGCTGTTGGAAGACCTTTGAGTACACCTACCAAGTAAGGCATTATTTTCTCTTTGTATTGTAAGCCTGAGTGAAGTGCAAACAACCCCAGTGCCAGAATTCCATCAGTACCACGTTGATCGAGGATAAAGACATCAGAAGATGAAGACGGACTTGCAGGACAAAGACGACTGAGCTTTTTAACCTAAAAAAAGGAAAGAGTTTGATGTTATATTTGTAGGTTGGAGTCACAATGATTCTGTACTCTGAATGCAAGAGTGCTTTAAAATGTAGCAATATACTTAGCCAGACAGCCTCTGTCTTTTTTTACTTCCTTAGAAAACGGGGAAAAAAGCTCAAATCTTCAAATTGGCATTCAAGGGGGAAAACAACGAGCTTAATTTGGTAAACAGCTGACGTACGTGTCTCATTCATCTGAGACACTATGGGAGCCCATTACAGACAATTTGTCCTTTACTTAAAATGGCGATCTTCACAGTGATAACTATGGCATACTATCTTACCTTTTCCCAAGGTGCTGGATTCAAAGCTGCCAGAGAACAGGCTAAGTGCCGCAAAGAGTAGACTCTGCTGGTCTTGGACCATCGACCGCCATTTTGTTTGTATCTTGTCGTACTCGTCGTAAATACTCGGAATCGCTCGGAAGGAGATCGTGTTCATCATCGTTATTGTCTAACTACTTCCCTCTCATTTCCGGATATTTGGTGTATTGTAACTTTGTGTATTGTTATACCGCGCGGAAAATCTGAAACACTGAAAAAAGGTAGAAGAGAAATCTAAAGTACAGCTTAGAGTGAAAAAAGGAGCTTTACGAGCACAAAAAAGCACCTAAAAATGCTTTCAAAGGGGTAGTTTGAAATGCTAGCCTACGTCTCTCTGAGCGGCACGCCGGGAGACGGCTGAAAGGGCTGACATTTCAGACTAGTTTCGAGCTAGTTTTTAAACTGTTTGGTGATCGAGAGGAGTGTCATCTTAAGAAAATCTATTGCATCAGTCCAAAGAGCCCAAGTGCGTCTACAAAGGTAACATAGCCTATCATTACGTTTCCGGTAATTCCCCGAAACTGTGAATGCATCAGATTAAAACATAACATTTTTAAGAACTTACCATATTATAATTTCTACCTCCTCGACCGTGACTCGTGTGTGTTCATAAGAAGGCAGTCTCAAAGGGCTGTTTAGAAGAAACCCTATTTTTATGGTTCCCTTAACAGTCCCGAAGCAGCAATCCTTGCCTGCGTTGTTCTCGAATGAGGAAGTGGTGAATTGAAACATTCAGCGACTGATGGCTTATCGTATGCAAAGTAAGAAACAGTTAAAATAACACACATGTTGTTGTTTTTAATTTTAACAGTCTTGGAAAATCTCGTTGGCAAACTGTGTAGCACAATGTTTTTTTTATCTCGAAAACACACAACTTCTCTTAATGCGGGCAAGCTAGCGCAGGTACAATTAAAAAATCTTACTGTTTTTAGATGTAGGCGTTAGCCAGGCGAGTATCTGTTGCGAATTATTCAGTTTTATTTTCAATTGTCATATAACAAGAAATAAGATCAAATAGCCTACGGTAGAAAAAAAAAATTTTAGTTTGTTTTCTCATCAGTCCCAGTGTTTCGTCTGTTTTTACTCAGCTTGTATTTCATGGCTTTATCAGTACGTGCTTCTCTTTAAGTGTATTGTTGATGTCATTAACACATTGCGTTGGAACATTTTAGATACGGTTTCAAGAACAGTAACGTGTGCCTGTTTCTTCGAAACGTTATTACGTCCTGTACTTGCACATTATTTCACGCACAAGTACGAACTAAGTGTTCTTGACACCACTCAGAATAGCTCAGAATTTACAACAATTTCCTAAAAACTGACCCATCTCTTGGTGGACCGATGAATTATTTCGATAAACATACGCTTCTATATCGCCGTTTATAAGACTACATACGCGAATGTGGCATTGGACCTATAAAACTCGCCATTAATCGCTCAGAAAACGGCCTTGCAATTAAAAAACGGGTCTTAAAACATTCTGAAGGGTTTATTCATTTGGATTTCTGGGTTCTGATTTCGAACCCTGTTCATTTGTAGCTTGTTTTGTCACCTAAGAAGCCCGGAAGCTGACTTTTGATTCGAAACAAAAGCTTAAGGAATGCAGGCTTTTCAGTGGTCAATTAGTCAACCGATATTTTGCTGAGCGAAACGGATTGCGTGTGTTTGTTATTTTAAATTCTTTGTCTCAAATCCCGTGGCATGACGATTACTACATATATTTTTATCAGGTGGTGTGATGTCGATCAAGCAAGGCGTGCCCGAAGATCATGAACTTCTCAGTCTTGCTGGGGACATGTTAGTGATCTGGAAAAAACTTGGTTTGGCTTTGGGTTTGCAAAATTCACAGTTAGATGAAATCGAAGCAGATAACTTGAAAGGAGTGGATAGGAGTTATGCTATGCTAAGAAAATGGAAGGAATCACGTGGCTCTGAAGCCAGTTATGAACGACTTGCTGAAGGACTTGATCACAAAGCAGTCAGTAGGCGTGACTTAATAGAGGCATACTGCCGAGATAAAGGTTAGTGTTGAGGATGCGCAAGTAACACCTTTTTAGCTTGCGCCCGTTGCCACATTCGCTCGATCCGCCGCGCAAACCAAAAGACCCAAAAGGATTGCAGCTCTGGAAACGAGAATGCAGTTGCCATGCAGCGCCGTAGCAAACCAAAACTCGCCTCGGTAAAATTTTGACCCAAAATTTTTATTTTACATATCATCGGATATTTTTAACTCATGATATTACAAAGAAACAGTCAATATACTATGAAAAAATTACCACATCATCCATCTCAAGGGTTACGTACGTTAACTCAAATTTTTTTTGAACAAATACTGATCAAAACCATTGTTAACGGTCACCAGATTATGGCTTGTTTCTGATTATTGTTAACTCGAAAAAAAGTTACCGAAAGGCCCAGAAAACGCTGCAAATCGCATTTCCGTAAAGTTCAAAATTTCTCGGAACCCCCTAGCAACTCCCGCCTGCCTCGGTTGGCCGTTTGGTCTGGCTACGGCCATGTTGAGACTACGCAGGAATGCACTTTTGGAAGCCTTGGAAGAGTAACTGCATGTGATATCTCAATAAACCTGATGAAGACTGGTATTGGCCAATCGAAATATAGCAACTTAACTCTATTTCACGTTGTTTGATCAGTCCCTGAAAAAGTCGTCTTGACTGTAACGTTTTCAATTTTATATATTTTGACTGATCTTTTTGGATCCGACGTTGAGCAAGATTGTTCGTACACGGTTTTTGCGGTGTTTTTTTTTACCTTAACTAAACATTGTTTTCAATTTCTCTTAGGGTGGCTGTAATACCCAGGAGAAATGAAAAACATAGGTTATGCAAAATTTTGGGGGGCAAATAAGCTGGAACTGTTTGAATGCAGAGGTCCACGCAACGCGTAAATATAACTCACTGGTTCCTCTTGCCGGATCTCTAATTAAAGAGATGCTGTAGCCAGAAGTCACTTAAAGTGTAAAATGAAACAAAACTGAATGCAGGGCTGACACTACGGCAAAGGGCTGATTTATTATAGGCCAATATTTCGGCTAACAAAATTAGCCTTCCTCATGAAGGGCAAGAACTATACCGAGAACTATACCGAGGTGCATTATAGGAGATGTGCAAATGGCGAATAAAACTGGCGCAAATTCCCAACAGTCCCGTGTTGCAATTCGACACAACACCGACCCAGTCTCACGCGTAACTTCCAAATGACAGAGCTCTAAAGTTCTTCCAAGGCTTCCATAACTGAACTCGTCCCCAGTCGTCACTCGGGCGGTTAACCTTAAACTCAGGTTGAGATAAGATGAGAAACAGCAAAGAATTGAAATAAGCGACTTGAGTTTTCTGGATGTTAAACTAAAAGCGCTAGACAAGTTTGAAACGCATTCCCATTTATCCCACAGAGGCTGAGTTGCAACGAAAAACGTCTGAACTAAGCGTTTCTTGTAATGATGAAACTGATGGTGTCTTAAAAGGTAAGCCCTAGCTTGTTTGTCCACTTATCAGAAATTAACTATCATCTGAATAATATAGTGCTTTTCAGTGCCTAGTCTTGGTGAAACCTGGGGTTGGTCTCCTTTGATATTGCGTCACTTTCGGTTTTCGGTAGATGTCGGCGGCTTGCGCATAGACTTAAAAGCTTTTCTCTATTTGAATACATCTTGAAGTTTGCCTCTTATTTGAAAAAACGGAAGTGACAAGCTTAAGAACCAATAGGATCCAATAGAGCTTGCAAAACTAACCAAAAGTTGTAAGCCAAATTGTACTGTCGCGTTCGTTTGCAAACTGATTCGTCGATTAAACAAATTGACAAGACATGCACAGCTGCATTCAAGAACAAACTTGAACAAAGAACATTGGAACTAAATTTCCCCAAGAAAGCTCGCGCCTCGTACTCTCTTGATTCCGCTTTGAATCGGAGGACTGTAATATTTTAGAAAAAGAAATGATAGAAATGCCTTTATTTTCTTCAACCTAAGTCCTAGGGATTATAAGCGCTTTATACCATCAGCAGGGATTGGTCCTAGGCATTCAAGGCATGGGTAAAACCCGGGAAACGACCGAACAGTAACAACAACAACAACAACTGACTGTCAGGCCCAATTCAAACGTCGAACTTCAAGTTCATGTACCGAACCTAATCCTTTTAATCAAGTACATGAAAAGCTCGAAGTTTGAATAAATAAGTCCGACATATCCAATGTGGATCGACCCATGAATTAATCGTCGAACTTTTTCGATATTTTAACTGGTAAGCTAAGTATTGCCCGGTGCATATCGTGAAAATGAATTGAGTCCGTCTATTTAAGTTAGACGTTTGAATCAACCGTCGAAACTTGTATCAGTTTGGGTCGACCGTACCTAAATAGGTCTGGTTCGGCACATGCAAAGTTCGACGTTTGAACTTGGCCTGATCACTCTTTGAAATTAAAAATTTTTTATAAGATATTTTGTTTTCTTTCTTTTAAAAAATAGGTCCGCCTTCCGTTGAGATTTTACCTGGTAAGCCGTTTCATGCGACTCAAAGACGAGGAGGCGAAATAGAAAAGATTCAGCAAGCCTTTAGTCAGTTGCGACACGATGCGACGGAAAGTTCGCTAGTATCAGCAGTGTATGTGAAAGGCCCTCCAGGGTGTGGTAAGACACAACTGGTAAGACAGTTTGGTAAAGAGTACATGAAGGTGAGCGCAGGTTGCGGTGGGCAGTCACCAAGGAGAATTGTCGCCACGTTGGATGCGCGGACGCCAGAGTCGCTTTTGGAATCGTATAAGGAACTACACGAAAAATTGGAAATGTCAAAGGAGAGTGAAGAAAGAGGAAGTCTGAATGAACGAATCAAGACTTATTCGAATGAGATTAAAAACCACCTTTGTAAAAGCTCTACTGTCTGGCTGTTAATCATTGATAATCTAACAGTCAATGATCCTCTTAGAGAATTCTGGCCAACGCCTGAAGAAAACAGCCCGTGGGGAGAAGGGTTAGTATTGGTAACAACACAGGATAGCGATCTGGTACCCAAATCCCACGCATACGCCAAAGTTGTGGGTTTAGATAAAGGAATGGAGCAGAGTGACGCGAAGAAATTGTTAAGCGCCATTTCTGGGATGGAGGCAGATGAGGACGCCATAAAAGTCGCACAGTTGCTGGGCTTTTACCCTCTGTCTCTTGCTTGTGCAGCAGTCTATGTAAAGCAGATGCGAGAAGATCGGCCGTTCTCTAAGTTTTCCTGGAAAAACTACCTAGCCAATCTCAAAAAATACTTTGCGTACCTTGATTATTCCGACTTTACACGTCATAGTCCATGTTATCCGCAATCGATGCTTCCAGCAGCCGAGTTTGCCGCCCGACGGATGGCGGAAAATAACGAAGTGCTCCGAGCTGCCTTCGTTTTTCTGTCTTATTGCACCCTTCAACCCGTACCGCTGGACACCGTTGCAGAGTACGTCTTGTACGAGGCTGCTGCTTCCGGCGACCATACCATTAGGGTCCCAGATGACGTTAAGGTTAAAATAGCTCGATGCTCTCTGCTGATCTATCCTGAGACGGGTGAAAGAGGAATTGAGGTAGTTACCCTCCATCAAGTCATGCGATTGGCATTTGCACAAATCAGGCGAAAACCGGACGAACAGACGAAAGAGATGGAAGAAATCGCCGAAGGGGAAAAGCGCCAACTGAATGGGGTGCTTAAAATATTAAATAAGGCGTACAAGATTAGAAAAGGCGATGTCTCCAAGGAGGCTATAGCCACAAGAATAATTCTGTGCCCGCATTTAAGGGAGTTTGTAGAAAAGGCGGAGAACTGCCAATTTGTTGAAATGAATTTACTTGTACAAGCCTTAGTCTACCTTGCTGATGGCCTGGTCCATGTTGCCGGGGCGACGGACAATAATCGCGTTGCTCTACTTGAACGTGCTCACAAGATAAATAAACAGCTATCTATGACTGACATCAGCGCATGCGAATTGCTGTGTGATTTGGGATATACTTATCGCGAAGCAGGGCAGCTAGACAGAGTTATTCCTGTGTTAGAAGAGGCTAATCATCTCTGCACAGCGCATACGGAACCAGAATGGATGAAAATGAGATCGAGGCTTTTAAATATCCTTGGGTTCACATACCGTGAAAGCTTCCAGCTAGACCTCGCAAAAGAGTACATGAAAATGTGCGTTGAAGTGACCAGAAAGGCCTATGGCGAGAAGCACGTGCAAGTGGTTGAGAGACTTTGTAATCTTGGGATAATCTTGCACGATCGCTGGGAAAATGACGAAGCGATAGAAGTGCTGGAAGAAGCCCAGAAGATTATTGAAGCTTGCGATACCTCAAGAACGGAGCTGTTCATCCGCGCGCAAGTTTTGAATTATACAGCTAAGGTTCATCTTCGCTGGTATCTCGGGCTGCGTTATACGCATCCTCGCGCATGGAGCACCAAAAAGCACCTGGAAGAATCGAACGCTCTCCACGAAGAAGCCGTAAAGATTTACAAAGAACTTCATGGAGATCGGCACAAGTTCACATTGGGAACTATGATGACCTACGGAACAGCGAAACTGCACTTAGGACAAGTTGACCAGGCTTACGAAATGTGTCATAACGCCGTCCAGGTCTGTCGAAGCTCAGGTCACATTTCGTGGCCGCGCGCGGGTACATGGCTCGCCGACGTTTTCCTCGTTAGAAAGGAGTACGCAAGTGCGAAAAGTTTTTTGGAAGAGCTCGTGAAAGTTCACGAGGACTTACACCTGGTTGTTAGTCCTGGTGCATATCATCCTAAAGCGCTGCTAGCGGAAGCTTGCGTGCATCTTGGAGATGTGCAATATGGAAAAGACATGTTGACACAATGCCTTCGGGAGTGGGAAGAAAAAGGTATGCACCCTGACCATTATTGGGTTGCTCGCGCGCGCGCTTTCCTGAGATTGCATGAGGAACAAAACACCGATGATGCTGTGCCAGAGTTGTAATATGGAAGACCCCAGCATCATTCCCTAGGCGTTCTCGGCGCGGTCAATCCTGGACTCTACTGTGAGCTGTGACGTCACCGGGAGACACTCGGCCGCTCTTTCCCAGACTTCGCGCGGACAACGGGTCAGGAGAGAACGCCTAAGGACTAGACTGGGAAGACCCCATCAGATCAGAGTCCTCAGCCTCTGCGTTGCCTCGTCTCCAGTAATACTTTCGCGCGGAAGAGAAAGCGCAGGAGGCAGTACAGTGTATTCACAGGACACCACGCGTGCCGCTGGAAAGAGGCAACCAAGTCTCAGTAATTCGCCCAGAAAAAAAATTGTATTGAGACTGATTCCACGTCTGAATCAATTGCTACTGAGGTTTATTTTATATACTTAATTTTACATTCTTGATCAATAACGATTTCTTAAAACATAAGCAAGAGAATATTAACGTTAAAAGTCGACGTTTCGGTATCATCATGACACCATTCTCAAGGCAAAATGAATAAATAATGCTAAGATTTGATTTCTATAGTCTCTACAAATTAGCATAATAACAAAGGATCACAAGTTCTTCAAGTGAATACCTTTGCGCGAATCGAGCCGCCTGCACGTTTAATCGAGTCCGCCTGCACGTTTAGGGATGGTTTGAGTTTTCTTAAAAAACCCCGAGTATCTCAAGATTAATTAGGCAATCAAATTTGTTAACCCGTCAGTGCAATAGCTTTCTATTGAACCTTTTTGCGTGAGCACGTGAAATCGTTCTGAAAGAAACAAATTGTGACCCCGGCTGGTACGCCCGAGTTATGTTCGCTAAGATAATGTTTACATTGATATTTTAACTTTTTTTCCCCACCTTGTAAAAGATTTTAAAAGAGAGTAAGTATTCATACGGATAAAATTAGATGCAGAAGAAGAGCACATTCAGAATTGCGTTGAATATGTCAAGGGCCTATAAACACTAACAAAATGCTGTTTTTCTACTTTACGCCTGAGGTTTTTCATAAGGAGGTAACAAATTTTGATAGGATAGGATAGGATAGGATAAGTGCTTTATTATCAACAGAGCGCCTACAGACACATGTGTTTACAACGATAACAAAGATTTTCGTGCACTAACTACAGACTATTAAACTATTAAAACAGGGTTATATTTAACGCGTCTATCTCTTTCGCGGAAGCGATCATATACGTATTTAGCCACAATTTTTTGCGTTTTCTCTCCTTGCTTCATACTTATCAACGTTGCAAAGGCAGAGCTTGGCTTGTGATGATGGCACGGGTAATGGTCGCGCATTCTTCTTTTAACCCTTTAAGCCCTAATATCCACATACAAATTCTCCAAACTGATCTCCATACATCTACTTTAAGAATTAGTTGAGAGAATTTGATAAAAGATCATGGAATTTTCTCTATGGTGATCATTTTATTAATTCTCATAACTTTATCTCCGTGACAGTGTATGGATATTGTTAGGAGAAAATTGATGTTGAACACTATAGGGACTTAAAGGGTTAAACCTCTTGTAAACGACCACCCGATGCACGGTTCGATATCCGTTCGCTGTATGCACTTTGAATACGAACTTTTAGCGACAAAATGGAACTACACATCTCATAAACTCAGCAATTGCATCAAATAAATTCTCTTCCAGAAAGAAATTGTTTCCGTACCTGTTTTGGGAAGAGACCCCTTGTGGTTCAATTCTCGTAAGAGACCACTTTCCTTATATCCTTTGCATTTTGGGTGACAGATTCGACTGTATAATACGTTCTAGACTGCGAGCAGTCCCTCAGGATGGTCACGCGAGCGAGGAAATCGAGCGAAGCGAGCGAAAGCCGAGGGGAAGCTGGGGAGGAGGCGGGAAAAGGCCTCTCTCCAGTTTCCCTCTCGGCCAATTCGCTCTCTCCAGTCCTGCCGAGCTCAGACTTGACTGACTGAAGAGGGACTGCTAGCAGTCTAAATACGTTCTTTAGTAATTCACTGCTCCATATACTACGGGGAGAATGAGCTCAAACTTTTCAAAGATTTCGGGGATCGTTTGGGTGGATATTATAAGCAATGATTGGTTAATGGTCGCCTCCGAAGACCGTCCACCAATCATAACTTGCTAACGCTACTGAGCTTGTGAAATGATCGCAGAAATAATTAGAATCGTTTTGCAGTTGTTTTTTTTTTTTTCTCAAAATCAGTTAAGAAATCGGTGGGTGCGATGACGCCGCTGGGACCTTAACCCGCGCCTATAACAGAGCTAGTTCAGGTGAATTTTGCTACCCTACGGGCGTGTAAACTCCCCAAATCCCCCTATCCTAGAGAAAAAACGTTTTTTTAGTGTCTCTCCAACCAACTCATCAGTTTCCGTTTTGAGCCTCGTTCCAGACCTTTTGCTTTGATCTGTCGCGCTTATCTTGAATAAACTCCAAAAAACGGACTGTTTTGCAGTCTAACAAATAATCAGCCCATAAATCGTTTTGCAGAAGGCTTGTACTCATTCTCCTTGTAGTTATGGAGTAGCAAATAGCTAAAATCTAAATTAAAGTTCGTTAGTTTAGGCGGCTATGCCGTTTCCTCTTCCTCAATAGCGCAAATCTGTTTTCCTTCCCACATGGGCGTAACCAAAATCTCAGCTTCATCCTCTTCGTGCTTGCCTTGGTTTTCCTCTTCTTTCCATACATACTTACCCAACTGTACACAGGCGGAGTCGAACACGTACTTTCCTGGTCCCCTGGGCCTGTTTTCTTCAAAATTACCAATGTATCTGTGATTTGAGTGCACTAGGTGACCTTCATCTTGCATCTTGCCGTGGAACCACGTTCCCTCATAGTGAGAGCCCGTTTCATTATAGGTATAGGTCCCCTGGCCGTGACGAACTCCCTGATGCCACTCCCCTTCGTAAGTATCCCCGTTAGGGTAGGTGTAAGTGCCCCAACCGTTCCGTAGATCGTTGATCCAGGACCCATCGTATTTGGATCCGTCAGGATACAAGAAGACACCTTCGCCGTTTTTCTTGCCCTCTACGTAATTTCCTGTGTAACGTGCTCCAATTTTGAACCTGCAAATTATATCGCATCAAGTAATCTGAGGTACTAGACTCCCTGTAAAACCTGTCGTACTTCGCCGCGTATGAAACTGATATGGGGCGACGCGAGACAAGTGAAACGCTCGTCCTTCTTCAGTTCCTTGCGATCACCACTCCTATTTGTCCCTATATATCTCATCCAACTGCTACACAGTACAACCGGCCTAAGTCGCAATTTTGCCCTAAGTGAGAAGTAAGTGTTAATGTTGACTTAGGGGAGGGGTAGGAGGTCAGTTACCCAGAAACCTCAATTGATCCTGTAAAACGTTATATAAAAACCCGAGTGGGGTACTCCTGGGAATTCTTGGTGGGAGTATGTCATCGTTACCTAGATTATAACGCCAGCCAGAAAGATTTCTTAAAATCCGTTAGGAACTTGCATATTTCTCTTTTAGCTTCTTACTCGTTTGGAATTGAAACGATAATACGTTTATACAGTCCCGTGGTTTACTCGAAAACAATACCCGATCCCAAACCAAAATGGGCAAAGTCTATACCCTTTTTCAGACCAAAACGACGCAAAAACCATACCCTTTAAGGCGGTACAGATCTGTATGGCTTATATAAACGAGTACCCCCCGGGCATAAAAAGGGCTTCACTATTAGGCGTTGCGGGGGTCGCCTGCACCCATGCGTGAGTCTCTTACAGAGAGAGGGGAGAAGAGAGGGGAGCTTGTCCACAACCTAGAAATAGTTAGCGAAATATCGCCCTTGTCAGGAGCCAGCTCCTGCCCTTGTTGGTTTGAAGATGGGTGGGGAACACTTTCATATTCTTATCTGAAAATGGTTAACAGTTTCACAAAGAACTTGACTGAAAATCTTCCAAAGGATAAAGGTACACCTCCTCTCTCCACCACCCCAATGCAAAGGGGAATTGAAATTGCAGGAGCTGGACAAGATAGGGTAGGGAGGGACGCTTAACACGCGAGACTGACGCTCTCATTTCTCAGGTTTTGTGGTCTGGTCTCGTCCCTCCAGGCTCAAGTGGCACCAAAAAGAGTTTCTTTGAAGAGATTTGGACGAGATAGATCTTCAACGATGCATGACTTCACATGACGTGATTAAATCATTTCCTGCTGTGAAGAGTCACGGCATTCTACATGTCTCTTTTTCTGTGAATATGTTTACACTGTTAATCACTATTGATCACTATTGCTAAAAATGATCTGAACTACAAAAGCGTCATTAGAAACTGTATAACAGTATCCACTCAGTTCCCGAGGTAAACCATTCTCTTAACAAAGTTTATCGTACTTTCCGGCTTTCGATAAGTCACGCTTAAATCGAACAATTCGGCAACATTTGATAAAAGTTAGAAGACTAATTCCCTGTCTTTGAAGCATTAAATTGTTGTTTGTATGTTTATTGCCAATATTGCTCACCCAAAACAAAACTGAGGTAAAATCCAACTGCTAATGATCTTCAGACAAAATGGTCCCCCAAAAAGAAACATTACTTTGATTAAATATTATCTAGTTCAGTCAGATGAATCAAATCCTCTTCACTGCCTCTTGTCTTTATTTCTTCTATTTGAAAAGCGCAGAACATATTTAAAATCGTCACATTTCATTACTGTACGTTAAGATACGTTAATTGAGTCTTTTTCAGGCTATACACTACCTAAGTGTGACCTGAAGCTGAGCTGACATAGAATCAAACATGTACAACTAGTCATAAATTCCTTGCGATGCTGTTTGCTTTTAGATTTTGCCAAATGGAGAGTATGAGGAATCACAAAATTTGACGTATAGAGAAAATGAAATTCTAGGCAAAAAGTTTATTTACCTGTAAACTCCGTGTCCATGTCGCTTGCCATTTTCATAATTTCCCTCGTAAGTGTCTCCGCTAGGCAGCTTCGCTCTTCCAAAACCGTGCCGTTCATCTAATTCATTTCGTTCTCCCTCATATTCACCGAGGTACGGTAATCCATCGTCATCGGGGATGGTTTCTTCATCGGAGGACATCTTGTCTGAGAGATGAGGTTTGATTGCGTGTTGCCCAAACCGTTTCGGCACTTAATTTACCGTATGTTGATTTCAAATCCACTTTGTTCGTCTCTAAGAAACCTTAACAACCGCTCTTAATAGCCTTGGGCATAGGGGTGTAAAATTACAAATTTTCGGTACTTGTCATGCGTGACTGTCGCATGGCAAGAGGACAAGTACATGTCCAACGAATCGTTTTACAATCTTCGCGCGCTTTCGGTGGAAAAAAGAGACTCCAGTTTTAATATCTTGTAAGGCTAAGGATCGCACTAGAGAACCTTTTTTCTAATCATAGGTTGACCTTACAATGAGTTTTTGTGAATATAGAAAGGATGGAAAGTGGTAAAATGCACAGCACCTGACTGTTACCGTTGGATAAGAAAAAATTGAAAGAGAATAGGCGTTGATCAGTCAGGAATGATAAAAAATATATGTGATTATCAAAAGAAGACTGCAAGTCAAATGTGAAAAGACCTCAGTTACGATATTTACTGACCAATACCAGTCTTCATCAGCTAGTCGAAACCTTTTTCACATGAGCCCTCCCTTTTCGATCACGTTATTTGATCAGCCCCCGAGAGTACTTTTCTTTTGAAAATGATTCATAGAGAAAGTGTTTTCTTACTGTCGCTTGCTCACCTTTCGTTCAACACAGAAACGGAACTGAACTTTTTTCTTGCGCGTTATATTAACTCGAAAAAAAGTGCTGACTCAGAGAGAAAAGCCCCCAAACTTGACGCGGATAGGAGCTGGTGACTAATAAACTTACTGGCCATACCGCTGGCCTAGACTTGTATTTGAATACAGATGTTTTTATATTTTTATTTAGCATAAGTGTTTTATTATCAGTAGAGGGAACAAGGTTGTACATATGGCCTGAATATTGCGGAGCCAGTTTCACGAGCACGTTTACAGCCGGACTATAAAAACGTTGGTGATTAGTCACTCGAACCAAATACCTGACCTTCAGTCGGACTGCAAGTTAGGCCAGAAGCAGAAGGGATTCATCTTTTGACGGTCATGTAAAAGAAAGACCACATGTTCACAGGTGAATTTTTTTCTAGGCAAACAAGCTGCTTGAATTTTATTTCGTAACCCTGCTAGGATATATCTCATATCATGAACTACCCCGGAAATTTTCCAGGTACAAATGTAGACAAATCATCAGGATTTTTTTTAGGTAATACAGATTTTGTGCCTACACTTTGGACTTCCAAAGGTCCCCCTTGTCATAAAAAAAGGGGGGGGGGGGGTATTCAACTAGCATGCATATGGAGCGTTTTAAAGGAATTACAGAAGGGTTTTTGTTCTAGAGGCATTGATCGATAGTAGCGTGAATGATGATAATTGATCACAACCTTGTTCCCAGGGCTTTTTCCGTTACAAGTCACAAAATACAGTTATCAAAGTTATTTTCACAGGATTTTATTTTTTTTAGGTGATACAGATTTTGTGCCTACACTTTGGACTTCCAAAGGTCCCCCTTGTCATAAAAAAGGGGGGGGGGGGTATTCAACTAGCATGCATATGGAGCGTTTTAAAGGAATTACAGAAGGGTTTTTGTTCTAGAGGCATTGATCGATAGTAGTGTGAATGATGATAATTGATCACAACCTTGTTCCCAGGGCTTTTTCCGTTACAAGTCACAAAATACAGTTATCAAAGTTATTTTCACAGGATTTTATTTTTAACCCTTTAAGCCCCAGTATCCACATACGAATTCTCCAAACTGATCCCCATACATTTCCCTAAAGAATGAGTTGAGAGAATTTGTTAAAAGATCAAGGCATTTTTACTTGGGTGATCATTTTATTAATTCTCATAACTTATCTGTTGACAATGTATAGATATTGTTAGGGGAAAATTGATCTTGGTCACTATTGGGACTTATTGGAATCTTTATTGAGTCCAAACGTAATGCAAAACATCTGTTTATGATTTTACTATCTCTACCAACACTGGAATGCTTTTGTTGAGATAAATTTTTTGCAACTTCAACATCAAAACAAGCAATTCAAGGGAACCTGCAGAGGAATTAGCTCATGCTGTTTTGGTATTTGAGAGGAGGGGTTCCCAAATTCCCAAATACCACACCTCAAAGGTTAGTCGCAAATGATTTTGCTTCTGTAAACATCACATTCAAACACAGGTATGAGCAACTCTTTCAAACTTACAGATTTCTCAGTCTGGATTTTGAAGCCACAAAATGTTAGATGTCTTTGTACACTTCATAATGATGATAAAGCAAGTTTTCAAATGACAGCGCTAAAAAAATGAACCACACATCTAACTCTTTTAACACACATGGTGCTTTTTGTTCAGAGCTCTTTAATTTCATTATCCCAACTGTGGAGACATTGTATTGTATTTGTCACGTATTGTTTACAGTCAGGTAAAAGTTACACCTTTTCTAAGAATAGCTCTTACCTTCTATAGCAGACATGCGTAGAATGCAAATTTTTGAATAATCTCTCATGCTTCACATTCCTTAATTTCAAAGTTGAATGCTTCTTTCCCAACTTCCTGTTAAAATACCCGGCACGTGGGCGAAGGAAACTGTAGTTTATCAGTTTCCCATGCCTTTTATTTTCTAAAAGTTCAGGGGAAACCCAATGGAACAAAGCATTTCACTTTTAGGCTACAAAATACAACATAAGAATCAAAGCTTATTCTATGTGTAAAATGAAATATATTATAACCTTAGAAACATCACGACATTTACAGTTTATTTTTAATTCTTAACAACATCTTGATGCAGAAGTCCTATATTTTCATAAATCTGCATTGAATAATATAACCAAAATGAACATCACAATTAGATATTTGGAAAGACTTGACACACTATTTTCCAGTCTATTTTGATGCAGATCATCGTTAAAAACTATATTCTCTCAAAAAATGATAAAACTGACAGAATGTATGGACTTGCAGGTCATAGTATTTTCACTTCAGTATTTCAACGAACATAAACCATCCATTTTATGATAGCCTTAACGTACAATAAATAAGTAGTCATCGATTTTTAAGGCCGAAATAAATTTCAGTAGCCTTCTAGTATCATATTATAAACTGGTTAGGTAAATTTCAAACACAACACTTTACAACATTCCTACGTCTATATTTTAAACAACTGTCATCAGGCTTTGGTTATTACTAGAACACAATATTACACGGTTCTAAAGTCGTTTACAATACAGAGTTCTTTTTAAATGTTCACTGTAGTTGTTATCAATCGAAAAGCCAGCTTTCGAAATCGAACTTTAAAGCCCCTTTCACGCATTTCCAAGGATAAAAATTTAAATAAAAATTCTTGGATACGGAGTTCGTCGGTTGATGTCCGGTGCTACTCTTTTCTATAATTAGCAAAATTTAAATTCTAGATTTGTCGCAAGTTTGGAAATGGGGGCCAAAGTGTTTTTTTAAACTGTAATTTGTTTACTTTTCTGTAAGATTGATCCAAGGCACGTGCTTAGAAGATCGTCTTGACGCTTTTTCCTCTTCATAAATAACTTTCGGCAGCTTTAGACCAACGTTATCAGGGCTAACCGTTATGTTCACTCTGTTCGGAAGCGAAGAACACACAAGAAAACTCTCCATATTAAAAACTCGACTTCCATCAGTCTGTTATTAGTTCACCGCTAAACCCTGTGGCTGACTTAAAAGCATGATTTCGCAGCCGCCATGCACATGGTCCATAACTTTTATCTTCAGATCAGATACCTGCTTCTTAAGTTCGCTGATTTCGGCGTGAAGTTTTGTGTTGATTCCCTTAAGTTGGGTCACTTTATCTTCAAGGTCTGCCTCTTTTTCTAGTTTTCTCTTTCGGCATTTCGACGCCGCGACACGATTTCTCTGCTTCTTTCGCTCGTTCTTGACCGTTTCCTGTAACGCCAAGTCGATCGGTGGAAGAGGAGGCGTTCCTGGCACAACTTGTGATTCGTTCTCGATCTTTACGTTCGTTAATCGTGGCTGTTGAGGTGGAATTTGCACGTTCAAAAGCTGATGGTAACTTGTACTAGGTTCAAACTGAATCGCCGCAGCCCTTTGAAAGTCAGGAAAAATTTGGTTTGCGGTGCCAGAAGATTGTAACGAAACCAGCGGAAGTGACTGAGTCGAAATTGTCGAGGTACCGGTCGCGAGCATTGGAGTAGTACTAGCGATTGTACTCCTCGTATTATTTATCCCGGTCACTGTAGCAAATGGCGGGTTAACAGCACCTTGTCCGGCTGAAGTTAGAACGTTCTGCGTAACAGGTACATTTGTCACCTGACTTGACGGTTCCTGTTGATCGTGAAGCCGTTGCAATGCCTCCATAAAACCCCGCGCGTACATTTCTTGTTGTTCTGTGACTGACGACGTTCCCTTGAACAACTGACTCGGAGTAGGAGTTGTCAAGATACCTCCATAACTCATGATTAACTTTTCCAATTCAGGAGAACCCAAAGTTAGTAAATGTAAGTCAGGAGACGTTAAAACAGCGCCATCAAGTGAAGTTTGCCGCCGCGTGTTCGTCGACGAAAAGTCTAACTTCAGTTTGCCTTTATCGTACGTTGATCCTTGAGAAGTAGAAGTTGCCGGCATATTTTCTTCGTCATAAAATGATGCTTCCATTCAAGAAGCAGTGTTCGATTGTAATGTTACGAAAATCAGCTGACTCAAGCAATCCAGATTGCTCGGTGAATTTTTCATACGCAACTTTTATTTCCGTGGGTAAGGCACCTCTTTATGTCCCTTGTGTCATTTTCTATTTTCGTTCTGCATATGTCATTAAAATGTGATTGGTTGAAAACTTGCACTTTGTTCTTTCGTGACTAATGATTGGTTACTTTTGATGGCTTCCCTCCGCACGTGACATTGCATGTATTTATCTCTGACGTCAAGCGGAAAACATGCAGAAAACAAAAGCGGTATTTCCTAGGCGACCCAAGGAGCGCGAAATTTCGATTCATTTGCGGGCTTATTTCGATTCGTTAAATACGATTTCTTATAATTGGTACATGCTAGAGAAGGGTAGAAGTTTCGCTAGTTCAGAGGGCTTCGTATGGATTGATCTTCTCCAGTTAAAACAAGAAAATAGGAGAAAATCAAGTTGTCCGAAGGAAAAAAAAAGTGAAATGAAATGAAATAAAAACAGAAATTGCATTCGGAAGTTTAAAGTAAAAATATCACCGGAACATGTAACACCGTTAATAAATTTCCTACCGAACCATTAAGTATTGCATGAATATTTTACAAAGGAAAAAGTCAGGCCTTCGTGGAAAGTTTTGTTTAACTTGGTGCCGCCCTGCCCACTCGCCCACGTTTCCCGGGCTTGGGTTTTTTTTTTCAGTTTTGATATGGACTGATTGTTCTGAGAAAGCTCGAGGATACTTCCTTTGTATTGTTTTGTTTATCACTGCGTCTGTGAACTTAACCGCACTTCACTAAAACTGAATGTTTCTCACCGGAAACAAAATGTGAAAATTTCACGTAGTTCTTCATAAACACTTTTCCTCGTCGAGAACCGTTTCTTGTAAATTCACGTGAAGCTTTTGCTCGGATTTTGAAAACTTTTGTACATACTGTCATAGTTTTTGCCTGAAGCAATTCGTTATCGTACATAAATTAGCCGTCAAATAATCATCTGTCTGTCACGCGGTCACGTATAAGTTGTATGATGTCTAGTGGATTCGTCCTCACGTCTTTCGACCAGGTTAAACTTATGTCTATTTTAATGATATTCTTGAAGAATAGCAAACAGCAAACCCAAAGCCAATTTTCGGCTTTAACTTGAGGCTAAAATATTTTGTATAAGCGCTCTTTCCGAAAAGGTGAAGCCTGATATTTACAGATCGTGAGTTGAATTTTCAAACAATATTACGTGCTTTCTCCGTGCTCGACAGGTGTAAAATTCGATCCACTTCGTTTACGTTTACCTTATATGGCAAGGAGTGTGGAAAGAAAATTGTTGCTGATAAATGCCTCTAACCTCGAATGCTAGGAGACTTTGGATTAAGCGTTTTTGTGTGAACTGAGGATGCTAGCCTGCCCTTGTTTTGAAGAAATTTCGAGGATGAGCGTGCGTGAAAAAATAACCACAAAAAATCAGAAATAAAAATTGGCGCCTGCCCCGCAGGAAGAAGCTAAATACGAGAATTAAACCTCACGCACCGGTAACATAAACCACAAGAACATTAGTTTTACATCTTGAGGTACTTCGTGAAAACTTTTTCGGCTAAATCTCATGGATCAGCCGAACGTATGTTTAGCGCTTCCCTAATACTAATGCGAAAAGAAGGCTATGCCATTCAGGAGGAACAACTTTTATCAGTTCCGCTTTAACAGTGAAATTCATAGTTATCAAAAAGATAAAGAAAATTTAAATTGTTTTCTAACGGAAGCACGCCTAACAGATTAACGCGGAACGACTTGACCTCAGGACACTTTAATATCAAGGGCGGGGTCAATAAACAAATAGGAAGTTGTATTGCCAAATTCGGAAAAGAAGCGGAACTGTATGAACCGTAAAAGAAACTGAAACGCTCGCTGAGACAAGCCCTACCGTTCGCTTATATATCCTTGAAGCAGTCCGAAGCACTGACGTATTTAACAGTCTAGAATTGTTTTTCTTGCCTATACGACCTGTTATTCACCCTTTATCATGTTTATGTACATCTTGAAATGGTTATGAGATGTTAGCTGAATTTAACATTAAAATGCTGTAACTTTCTGTCCGTAATTGTACTATTTTAAAAAACCTCTCTGTTTTTCGTGCGTGTGGCTCTTAATTGAAGCCTCAGGAGTGAAACACGTGTGAGAGGCGTTCAAGATATTGATCCAGCTTAGAGAAAATCCTTCTTACATGAACGTAAACAATACGCACGCTTTTATTTTTTTTGTGTATAAAAGGTTATATCGGTTTTCTTCTCGATGTTTATAATAATTTACAAGAAGTACATAATCTTGTGAGTTTGATTTCACCCTGGGTATTCCGAGGACATATTGCCCTAGTAAACTGAAATATATCAACAAAAATTCGATTCTTAGAATCGAAACTAGGCAATAGTTTTGACCTTGTACAGACAGTTTTGTTTTTCAATAAGTGGTCATATATTGATCATGTGCGTTTGTTGTGACCTTTAGGGGTTTTCATCAAGGCCAGCTATTAGGAGAACACGTACATATTTTGCTTGATTACGTCACTGAACGTCACTAGTAACACTGTCACACAACACAAATAAGCAGAGCGTGTCTGTGACACTGCAACAGACAGTTTTGACCCCGAAGAGAAGCATTTGACCAGTTTTCAAGAAAATATAAACTACATTTGTCCAACAGACGTGATTATTCAATCGTCCAAATGTTAAAGGAACCAGAAGTAGCGAATTTCGGCCGTAAAAGAGCAAAAGGGTAACGACAGCCATGTGACAAAGTTTTGTGGCGGGAAAGACGCGCGGATGCCCGGCTGGCAAGGCTCTGTGATGGCGGGAAAAACTGTTCATACAGAGTGTAAACCTCGTAATTTTGTCATGTTTACGATTCATCCGAAACCTATTATTGATTTTCGGTGCAATTATCGTCCAAAAATTGGGGAGAATGAGCGCTGCGGTTCTACTTTCTTCAGCATCAACTTCTGCAGAAGCATCTACTCCTGGCAATGGTACAAGTACATCGCTAAAAACTAGGCCAGGATGGGCTTCTTCGGCGACCGGCAATGAACGAAACGTGAAAAGGCAATATTCAGAGCCTTCTGGATCGGTGTTAAAACGCCAGAGGACTCCTTTATCAAGTTCCACAGCGAACAATGAGGGAATGTCGACAAGAAGTGTCAGGCATTCCTTGCGCACAGAAAATCAAGAACTGCTTGAAGATATGAGTGAAAACGATTTTGTGCCTCAAAGAAATCTTGCCGTGGCATCAGATGAAAGTCCTGGAGAAACAGATGTCAAGGTAGAGCTCTTATTAAAAAAGATAGAAATTTAGTCCTTGTAATCAGCTGTTGTAATCGGGTGGTGTTTATATTTATTTATTCATTTATTTATCTATTTAAAAAAGTCAATTACCTGTGAAAATCTTTGAGGTAAATTCAGATACCCAGTTACTTAATTGCATCTTATTAAAAACAAAATGTTGTTACGGTTTCCATGTACATTGCAACCCTCCTGTATCAAAACCTCTTGGAAATAGACTTCTGTTAATCAAGCAGTTAGAATCCTGGGGGAACTCTGCATATGAAAGGGGTGGGGATGCTCGTCGTCTCGCTTAGGGGTGTAAATTTCAGATTTTGATCTCACTTAGGTTGTTTTGGGCAAAATGCCAACATATTTAGCCATGAAGGTCTCGTTTAGGGTTGCACGCGAAAAAATATAAAAATACACAACATTGCCTGTGTTTTAACATGGTCTCTTTTAGGGGTCAAAAAAGCTTGGGCCATGCCCAGATCAGTCTCCTTTAGAGGTTTAATTCAAAATTTCCGACAAGCATCCCCACCCCGTTTATATGCGGAGTCTCCCCCCAGGGGTTCAAATGTGCCCCCTAATGGCATGTTTGAATCATTTGATGGTCAGAAATCTATTTCTAATAATAACTTTGAAAATAATGTAAGACTCAGGCCCCAAATTTTCAAAAGGTGGATATTGCTTTCTACTGGATCAATCTCTATCCAATGGATAACGCATTTGCATGTCATAAATATGTTTATCCACAGGACATTGATTTATCTGGCCCCTGTTGTTCAAAAGTAATATAGCACTATTCAGTGGATAAATTACTATCCAGCGGATAAGTGTTAGGGAAACTGATTGCGCTATGTGTGGAGAGAGATTTATCCAGTGGATAGTGTTATCCACCATTTGAACAACTTAACGGAATAGACTACTGGGCGACATTAGCACCCCACCATCTCTGAAGAGTGTTAAACATCGTATTCGGAAATGTCATTTAAGTGCAATGGACGAAGATGATAATATTGAACAAACTGCATTCTTTATAACTCCTGACAGAATGAAATTTTCCAGACTGGCTCTCTGTTTTAGTTTTTTTAGGTATTCAGTAACTAGGCTTTTAGTACCGAATAGTCTGTAGGCTTTTGATCATTTTTCTTTATTATATTGTTAAGTGTCCCCAGTTAGTACAGGGTATTGCCCTAGGCTAGCTACTTTGACACATTAATAAAGTTTTTGATTTGACTGATTGATTGATTGAAACCTGGTGGATAGCACCATCCAACGTTTGAACAGCCGGGGCCAGATCTTTAATTTTCATGTTATCCTGTGTGGTCTATTGACTTTAAACCCAAACTCTGTCACTGTTGGGAACTAGTGGTTGCATCTTCTACAAACCTTTATTTCATGTAAACCTTGAGTGTACTATAAATACGTTAGCCATATGTTGTCTTTTAATAGTTGGTCGATGCCTCTTTATGAAATTAATTCTGTGTATGTTTTTCTTTCCTTTTGTTTATTCAGAGAGTTTTGTCTGTGGTTTGGAGTGGAGGAAAATTGGGCTCTGCATATTATGATACAGAGACTTCACAACTGTATCTGCAGATGGATGTCATTGAGACAAATGATTTCCAGTTTCTGAAAAGAGGTGATTTTTTTAGACCTGTAAAAATAGAATTATTTAAAATTATTTCTGAATGTTTGGTTTATTAAAATCTGTTATTAAACTCATTCTGCTGTTTGGTCTTGTCGAATAGACAAATAAACTGTATTAAAGTTATAGTTGTATACTGTCACTAGTAAAGTTTTAACCATGTTAACTGAACAGATGAAATCCAGGACTTTGCACAATCAAAATGCTGTTTTCCTGGTTAGGGATTTTTGTCCTGGTAGATATAATTCATTCCTGTCTGGACCTCTCTACATTGGCTACATATGGCTCTCCCTAATGGGACCATTGTGGAGAGGTTCAAATGTATGTTTAAAGAAAAATGGCAAGGGCAGCACATGTGAATCGTTCTGTTTTTTAGAATTTGGTTTCAGCCTCTATGTATACTAAGAAATCAAACACTCACTGTTTATCAAAATATGTGGAACAGTTTATTGAATAGTTCTTGAGTATCCAACATGCTATTTTTTTCTTTCTGTCTTGTCCAGTGAAAGAACAAGTACAGGCAGATGTTATAATCACCAGCTCAAAACAAGACGAGAGGATACTCAAGATTTTGCAAGGACAAGGTACACTGCATGTGTTTTGATGTACTATAGTATAGTACAACATGATAGTGTTATTTTGATTGTTCTGTTACTATTAATGTTAAATTATTTGAGACTAGGAAAACTGACAAAGACTGCCCTTTTAACATTTCACTTTATTTCGGTTTGGTTTACCCAAAAATATATGCGAGCACAAGCAGTGGTTGTAATGCTTTCATAATAAGACAATCTCTTATCATAACGTTTTTATGATGTATATTGTACTCACAGATTCTATACATACTGTATTTGTACCTTATAGTAAAACCAAAAGCTGTAGATTCATGTACTCCTGCAAACTTGTTTTTTTTGGAGATATAATGTATAATGTTACAGGGCAAAATTAAATTCAGGTTTAAATTTTTTAACCTATGTTAACTCTCAATAGTCCTAATTTATGAATAATTAACCTTAATTTAATTTTGACCTCTAACATGTATTTTTTGGAATATGTGTCATTTGACTGATTTCCATTGTGTAAACTCAAATGGAATTGGCCTGGTCATGTGGTGAGAAGGACAGATAACCATTGGACTACCTGCATTACATTCTGGATGCCCCATGGACGCACAAGGAACGGAGGAAGGCCAAGGATGAGATGAAGGGACGACTTGGATAGTTTTGTAAAACACTGGCACCATGTCACGCAAAACGTGGTCCAGTGAAGGTCAGTGGGGAAGGCCTACATCCAACAATGGACATTTAACAGCTGAAACTGATCATTGTGTAATATATTTTTTTTAACGTTAAAGTTACTGAAGGATATTATATGTTTGCATTTATATTAATTCAAATGTTTCAGAAGGGGAAAACAATGAGGAACCAATTTGCAAGACAACAGAAGTTGAAATTCTTCCAAGCATAGATTTCTGTAAGTTATAATTGTAGCATCAGTGTTGTAATCGTATCACTTTCTCATTTTCCGCCTACCTGAACTTTCACTTAATCACTTTTAAAAGTGGTTCAATCAAAATTCATTACTGTTAATTGGAATTCAAAGTCAGTTTTAGGTTGACATTAGCGTTAATATAATGTCTATTTATTCATTAAATGTAATAAATAGGTATAAACAGGTATTAATCATAAATATTGTTTTTTTAACTTAAATTATTATTCAATGTTATTATCATTTCTTTATTTATTTCCATTTTTTCCGGAAGCTTTTGAAGTGTGCAAGAGACGCGTCATTGCCTTGAATGGCCTCCCTGGAATTCCTCAGCACTTCACAGATGATGAGAGAGACATTCACATGAGCTCACTTGTTCCATTTGACAGTAGCAATATGGTTAGTCTTGAGCAAGTCAGTGGACTGTATCCCTCAAGAGAAACTGCCGAGGCATTTTTAGAAAATTTGATTTAATCCATTTTCACTGCATACTAGTTATGAATCTTGTGTAATTTGTTCACCCCTCGGTCAAGTATCGGTCAACACTATCGGCCAATACTTGATTGACATGTCAGTTGATATGTCAGCTGACTCTCGGTTGCCATATCGGTCGACATCTTGGCTGACTCCCAGTCGATCATCTCGGCTGACTCTTGGTCGACATGTTGGCCAATATGTCGAGCAATTAAGTTGACTGAGAGTCAGCCGACATGTTCACTGCTACAGATCAGCCGATAGTGTTGGTCAGTGTGTTGACTGATAGTCGGTCAACATATAGATTGATAGGCTGCTGACATTTGGCCAATACCTCACTGATACGTAGTTGACAGTATATTTTATTTTGTGTCTACTCAAATTTTTGTTATGTCTTCCATGCAGCAAGTTTTAATGGGCTTTGTGGCTTTTACCAGTCTAATTTGCGAGTAAAATTTTAAGTGTGTGCGTGTTTTTTTTTTTTTTTTACATAGGGACCGCTATGGCATTGCCTTTGAGAGGTATTCAAGGACAATCTAACATTAAAACATGTCTAGAACCACGGCAGAAATCAGCAAGTTGACTTGGCAAGGCTGATGTGGGATGACACAAACAATAGAACTGAAACTATTTTCAAATCCCCGAACTGTGATATCTCACACGCAACACTGAAACCCAGCTCCCCCATTCTGATTTTAAAACACAAATTATATTATACGACAGTAGACCGATATGCCACCAATAGTCAATCAATATTCCACTGACAGTTGACCAATATTCCACCGACGATTGGCACTCCCCGTATCGGCCGAGTGTTGACCTATATATATACTGATCATGTATCGGGTGACATATCAGTTGACTTGTTGGCGGAGATGCAGTCGAGTGCTGGCCAATGTACTGTCTGACATATCAGTTGAGTGTTGACCAACATATAGATCGACCTGTCAACCGATATGGTGATCGCATGTTGACCAATACTTGGCTAACATGTTGAACGACATATAGGCTGATAGTGCCAACCAATACTCCACTGAGGGGTGCACAAATTACATGAGATCCCAAGTTATTAAAATAAGACACAAACATAGCAGCAGGGAAGGACTAGGGAGGAACAGAGGAAACATATGAGCTCGCTTACCCAATTTAAAATAACTCACGTGGAAAAAAAAAAAGAAAGAAAAAGAAATTGTCAGGAAAATTAACTCAAAAAAACTGCCAATTATGATAAGACTCACTTCAACACTATGATTTTATGCCCAAGTAAAATGCGGATGAAAGAGAAATCAGTTACATGTACATTAACAGTTCAAGTTGAAAAGCAAGAAGCACATAGTGCATATAAATGCTATTAAGTTGTTAGCAGTGAGGGCAAATATTGATATTTATTACATAATGGAATCCGTGAGTGGGCAAGATGAAGCAAATCCTGCATTCTGATTGGCTACGCTAGTGGGCATGATGGGCCCATCTTGCCTGCTTGGGATTTCCTGTGTTCTCTTTTTTGCCATATAATAAATTCTTTATTGACCAAACTTGTTCAGCCAAGATGGCTGAATATTGGCCTTGTTCTGTTTTGCGTTTTATTGACCTTGACAAAGAACTTGGCCAATATACTGCGTCAGCCATCCTGACCTCACGCTTGGTTAATATTAAACACATACATGTATGTGTTGCAAACAGATTTTTGTTTTCTCTCCCTTGTTATGAAGCAAGTTGACTATCTGAAGTGAGATGTTTTGTGGAGTCTTTAATTTTAATAAAGTGAATGTTTATCAATTCTGGTAGGTGAGAAGTGCAGGTGCCTTGATTAAGTATATTGACAAAAAAAGGATTGGTGTTGAATTGGAGGATCCAGATGTGAGAGTACCAATCCTAGGGCTTAAAGTGTTTTCCTTGTAAGTGAGATTAAGGAGTTTGAGATACCACGATGGCGATGGCCATGAAAACGTCACTTAAAAAGAGAATTTGCGTTCTTTCAGTCCGCGATTATTTCAACTCATTTACTTTGTCAAATTCAAGTGAACTCTTTTTGATCGAGCCGAATTCCTAAGAACCATATTCACATTCAGAAAGAGAAAGAAAATTTAGCCGTCGTTTGTTTATGTCCTCCGTAAGATGTTAAATTAGGCATTTTGCCATCGTAGTCATGCAGTGACGTCAAAGAGATGTGTAAAAGCAGCATGCAACATGTGCAAAGTTGTTGTTTTGCCTATTCAACCTATTGTTTTTTTGATGTTCTTGTTGTCATTGCCGTCGTTGCGTTTTAAAGTCCCTTTTATTCATGTACTATGACCTTTTCATGAACCAGGGGTATAACCAGGAAATTTCCAGAGGTATGCACAATTTTCCAAGTCCTCCTGCCCCCACCCCTACCCTAAAACAACTTTTTCATGCTTTATACATCAAGCTTGCTGCTTACATGCGTGCAGATGTCTCCTCTATTTCTTTTATAAATATGTTACGATTTCCGCTTGCAACAAAGGAAGTAGGAGGCATCTGCATGCAGGCGAGCTTGCCACTGAGTGCCTTTTCCTGCCTTTTCTCTGAACATACTGGTCTACCAATGATCACATGTCGCTTCTCTGGAAATCAACATTTAGGTATGAAAAAGAAAAAGGGAGTTGTTTTAGGAAAAAGCTATTTCAAAGAAACAAGCAGGCTTAAATAAATGAATGGAAAATTGTGCTTTTAAAATTTTCTTTTTTTATTTTGTACAATTTTTCACCACAACAGATTTTCAGTTACGCATGTACGTACTATGTGTATAGGTAGCTACGCCCCTGTAACTACCCCACATGCAGCTGTACTATATGAAAGGTACTTGGCCCCTTTCAATCTAAACTACGGTTGCTGCTGCCTATAGGTATTTGATATTTTTTATCCATCTACAAGACATTTTCCGGAGGTCACCCAGAGTAATAAAGGTTTTCTTGTCACCCAAATCCAGGCCTTTGTAACCAAGGTCTACATGGTGCTGCCATAACAGCCCAGAGTGCCAAGTGGAGGGGGAGGGGGGGGGGGGATTGGAATACCCCTCCCTTCATCAGCTGCATTTTGTCTTTTATCAGTATTCATTCTGTCTAAAACTGTTTTAAACTTTCATTGCAGAAATGATCTTCTTATTGTTGACAACAATACTTACAGGTACATTCATGTTATTTTTTAGTTGGATAGATTAAAATGTGACCTCATATATCTGATTGATTGCGATGTTTGCCATTCTAAGTGCTTTACAGATTCTTCAAAAGGAAAGACACCCATCTGTGTATAAAGTGGGAACTGGGAACAGTGGTGCTAAAGAAGGACTTTCTCTGTTTGGTAAGTAATATATCAAACATGAGATGCAGTGTTTCATCACCAGATGAAACACCGAGAAGAGAGTTGAAAATACGACTCACAGCGGAGTATTTTTGACGAACTTCGAGGTGTTTCATCTGGTGATGAAACACTGAGTCGAATGTTTGATATTTCTTCTCAAACAAAATCATTTTTGAAGGAGAAATTAAGGATGCAAATACTAAGCAGTGTTTCATCCGATTTCCAAACACTCATTAAACATTAATTTCCTTTGTATTTTCTTAATGAATTATTAATGAGTTTGAGAAGTTAATATCAAACATACTTCTCTGTATTTACCACTGCAGTAAAATCCATCTAGTGTTTGGGGTTTATTTGCATTACACATACTTTTGTTAGTTAGCTGATATCTACAGTATTTTCTGCAGGTATCATCAACAGAACTAAATCTGTTCTTGGGAGTCACATGTTAAGGTGTGTGTTTATAAAGTGCTCACATTTTTACAAATATCTTTGTCGGTTGGTATTGTAATTGAAGGGTTTCCTGTAAAAAGAAGTGCCACGATATTAGACTGGTTGAATTTCTTGTTTTCACTTCAGGATGTGGTTTTTACGGCCATCAAGAGACATCAGTCTTCTTAGAAAAAGACAAAAGGCAGTATCTTACTTCATGAGCCTCAGAAATGCAGAGCTTGTGGCTTCTTTACAGGACTGCTTGAAGCACATCAAGAATGTCTCTGTAAGTCATTTAATAGCTGATCCCTTTTGTGTGTGAAATATGTTTGCTCATACCAAGCCTTTTTTTAACAGAGAATATTGTCTAGAATGACTACAGCTCAAGCATCAGTTGGGGACTGGCAGGCACTTTACAAGGTGAGTTCAGCCCGAATATAGAACTGATTTATGATGCCAAGGAAACAGTGAAGTAACTCTAACTGATATTAATAATAATCTGTTAATTATTACAGTAGAAGAACATTACATGTATCTTTTGTCCAAGAAAAAATGGCCTCTCGCTGCTTGAAGTTAATGGTTTTTTTCCCTTTGCTACTTAGACAGCCTATAATGGGACCTACATTGCTGATCTCTGTAAAACAATTCCAACAGATATTGAAATTGCCAGAAAGGTATGCATGATACTATTGGCTTTTGCAATGTTGTATTAAAGTCTCAGAAAATATTTACTATCTCGTGCTAATTTCTTCCAAAGTGAATCTGAAATCATGTGATACCCTGTGGCACTTTCTGCTCACTTCCACACTGCCGCTGTTTGATTTACCTTGGTAGGATAGACTAGGATACAACTGACATAGTTACAGCATGGTGCATGATACTGACTTTAGTTTGACCGAGTTGAGCTCCTGACTATAATGCCACATTACTGGGACAAAGGGTGTCACTATTTATTTATTAGTTTTGACTGTACTTTGCATTTTTTTATCAACTAGGTTACAACTAGTTTTACTGATGACTTACATGGTATTGGGAGTCTTATAAGCAAAATAGTAAGATGTGTTTCTTATCACTGTATCTATAGTTTACATTTCGATACTATTGAGAATTTTCTGATTTTTAAACTATTTGGCAGGTGTTTAATTGGACTTATCATATTAATTTATGTTCTTATTTGCTCAGATTGACTTTGATGAATCTACAGAACAGAATCGCTTTGTTGTTAAGCCTGGTGTGGATCCCTCATTGGATGAAAGTAAGAATGTTTGTCTACATTTACCTACCAATGTGTCCTGTGTTCAGTTTCATTTGTAAAATGTCATCCTAACAGTCTTTTTTGTTTCAACTATTTCTACATGGTGGTCAACATTCCACCCTTCTTACCATTACATTAGTCTATACTATGTACACCCTTGCTCAGATGATAATTATGCACAGTAAATGTGATGTTATATATTGTAAACAAAACACTGTCTTAAAGCTGTTAAAACATTCATCTCTTGTGTTTAGTGGTGAAATGGTTTTGTCTGGTCTGATGTATTTTTTGAGCGGGGTCAGGACACTTGTTTCAATCACCCTCTTGGATTTGCTACTGTAAGCAGTGATTTTGTTTACTCTGCATACTGTGTCCTGTGTCCCTGATGCAAGATAATTCATTGCAACCCTGGACCTACTTTAACATCCTAGTGGTCTACTATAAAACTTAATGAGAACCCTAAATGCAGTCACAAACTTTTGACTAAGAAGCTTTTGACAGTCCTAGACGTCCTACTTCTATTCTCCCCCAGAAAGTTGCATTACTGTCTTCTGTACCTTAAAAAGTAAACTGGACCTTCACTGGCCTTCTGTTCATCAGTATTGTTTACTCTTGTTTATTACAGAGAAGAGGACTTACAATGGCCTTCCAGACTTCATGACAAAAGTAGCTCGGGAGGAACTAAATAAACTCAGTTCTTCTATAACCGAGTGCAATGTTATTTACCTGCCGCAGGTAACTGTAAATACTTAATCTATTTATTCAAGTGTATGGTTGGTCTATAATTTATGCAATACAAATTTAACTCTTCTTACAGCTAGGTTATTTGCTAGCAATCCCCAGATCATCAGAAATGAAAGAAGAGAAGGACTTTGCTCTAGATGGCCTGGAATTTGTGGTGAGCCAACCTGTAACGGCAGAGTACATACTGTGTGTGACTTAGATCTGTGAATATTCAGTTAACTCAGCTTGATAATTTTTTGTTCACATTAATTTTTCTGTCTCAGTTTCTTAGCAATAACAGAGTTCACTACAAGAGTGCTAGCACCAGAGGTAAGATCAGTTTGTGGAGAGTTAAACTTGGTATGGCACAGCCACGCCCATTTGAAAGAAGGTTTCACAGAAAATTAACTCACCTATGCATGCTGCGTTTCAGAACTTGATAATCTCTTGGGGGACACACAGTGTGAAATAACAGGTGAGTATAGTTTGGCCTTTTACCCCTCTTCAGAAGGTAGCTAATTTGTTCAGGAAAGAACTAGCATTATTGTTGCTATGTCATACCTGTTTTGGAGTTTTGTATGTTAACTTTCGCTAAATTTTGCCGTCTGCTTTGTTTTCAGATCATGAGACGGCAATCATGCATCGTCTGCAAACAGTTATTTTAGAACACACAAAAGTCTTAATGGATGTCATGGAATGCTGTGCAGAGTTGGACTGGTAATCACCTGCAAAGTTCTTTATCCCTTCTCAATAGTGACCAGCAATAACACTGCCTCATAAAACACACAAGTCATGAGAATGAATAAAATGATTACCAAAGATGAAATGTAGAGTAAATGTCTTCATGTTTGAAGAAATTATCTAAAGTAGTACCATAAGAAATTGAAGAACAGTGTGGAGAGTTTGCATGTTGGTATTTGTTCTTTAATGGTTGAAAACGACCAGGTCATGACGATTTCAATGATTTTTGCGTGTTTTTGTGAGCTGAAAGAAACATCGTGCACTGTTAAACCAGCTCCATGACTCCAGAGTGAAGTCACGACTACACCTACAAATTGAGACAAAAAAGTGTGTGCCATTGTTTTCAAGTATACCTGATGCAGTCCTCTTAATGTTTTTCGGTTTTGGCCATCCATGCTTCTGTTGGGTGTTTCTTTTTGTTTACATTGTACACCAGCCCCTTTGAGGGCTCCCTGAAGTCAACCACACACTTGTCACACTTCTTTAGACATTTTTTGGCACTGATGAGAGAGAATTACCCTCGACAGAAAACAATTCGTGCATTTAAGAAGGGATTGGTAGTTAACTGAAAGTAATTTTATCATGACTTGTGGTTCAAGCGTATAGACTCATATTAGTATTGTTTCTCTTTCAGCCTAATTGCCCTTGCCTTGTGTGCTAGGGAAAATAACTATGCTTGTCCGGAGCTGACAACTTCCTCAGTGTTAAACATAGAACATGGAAGGTACAGTTTCATCACTACTTTGCCTTTAGTTGTTTTATTTTTGCAACCTTTATTGCCATAGTGCGCGCTTTAAAATTGAATTACGGAAATCAAATCCTGGAGTTGACTTAAAGCCTGTTTTAAGAAGATATAAGAACGCCAACAGATAATTGTACTAGTCTCTTTTGATCGGTGTTGACTGCAAAACCCTGCAATGTTTTCTAGATTTGCAACTAAACTTGTAAGCCTCAGTGTTGCTTTCTTTTTTGTCAGACATCCTTTGCAGGAACTGTGTGTAAATCAGTTTGTACCCAATAACACCATGATTTACAGGGACAGTGGTCGGTTAAAGGTTTTAACAGGACCTAATGCCAGCGGGAAAAGTGTCTACCTTAAGCAGGTAAAGTGTATGACGGTGTGCATTTGAGCCTTTCAGTGTATACCTGTTAGGGCGGTTGAGGTGTAGACTCTCTGAAGGTTCCCCAATAGCTTTCCTCAATCGCGTCATCCCGACCCATATTTTCGCTCAATCCCGTAATCCCGATAGTCATTTTCAATCCCAAATCTCGCCCCCATTTTGCTTAATAAAATCCCAAATAAGGCAAATCCCGGATACCGAAGAATTTATTGGGGAACCCTCTGTGTGTGATTCAACTGTGGTTCAGGCTCTCATTCAGTCGGGAAAAGCGAATATAAAATCAGAGCTTGGTTTAAAGGGTAATCCAAATTCTATCCCCACCTTGGGTTTTTAGAGATTCATTTTGCTCAGCATTGTTGTATAAAAACGAGCACCCCTCGTATACATATAAAGAACGGAAAATACCAAAACTGCCGCTGCCCTTTTCATTTTTCTTTAGGTTTTCTTTTACCTTTAAAATACCAGGACCCGAATTTTGATGTTTGTAATTTGTAAACAGCAGCATTTCCCCCCCTAACAGGTTGGCTTGATCGTGTTCCTTGCACATATCGGAAGTTTTGTGCCCGCTGACTCAGCAACTGTTGGCATCACAGACAGAATCTTTACACGAATACACACCAGGGAAACTGTATCCGTCGGCCTATCAACGTTCATGATTGATCTAAACCAAGTAAGTTCCCCTGAGACCGCTATTGAGAAAACAACAACCTCGTTCCCAGGGTTCTCTCCTACCCGCAAAACAAAACATACAAGCTAAAGAGGTCTATTGCGGTTCAGGCATTTTAAATGGAAAGTAAAATAAATGGTAATTACAATAAAATATTCACTGACGAAAATTCCTGCCTTAAAGAACTGACAGTTTCCTCCGTCGCCCTAACGAGCCATCGAAATGTCAGCTTCGGAGTCTCCGTTCCTGATCAGTTGAATCAATCATCATCAGAATATTGCTCTGTCACTGTTTTGGCTCAAGTGGCACGCCCATTCTTGGACTTGTCTGTAAAGATTCTAAGCTTAGCGCGTTATTGGAGGGTGTTAAGTTTGGAATGTCCTAACCCTTTCACTCCTAATAATGAACGAATGAAAAAAGTCACCCCCCCCCCCCCACCCCGCTGCAAAAAATAATTGTATTTTAATCCTAAGACGAAATAGCCTGAGTATCAGGCCTTCCTAAGGGGCTAGGGGAGAAGAGATTTTGCATGGAACGCCTGATGCTCAGGCTAAAGACGAAATTAATTTGTGCAAAAACCTGCCAAAGAGGTTTCAATAGGGAGTTTAAGAAGCGACGTTTTTGAGCATGTCAACTTGAAGTGGACTTTTTGCACACTTGAGCTGTGATTTTGAACAAACTTTTGGGCAAATCGTCTCTATAGGAGCAAAGAAACTTAGCAATACATATTTGGTGGCGTTAAGTCATATTAACCCTTTCACTAAGAGACTGCTTGATGGAGTTTTGAAAGGTGATTGTAACTTTTGCGTTTGTGGACGAAATCCTATGATATGACCATTTAAATGAAAGGTCCCTGCCTGTTCTTTTCAAAATGTTAGAAAATGAAATTTGGAAATCTGGTCGAAATTTGCCTTTAACTACGTTTGGCAGTGAAAGGCTTAAAGGAGAAAAAACGCACTTCCGGTTAATGTGCATCGCTCAAAAAGTTGCTGTTTAAGCTCTCTGTTTACAAGGTAACACCACAGTATTTCGTCCAAAGATGCAAAAGTTAGAGTAAGTGACAAATCATCACTCCATACCTAAGTCTAAAAGTGAGAGAGTTTATCATGTCTCTTGGTTTATTAACTGGTTGATTTTTTCGTTCATTTTAAGGTAGCCACCGCAGTACACGGAGCAACAGTGAACTCACTGGTTATCATTGATGAGTTTGGAAAAGGAACAGCCACGGTATGTGAAATCATATGATAATAGTTTTAACAAAAATTCCATTTTTATCGTTGTTTCTTTTGTTTGTTTGCTCCTTCGTTTATGTTTTGTATGGAAGCCCTGTATACGTAATTATCAAAGCGAGTATTGCTGAAACTCTGGGAAAAGGCTTTCAGACTAACGCCGGCAACAGCGAAACTGAAATGACTGTCATTTTCTGTTATAGTCGTTTTGTTTTTAAAGAGATTAATGTTTCTTTTATTAATAATTGACAATCTGACAAAAACTGATATGGAAAAGGAAGTAAATGATGATATTTGAAGTCATGAAATACGAAAACTTATGCTAGTAACTTGCAACGGGATCGAAGACCTAGAGCTCTGTTATTCCGTGTTTTCTTTAGATCGATGGTTTGTCTTTATTGAGTGCTTCTCTCCGCTACTGGCTCGCACGTGGACCCAGCTGTCCTAAGATCCTGGTCTCTACACACTTTCATGGCTTGGTGCGACAAAAACTGCTGCCTCAGTCAACGCTAGTCCAATATCAGGTCCGTACTGAACTCTTAACACCAAAGGTGCTAACATAGAGTCAGACCCAATGTTCTATTAGTGTAGGGTGAAGCCATAACGCACTTTTCGAAACCGTGAAACTTGCGAGAAACTGTTCAGTTGCTGCGCGCGATCGTCGAAAGTGCTCCGCACCCTATTAAATCTAGACGAAATGGAATTTAGGATTGATGTCGATAATATCCCTTTTGTAACTTGTGAAAACGGATATTTGTAAAATGATTATTTATTATGTAAATTTTGGAGATGGGGACCTTTGGGTCAAAACATTCTTCGATCATTGCGAAGAAATAATTTATTCTATCGCAAAGTCTGAATCAGGTAGAACTGTTTGCTTGTCAGGATGTGTAAAGATTAAATCACATAAAACCAAACGAAATGCGCATGTCTGCAATCTCACCTCGAAAAAAATATAGGAATTTCCCGGCGTATTCTGTTTTTTTACCGTCCGCCGAAAATTTGTAAAACACGCGATTTAAAACTAATGATGTAACCACCAGCAGTTCCAACGTAGCATCACTAAGAGTTTTGTCACGGCGTTACAACTGAAGACAATGGAAGTTATGTAATTCTTTTTTTTTTTGTCTGGTTTTAACGAATGAAATGTCGCCTTTGAAGACAATGGAAGTTATGCAAGAGGAAGAAGATCTCGTCTTTCTTTACCAACTCGTGGACGGTCATGCGAACAGTAGTTTTGCTTGTCATATAGCCTCTCTTGCTGGTGTACCAGATGAACTGATCAAGAGAGCTCATCAGGTTTGTATTACACATTTACTTTTGAACCCGTCTTAACCGTTTCAGTCCCAATATTGGCTTAAGGTTTGCGCAAAAATCAACAAAATTTTCAAATTTCATTTTGTAAAATGCTGAGAAACAAATAGTACTGTGTAGAAGTACACCAGGTTACACCATGGTATTTCGTCCACAGACTCAAAAGTTAGAACCACATGCAAAACAAATAGTACCGTGTAATAGCACTACCAAAGAGGTCTTGTTTGGATGGTTACACCATGGCATTTCGTCCACAGATTCAAAAGTTAGTAGAACCACCTTACAAGACCATCATTCACTCTGGGAGTGAAAGTGTTAATCTCAAAAAAACTCTTTGTATTGAAACGGTTGGGCAATTAGGTTTCCTGTTTTTGCGTTCTTGTTAGTATTCTTGGCTACGTACGTGAGGCATATTAGATTAAGAAGTCGATTTCGTGGGTCAGCCACAAGCATTTCTTGAGTTCCTGTGTAGTTTAGTTGAGCTCTCGCACGTGAAGTTCTTTTATAAAAGAAGTCATAGATTCCGGTAACGAAAGAAAACTAACTTGCCAGTGTTGTCTTAAAAGACGATTCAGATGCCAAAATTTAACCTGTTTATCCGATTTCCAGCGAAAGGAAATAAAATTAAAAACCTTTGCGTGGTGACTAAGATAATTGTAGTTCATCGTCTTTGTAGTTGCCCACGACGCTTCGTCAGTTAATTACTCTGTTACTTAACAATCAAAAAAGCAGTTATATATATGAGTATCATTTCCCGTAGTCTCCATGATTCCGGTTCAGAAAGGCTTACAACTCGTTGTTTAGATTCATTGATGAAAAAAAAAATGTCTTTAATATTTTGAATTACTACTTTTCGTGTCGACGGACATGAACCCGACCAGAGGGCGCTTGTACTTAAAACGTTAAGCCCCGACTTTCTCAATGCATGTGATATTCCTTTGAAGTACTTTCTCTAAGCAATTTGATATTAATTAAGAGGAAGGAAATGTTGAAAAGACTGTACAGTCTGAAGTAGATGTCCACCGGTGGGGATCTATAATTCGTGGGTAGATACAGAGAGAGCTACTGGTAATAACTTCAACTCCTGTATGCGGGGTTTGGTGAGGGTGACTTTTACGATATGTATAAAACAGAAAAATAAATCCTTCGGTCTAGATCTTGTTCTGTTGAGATGCACCACCTCTTCTCGGTGGGTATTTTCTCCTCCTGTTGAGAAAAATAGTTTTCGGTTGATCAATAAATTTTAAGGTTGTTTCACTAGCGACGAAGTCGGAGTCGTAGTCGGAGTTCGTAATCAGCAGCGGAGAGCGTTACAACAGATTTAGTGAAAACAGCCTTCTGATTCCGACAACGGCTTCGATCGCGCTTACGATCTAGTTTGTCGCGGTCGCAAGTGGAAACGGAACAACTTAACCAATCAGAAAGCGTGGAAACGAGCATTGTGATTGGATTATCCTTGCGCTTCTGCTTCCGACTCCGACAATCTGGTTTTCATCTGATCGTAAGCGACGGAGCCGCAATAAAACGGAAACGTTCCGATTCTTCCGACTCTGATTCCGTCGCGTTTCTGACTCCGCTTAAGACTCCGATTTTTGTTTTTCACTCGAACATAAGCGCTCTTACGATTCCACTTTCGTCTCCGACTACGACTCTGTCAGCGTAGGTTTTAAACAGCTCACAACTTCTCAGTAGCACGTTAACAAGCATAAAGTTTAGCGTTTTGTCTCATCAATTTTCCTCGTGAACTGCTTACGTCATGCGATAAATTAAGGACAACGATCTTAAAATAGCCCCAAATGTAAGTGCCAGTTATCCTAACCATTTCAGACAAATGAGCTACCTCTAGCGTGGATAATAAGGATAAAGTACCGCTAACGATCCACGAGGATCGAAATGTACCAATCACCAGCAGCCAACATCGTCGCGTGATAAAGACCTGCAGTAGGCGCCCGTCGAAATGACGTGATCAATATCGGGGTAATTATCACGGTGTGAGGCAAGTGATAATTGCAGCTTTCGATGCCACTTGATCGCTGTTTATTTAACCACCGTTACCACATCCTCGTACAACTTTTGGAAGCAACGGAAACAACTGTTCGATCTTCTACCGTCATGACAACTCACCCTTAGCAAAAGAAAAAAGGTGATTAAGTTTGGAAACTACTATAATTGGTCCCAACAATAAACATCGGCGCAAAAAGTGTTGGCTGGAAACATTAACCTGATCAGCCAACGCAACCGTAAACCGATTTTGCTTCATCTTAATAGAGCTGGGCAAGCTACTTTTATTTAAGTCGTCCACGTCGTAAATAAGTAGCGTGTCCATCTTCCCACAAGTTTTTTGTTGTGTAACTTGGCTCACTTAAGTCAACATTTTGCCCTAATTGAGCAGTTAATGTTGACAGTAGGTAAGGGAAAGGGTGGGTCGGTACTTTCCCGGTACATCTTATACTGATCATTTTGATTTAACTTGTGCAGGTGACGGAACTGGTAAGAACCAACAAACCGTTGCAGAGAATGGACACAGAAAACAGTGAAGATCAACAAAAAAGGTTTGGTTTTACTTATACTGTTTAGCTTAGTCTTCGTAAACAATAGTAAGCGAGGCTCCGTATCGGGTTTCTCCGCCAGGATCTGACGTCAGCACTTATTATTAGGGAACTCAAGCAAGCACGACGGCTGAGGCAACGCGAACATCAAAAAGCAAAGGTTTGATCAGCAAAACAACAACTCTGCTCGTGCTTTTCGAGCAATTCTTTGCCTGCACGACTACGACGTAAAACGGTTTGTTGTAACCTGCGCAACGTAACGTAACGTATTATACCAAAAGTTTGAAACTACGTAATATCCCAGTCGTCCCACAGTTTGTTCGAGCAACGGTCGATCTGCCGAACACTTATACTGCGCATGTCTGCTAGTCCCACTTGCATGTAAACGCAACTTACCCATGACGCTGTAAATTGCACAATGTTTGAAATAACTTTGTCGCGTGACATAGATCGTTTGCTAAACCGGGGCGAGTTGTGAAACTTCAAGAAACAGTTAGGGACTTAGCTTTTCCCCCCCGCTCACACAACAGGTTTTTGATGATGGTTTTGGTAATTCTCGCATTCGTCATGTCCGTGTGCGCTGCATGTTCGCTTTAACTTATCGTTTGCTACCATTGTGCGGAGACCGCTACATTTGGATTATTTTAGGTTAAAACCTTTTACAATATAACATGGATAAACTTAAAACTGCAGCTCACGTCTTAGCTACTTTGATTTTTGAAAAAGGTTGGAAAACCATTTTATATGAATAGGTTAAAAATAAACTCTTTTACATTCGCGATTCTCTGTGCTCTTTGATGAATACGGGATTGAATTCACAAACTTTGGAAGACTCAAACGCACGAGTTACAGCCATTTTAAATATTGATTTTTTTTAGTAATGAGCAATAATAAAAAGACAGTTAATTCTGGATTGTGTACGCTTTACGTGGCCACTTTGCTAAACAACTGCTTCGCAAAAAAATTCGCAGATTATAATAGTGAAAAGTTTCCCGGGTATTGCGCAGTTTACAAATTGTGGTATATTGCGCTGCGTTGCGGTGCGCAGTTTAGAGCAAGCCACGTAAAACCTCCTAATGAGACGTTTCATGGATGACACGAGCCGCGGAAGCCGAGAAAAAAAAATTTCTTACTCATTCAGAACTTGGACTCTGTCCAAATTAAAGGGACTATGCAAAGATGATGTTGCTGTTTTTGCTCAATTCTGTGCTAAGTCATTACTTAGTTCCTATGAGTTCCTTTACCCATACATAAAATGCTGCTGTAGAGTTGAAAATAAGATATCAAACCAATTTAAGCATTTTGGTGACTTAAGCAGGCATAGGATTAAAACTTGAAAACGCTGGGCCAACGTTTTCAAGTTTCAATCCTTGCCATCCGTTACAACAGACGACAGGAAACAACGTCAATGCCTAACCATAGTCTTCAATAACAAAACTCGATCATTATTTTGAGAATTCAATAGATACGGAAGAAGTTTTTGCTTTTTTTCCTAGCCCTTTTAATTTGGTGACATTTAACATATGGAGCGAGTTGGAATAATCGCGGTGAAGTTTGAAAAAACGATGTGGCTGTGACGTTTCTGGCGCTTCCTTCTTTGTGGTCTCGTCGCCGTCGTAGAAAACGCCGAAAACGTGCAATAGGGGCGGGTGCGGGGGTGGGTTGGCTCTCGCCCCATGCCAATTCTCGCCATTTATTGCACTGGAACACTTGTTCTGTATCCGGGTTTCTTGTTGTTTTTTTTTTTTTCATGCTTCAGCTTTGTACTTCACGAACTTCAATGGCCTTGCCAAACTCGGCAAACTATTTTAAGCTACAGAATTCGGTTGGAGCAAAATTCTGTGTAAAACATCCAAATATTGGAGCAAATCATTTTGAATATGATATCATTTCATGTTTTCAGCCAGTTTCTGTAAACCAACGTCACAGACTAATTTGCCGTGACCCTTTCAAGATTATTTTTATTCCTAACTCACGCGCAATTTTTTGAAGGCAAATTTTACATCAGCCATACTTCAAAACTACAATAGATTAGGCTGACAGTTTTTGAATGTATGAGCAAGTAAAACGAATGGATAAACACTTGGCTTGGGGGAGGTCGTTCCAGTGAAGTCGTCTGTTACTGACTTTCACGCACTTCAGTTCAACATTCAATGCTCCTTTGAAGCCGAATCAGTCTAAGTGTATTATATCACAAAACTCTGAAAGTCACTGAAATGCGATATATCATTGTTAATAATGAGAATAAATATAAATAAGAAAAAACAAATATATAGATTAACAATATCCCTGAGCTACGCATATTAGCTTGTCTTTCCCTTACACTCTTAAAAATAACCTGCTCAAATCCCTTGTAATTAAAAAATCGATAATGTCAGTCTCAGCAGCACTTTGGCCGAGCTAATCAAAAAGGCCAATACTTGTAATCAAACCCGATATTGTACTTTAAATCGCTTAGTCACGAAACTTTCAGCTAATGACAACGTATATTTTATGTGTGAGAAAAATTAATTGTTGATTTTTTAATAAGGGCTATTCAAATCAGTTGACTGACTCTTCTTTTTCAGGTATGAGGCGATTGTCGTGAATTTCTTAAAGCTTGACCTGGAGCATGCTGATCCACACTGGTTTCTCTCCGAGCTACTTCAACTGACTGCAAAGGACTAGTTGACCCACTCTTGTTGGCTTGGATGTGCCGGTGTTTAGGAAATTTCGACAGTGCATGATAACCGGTTAACTCCGTCACTGTTCAGTCATGTGATATGCAGATATTACTTTTAAGGCTTTTCAGCTTTTTCCAGAAGTGTCGAAAGTCAGGCAAAATTCTTAAATTGCACCTTATAAATAAGAACCCTAACAAAAATACACCGTGCAAAATTTGAAGCACCGATGGAGAGGTTTCATTTCAATTGAATGGTCGCTTTTTTGGATTTTAATCAAGAGTTGGAAATCCTTGTAGAATACAACACGGCCTTCCGCAGTATCTTGTATTTTAATGGTCGCTATTAAGAATTTTTCCCACGTACTCAAAACTGAGTTAAAACTTCCTTGTACAACAGAATTAAGGGCGCCACAGTAGCTTTTATTTGACCACACTTTCAGATATATTCCACAGATTCCAAAGTTCGAATCACCTTTTGCATAGGCAACAAGGTAAATGCAGGTATTTAAGGAAATGTGTCACGACAGTAACGGCCATTTTCGGTTTAATTTTGCCAGTTCACCGCTATGTCACATCAGTTTAGGAGTTACTTCTAAATATCAGTACCACAACTTCTAGACGAATAAGTCTTCCAAACATAGCTTATAATTCCAGAGTTCATACCAATAACTGAGTTAAAAAAATGTTTGGTGGCCAGTTCTCAGTTGTTGTTTTTATTTCGTTTATAAATTTTGTAGCGAGGCTCCTTCAAAAGTATAAAACACTTTGTACAGTTTATTCAACATTCCCACAGGAAAGTACTGCTCAACAACATTTGAATGGTCACACTTCAAGTCGATAGTAAAACTTTGTTATATAACACAACAGTTATTACCACAATAAAATACTGATCATCGGTTTTCACTTTGATGATCATGTTTTAGAATTTCACCCACTGCCTCCCAAGTTTGTCTTACCTCTTGCTGCGTGCTAAACAGTATCAAAAGACAGCACTGCACTGAATGGAAACGCTTTAGCTTTTCAATAACAGACTCAAAAGTTGCCAAACTTCCTCTTGTACAACACAATACTCAAGTATTCAGTACCATGAAGTACTTAGTCAGACCATAGGATTTCATCCATACTCAATGGATTCCGTTATGGCTCACCGACAGAAGGGCCAAAACCCAAGTGAAATCAAATAGTGACTATTCAACCAAAAGTCCTGCTACAGTTCCTCTTTTGTTCTGTTTATTTTTACCTAGTGTGTAACAAAGAGCAAGTTCTTGACCTAAACATCTATTCATTCGAGGAAATTTTTATTCCAAAGAGGGAAGAAATCATAAAGTGTGACCATTGACGTTTATACTCCACCCAGTGCTTTCCCTGTTTGTCACTTTTTCCCTGTATCTTGCCCAAACTTAATTTCGAATTTTTGGGAATTTTTCCACAAACCAGTTGTTTAAGTGGAGTGGTTGAACAGTGGCTCTACTTAGCTTCGCATTCTTCGTCTTATCTCCTTGTTGATATTGTATTTTCAGTTGTCTTGAGAACTCTTTCCGCTCCAGTGTATGTAATATAATTCTCATTCAATTACAATGTGCTCTGACGTCACGCGTTTGTTCTTGTATAATTATGCTACGTATTTAGAACGAGGAAAATTGCATGGACATGTTATAAAACGCCTACCTTGGCTGCAAGGCGGGTTAGATAAAACCGACATTCACACAAACACAAACACAGTGTTATTAATCTCTCGTTGAGATAGCAGAGTGGAAGTCAACCGCTTGTTGCACTGGTGGAAACGAGCAAGAAGATGAAGCACTGTCCCCTTCAAAGAAGATATCATCGAAATTCGTTTGAAATTGCGCTGTTAGGAGCAGCCAGTGTGGGAAAGACGTCGCTGGTTCGACGGTCGTTTTATGGGGAGTTTGATGATGAGTATACCCCAACAGTTGAGGACTACTACAAACGTGAAACGCACCAAAACCATAGTGTAACTGTTCTTAATGCCACAGACTGTGCTGGGAGCTTTCAGTTCCCTGCAATGAGGCAAGTAACCATCCGACGAGCTGCTGGTGTGGTCCTGGTTTTCTCATTGGACAGTGAATTTTCGTTTCGTGAGCTTTACAGAATATTACACGAAGTCATCATGACCAGGGGAGAGGAAGGAGTTCCAATTGTTGTTGTTGGAAATAAAAAAGACTTAGGCGTTCGGGAAGTTTCAGAGGAAGAGATTGCGGAATTGACAAGAAAATTCAGCTCTGATCGATTCCCTCTGGAGTACGTTGAGGCGTCAGCTAAAGACAATTTGAACGTTGAAGAAGTTTTTAATCAGCTTCTTAGACTTTTGATGCCTGAAGCTGCCCCGAAGAAGAAGCGATTCAAGATTTCTAAATTAGTCAACGAAGCGAAAGAAAAATGCCATGTTATGTGATATATTCAGGACATATTCCGCGCTGCTGTGCCTTTAAATGTATTTATTAGACGCCATACTTATTTTATAGCTGAAATACGTTAACTTATGTATGAAAAATATCAAACAAAAGCTCAATGTTATGTGAAGTATTTATTTATTTCTCTGTACAAAGTTATGGAAATACACATGCGATTATTGCTGATTTATAAAGTATAATGAAAGGATATGCTCTGCATATTATGTTACTAAGTGCCGTAAATCTATTGTTATGATTGTTGGTGTAAAAAAGGGCAAGTCTGAGCAAAAGAAATTTGAATTTTACATCGTAGAAAAAGCAAATAAAAGTAATGATCTTTGAAATCATGTTCAAAGTCAATTAATTACGACTTCACATGACTTTATGCAGTGACAGTTTCCTCTTTTAATTATGCTTTGACTGGAAAAAGCTACTAAAACGCGCTGTACGCTTGCTTATCTCTTACATCTGTACAAAGAAAATTGCCGGAAGAGCCGAGGCAATTTGCAACGTATGAAATGTTGTATGCGATCTTTAGCCCTTTCCCGTTCGTCTTCTAATACTTGATTATACTTTGCATAGTGAAAGGCGCATCAGCGGATGTTTATATTATCAGTGTAGTATGACAGTATCTTCCGCTTTCGTAAGACGTCTTGTCGACTAATCAGACAAAACGACAAATGAAAGCTTGTCGGAACAGACTGTGGGAACGTAGGCTGCATGCAGGATCAAACAAGCTCCAACACTTAAGTTGATAGAGAGTTTTGAGCGTCCATTCACGTCACCATTGGTAACACTTTTTTCCTAGTAGGAGATCGGGCTATTCTTAGAGCGTTTTTACTAAAGTGAAAGCCATTTCAAGAAAAATGGAAATTAATTGCTTGTTTTGTTTTCTACCCATTATGATTGGTTACCACTTTCAAATGTGGTGAGGTTCTCTTTGATATTTTTAATCCAAAAACGTCATATTCCTTAAAATAATGATGAGCCAGACAAACAAACAATAAATTAATCCATCAATCGTGTCAGTAGATTGTACCCTCAACTGGAACAGCACGAGGAGAAAAACTAGGATTAAAAATGGTCCGCTTTGCTTTTAACATAAAGAATCGTCGCTCATTAGTAATTCCTACATTTGTTGCGGAAGGAAAAAAATAAAAAATGTCCCAAACCTACGAATGTTGGGAAAAAAAATCGAACGACAACTTAGGAAACGGTGCTGTACGTACGAAATTATTGCCCAGGCTCGATTACCAGCCGCTGTTCGGAAATTGAGCCTATTTAAAGCCACGTTTACGACAAATCGTACCACGTGACGAAGTTTCCTCTTAACTTGTGCTTTACTGCTCACTACTTCTACCCCAAAATTAGTCGCTCGACGTTACTTTTGTCTTTAACAGTTGTTTTGGGCTGTATTAATATGCCCATTATCTATTTTGAGAAGTTCTCAACTTGAATCTGACGTTTGCCGGCGTGACTCTAAAACTCTCTTTTTCCTCAAGTATAAATCCCCAAACCAATCAGTGTCTTTTATCCAGCGGCGGTAAACGTCGGATTATGTGTACGCTTTCGTCACTTGATAAATTTGAGTTGAAGAGTTTTTATTTTGTAAACGAGAATTTTAACACTTATATTACAAATAATTTAAAATATATGGGTAATAATATAGGTTCGCTGTGACGAACGGATAGCGCTGGAAACTTTACCTTCTCAATTTCCTTATAGTGGCAACTTTGCCTTATCTTGTAAAGCGAATTCTTTGCTGATGATAACAAACCATTTCGTAAGCTCACTATATTTTTGGAAATGCGTGGACCAATCTTATTTCACGCCCTCCGCGTGCTATTAATTCTTTTATTCTTCCTGTCTCTTTTATATTAAGATTTATTGTAAACTGACGAACTCGTCATGTGGCAGTCGATGGCTATTTTTAAAATTATTCCCTAATAAGCAATTTGTAAATGTGAAACTGATCTACAGACGCCGACCCTGGAAAAAACGTGACCTTTTTTTCAGTTCTCGAGCGCCAAAGGCGGTACTTTTCGGTTGCCCGATGTGGAACCACTGCAAATCTTAAAATTTTCAAATTGCCATTTCTTTTTATTGTCAAACATATGAACGTTCTCGGTAGAAACCGAAGGTAAAATAATTTTTCAGAGTTGTTTTTCGTTTCTTCATCTACGGACGTTGGCAATCGACGGCTGTTTTTAAAGTGATTCCGTAAATGTGAAACTGATCTACCGGCAGCGACTCTGGAAAAAACGTGACCGTTTTTTCAGTTCACGAGAGCCAAAGGCGGAAGTCTGCGGCTGCCTCCGATGGGGAACCCCTGAAAATCTTGAACTTCCTTATCCTCATTTCTTTTCATTCTCAAATGTCTAGCCGTTTTCCTTAAAAAAGTAGAAACCGAAGGTTGGGTGATCATTTTTTGGAGTTTCGTTTCCTCATAATTAACGAAAAGTCTTTATCAGAAACTGTGTTTAAGTTGTTGATTCCATTTAGTTCAGTTGCAACTAAGTTGGCGAAGAAATTACTTCCTAATGACTACAAACAAAGCATTCATATAAATCAAAGTTACAACAACAGATCGCGACTTATTGTTGATACGACGGACGGACAGGCCTAACAGATTTTCCAAAACCCAAATAGCAATCTGTTATAGTCATCATACTTTTTATCCACCGTTCTTTTGTATTTGCTGTTTTTTATACCCAGCCATCGTTATAAGCGGTTATTTTTTATATTTATTTTACTCAGTTTCCAAGCGGCCAGTTTTCTATGGCCGAATTTGGCTCTGCCAAATCTCATTTATTTATTCAGTTATTCAAATAACAAGTGAACTAAAACCATTTTGTTGTGCGTTTGCTCACGGTGGATCATAAAATAAAGTGCGCATCATGGCTCTTAAGAGTAGGACTATCAAGAAGCCGCAGATGAGCTAGTCACTGGTGTCACCCAGCTCTTGGGAAATTTTTTTCTGCGTATCAAGCAAAATCTTGTGTACATCAGTTTTCATGCAGAACTCAAGACAAAAGACGGAGATGAAAATATTTCATGACGTCAAATGTGCGTCTGTATTCTGATAGTTGATATATTATAAGCAATTAAAATACGCGTAGAATTAAGCGTATTGTATAAAAACTAATTAGAAAAGAAACCGTCCATTAAAAATGGTAATAGACTGAACAAAGTTCAATTCGCTTTGTAATCATACGAGTGGTTAAACAAAATGTGGATGACCGCGTATGAAATTAGACGAAACGAAAGCCCTGAGGCTAATTATAGTTATAACTATAACACTTTGAGAAATATACAGTGATATACTGTAGTTTGGACATCTTGTTTAGCAAAGGGACAGGATTGCCTTTTTTGTCCAGACGTTTTAAAAAAGAACACTTCAAATACAACTGGTATGCGCTATGAAGAGTACGTACACTGGCCAATTACTGATTACACTGTCTGCTGACTCTGAAATCAGGGCCGCTAATAGCCAATCAGATTAATGAATGTCATTTGTTATAGTTACGATTAGTCATAGTAAAGAGAGTGATGACATAAGTGATGCTTATCGAGACAAGATTTCTGAGCGTGTCCACTTTAATAGGGCGCGTTCTTTTGACGTTCATCCGGAGTAGGATAATGGAATAAACTCTAGCAGTCATTTACTAGATAAGGCATTGATTTGCCGCCATATTTACACCCGTGGCACACTCGTATTGCGCAAACCCTTTTTTCCTGTATATACATCTTTTTTTTCGTCCGATTTTAGTATTTTTGCCTTATAGTTTTAGACAATGTAGGGGTTGAAAGTCAACTGGGACTCCTGCCTTGTTTACATCTCCTGTTAACGTGCTGTTTTTTGTATGTATATGTATTTTTCTTTCCTGGCAAATAAACTAAACTAAACAAGCAGTGACAGGCTCCTGATTCAGGTGTACTGAAAACGTTAGGGGCTTCTACCCATGGAATAGTTTCAAAAACAGTTTAATCGAATGATGAATATTCAATGACCAATAATTGGAGGTTTACAGTGACGCTCCGAACAGGAACACGCGCGTATATAGGGCGCGATCCATTCAACCAAAATTCCAACCGGTCCGACCGGGAAAAAGTGGTCCACCTTTTGTTTTTTTCGAAACTTTTCCGGTTGGACCGAACCGATCCATTGAGCTTTGGACCGAAATTTCCGTAAATTTTTGTTGAATGGATCGCGCCCATAAACCGTCTTTGTTCCTAAGTCAGATAAAGACGGTCAAAAGTTCTCTGCAATATAAAGCTTACTTGTGGTAAACATATGTGCTTACGTAGTATAGTATATCAGGATAAATATTTATTAATTTCAATATCGAGTGTCTAGACACGATACAGCTCGAGGCACACCAGAATTTTCAGGTTGTAATGCTCTCAAAAGAGAGTTTACATCTGAAGGTTAATGCCCTCTTTTTATAATCAAGCTAATGAACCAGGCATAACGTCTTTTTTGTTTACTAAAAAAAATAAGGTTATCAGGTTATCAAGTGAGGGTTGCTACTGCTTCATCTGAGTTAATAGCAGACAACGGACCGGAAAGTAACCAAAAGTTCCGTCTAGTTCTCTTTTTAATGCCACTGTAATCGGTACCCGGGGTACATTGGCTGGTTGTCTGGCGTGCGGGTTGTGTGCAGCAAAAACTCTCAGTAAAGACAGAGAAAACTCTCACAGAGAAATTTCTTATCTTTAGTGGGCACCCATTTGTTAACATGTATATCAGTCTATTCACTTTCACCGACAATGAATAATTCACTCAGTGTAATAAATATAGCGCGACGTTTTGTACTCGTTTTTACACAATTAAATATAGTTCGTTTTCTCAGCTGGAGCTAATATAAGCTCTTTCCAATCGTAGCGCATGTAGAAATATTAATTTAAAAAGAAAGTTATAATAAAACGAAAATTAAGCCTTGGTTTTAAACTGATTACAGTGGATGCATGTACTAATTGATTTTTTAGAGCCGATTATTTTGAAAGTTGGATGCTTTGCGTGCTGCATGAAAAAGATCTCAGTGTTCATTGTATTTCGCTGTTAAGTGAACTTAAGAGGAGAACCTTTGACTCCATATCAGCGTATGTAAATGTACACTTGAAATAGTTTTACCGCGACAGATGATTTTATACCATTCTTGAAGACTTATTGTTGTTTTGTTCCTCGTCCTGGCCAATGTATATCATCTTTCTTGGCCTCCACTCTCTCCATTGTTTCTTTCTATCAAATCCTTGTGGAAGCAACCCTTCCTGAATGTTTTCTACACCAACAGACATTCTTCGCAGTATGTTGGCCTGTTCTTTCATTACTGTCATTCGAAAAAGTGTTTCTTCTGTTTGAGGCACGGGAGAACTTAGTCTTCGCTGTGGTTGGCTAAAATAACTTTTTCTCTCTCTTTTGCGTTTCTTCTGCTCTTTGGTAAATAAGAAGTCGCTGAGAACACATCCCATTCTATCGAAACTGTCTTCGATCAACTAAGCAGCGGTTATAGAGCTAACTTCTTATATGAATGGTATCTATGCTTCTCTGTTATTGGTTTATATGGTCCTTATATTGGGAGTTTTAAACCGATTATTGGGTTAGATGTTGGATGAGGCTGAGTATGATATTATATTGGGCGTTGAGCAGAGGCCGGCAGGCTGAGACACTCCTTCCTCGATCTACTCAGTCAGTTTTCTATCATACGAAAGCTGAATTCATTCGATATTTTAGAAGCTTCAACATTCATAACCCTTTAACTCTGCACTGAGTTTTTTAAAACATTTTCCAGTTCATCGGCAGTTTTAAGGTATTTTTTGGAATCATTTAACGCGGTACGCGTTGCCATGTACGCGGGACAGTAAACTGGGTACTAAATACGCCGACAGTGCCTATGCACAGCGGAAGTTATTTCAAAATGGCGGTCCTCCACACTCTTCGGAGAGGAAAAGCTGTTCATGTAAACATGCTCTTCAGACCGTCGCTGTTTAGAAACGCAATCTTCTGGAATAGCAGTTGTATAACTCAACAGATTATGCACCACGATAGTGAAAAAAAGAATATGTGTAGAAAGGTAAGGTTAGTTAACAAATGTCGAACCCTTGGTATTCCGTCCGTTTGTGTGTCGTCCGGTATGTCGTCCTTTAATGATTCACCTGACATATCCATTTTGGTGAGTCTGATTTTCTAAGTTTCCTTTCCATATCAAACTTTGATTTTTCCACTCGCAGCAGAGTTCTCTGCAGAATTGCTGCCCAATGCAATTGTAATTACTGTAATTAAACTTCATCCTTACACCCGGTAGTGATTTACGTATACCCCTATTAATGGGTTACAGTGTAAAGACAATCTTAATCGACTCGACTTCGAGCCAAATGATAAAATTACATTGTTTCAAATCAAGCTTAGTTAAGAATATTAAATCAAGGTAGTTTTAGATGAACATTTTATGACCGAAATGCAAAAGCAAGTGACTTTTTTGCTGCATTATTTCAGGCCAAAAGTGGTTTATTTGGAGAGATATATGAAGGTCCATACCACTTACTTCATATCAGACCTATGAGTAGCCAATCACAGGGCAGCTTCTTGACAGATCTGAAATCCAGTCCTTCACCAGCTCTTTTTCTGGGATTCTTTGGAGCAGTTCCATTCACTGGCCTGGCAGGGATGTCCATTTTCCTTCCTGAACATATGGAACTCATAGCGCATGCTCAGCAAGCTTATGGAGCATGCATTCTCTCCTTTCTTGGGGCAATACACTGGGGCTATGCATTGGCCAAAAACAGTGGTCTGAAGCCTGACTGGAGTACTCTTGGATACAGTGTAACTCCATCACTCATTGCATGGACAGCTTTGCTTGTTAATCCGCTTCCAGGATTCGTTACCTTATGTGTTGGACTTGCCGTTGCTTTATCAAAGGATCTGAAAACACCTTACTTCCCAGTTTGGTATTATTCTTTGAGAAAAGCATTGACGACATTGGCTGTTGGTTCTGTTGCCTTCACGGCAGCTGTGTTTTATTTCCACTAGCTTACCTTTTGGTCATTTCACTCTTGGTCAATTCAAAAAAAGCTTTTCAAGCATAGACTTTATTGTTTTAAATCACTTTTATTGAATTGAAAAAAAAATCTGTTTGGTTGTGATTGTAAACTGGACTTTAATAAGGATATTTTATGCAGTTTGTTGTTGGTGAACCTGAAACTGTTCTTAGTAGTTGTTGGCACTTACCTTATTCTCTTGTTTCAACTGAAGTATATTGAATTGTAGACCATATACGTTCAATTTTAGCTTGTAGAGATGAGAAGGGAAGGTGGGATGTTGCAAGTAGATAAATAAAGACTTGTGGCTAAATGGCAATTAAGGCAATTCGCTTTAAAAACAAGAAAGAAACTAAGCCTTTGAAGTCAACTTTTGCAAAGACCTCTGGGATTGTTACTAGGGACATGGGAAAAATTGGCCAATAGCTGACCAGTTCATCCCCTGTAATGATACCCTGCTACACCGCCGTTTTTAGTGTTGTCACGCAATGCTCCTCCCCTGCATTGCGTGACGACACTAAAAACGGCTGTGTAGCAGACTACTGTAATGATCCCAGAAACACTTGTGGGGGCATTCTGGCTCCAGTTCCTTTCTCATTTCCAAAGTGGCAAATGGCAAATGTAAGTTTGGAAGTTACCAGTTTGTTTGTTATATTTTGCTGGAGGTCAAGCATCTTGGCCCTTGGCCTAAAGAAATTGTCTAAATGACTTCTTGTTCAGGTGTTAAACTTGCTTGATAGGTAACCAGTGTTGATATATCCCTGGTTACAAAAAGGGTGTTTAACTGCAACACTTTGTAAATCCAAAAAGTCAGTTTTTGGGTCCAGTTAGTCAATCAAAGTAAATTAATACATTTAATGGTCCAGATAAGAAGGAAGGAACCAAACACAATGAACATGTTGGAATGCAAGAAGGTGCCATCTTTGCTAATGTCTCTACTAAACTTCTGATTGGTTTTAAACATCAAATTTTATGAAATCTTCGCAAAGGAGCGGGTATATTAATCCCTTGTTTTCTAACCAACTTCTTATAACAAAATCTCCTCTGAGTCTAAGTAACACAGAAATCCTATGTGAGGAATGTGTAAAATTGTAAACTTTCTTGGCTGTTGTTTTCAACTCTTATGATTGGTTGAAATCCTTTAACACAAAAAAAAACATGTATTAAAAATGGCGTTGTATTTTATTTCGTAGGCTGCCTTTTTGTAGGTCTACATATTCTCTGTGTAAAAATGAAAACATCCATATGTGAGGAAAGTGTATTGCGCCTTAACAAAAGAAATTGCTTCCCTTCTTACCAGAATCATTACTTAATGCGGAAGTGCTGCCAGCCAAAGCAAAATGACCCAATTTTGGAATTCTCTTGATTTGCTATAGGCAGGGTAATATTTGGACAGAAGCACATTATGTGCTTCTGATTTAGGCTCAATTACCAGCCACTGTTCGGGAAAATGTGGCGGAAATCGAGCCTACTTCTGATTTGGATCCAAGAGGAAAGTGAAAGCATGAGTGTGTCCGGCATTGATGCCTTGAACACTCTTGTAACATCTCCCCACCTAGAAAAGATGAAAAAATTGTTTAATTGTTCATCACCAGCTGTAACACATCTCTCCTTTGTTTTATACCTGGAAATTTCCTAACAGTGCATGCTGTCATTGGTTACTTCGAGGTCACATGAAATCTAACAATGAAACTGTTTCCTGCCAAAATCTCGGAGTGGGCAACATTGCAAAATCTATGAAGTCAGAGGGTAACAGTACACTGTTACCTGCAAATGTTGACCAATAACTGCCATCACAGCTAGGTTTAGTGAACTTCCAGCTGTATACCAAATCACTTAAAGACTGCTGGGCAACAGTTAATTTTGTTTCCCTCAATTTTTCCTTCGGCAACATTGAGATTCTGGGGAAACAAAATTAACTCTTTCCCATGGGACCAGTCATAACGTGGTTAATGTTGGTACTCTACTCTTAGGTCAAAAATATTTCCAAAGCATGGGGAGACATGTAATGATGAATCTTTTCTGGCCAACAAAATGTTCCTAAGGCACTGTCATTATTTTGTGGAAGTACAACTCAAAGGTAGGGGAAAATACTGCTAAGATGTACTGTTAGTTGTAGAGCTCATCCAATATAAAGCATAAGTTATTTGGAGAGTTTTTTTGCCATTGTAGTTTTCTGTCAATCAACTAGCCTGTGAATAGACTCTCACCCTTTCCCTTCCCTCTCCCCGCGATTTTTTCACCCTTTCACAAACAGAGAGCCTGTTCACTGACACGGGCTATCAATCAACTGACTTGTGCTGAAAAAACTTGTCAAAACAGTTTGGTAGGGGAGTAGTTACTTTTTAAAGATGGGTGTTGTCTTCCCTTTTCATGTTGGAAGAACGCACATCAGTTGTCAAAAGGGGCGCTGACTACTTTCCTAAAATGGGAGATTTCAGAATCTTCTGCTCAGGTTTTAACAAGCTGGCAACATCGATTGTATTAAGACCTTTAATTGACATAACTTGCTTGCACTGTTCTATATATCCCTATCTTCTTTCAGGCTCAAAAATTAATGTAATATTGAAAAGGGAGACGGCACGTGGATTCCTAGGGATGCCACTCCCGACTATGTGAAATGCGAATAAGGCAAATATATCCTAAAAATAAATAAAGAGCTTATTATTTTTTACGTTAATGTAAACGCTATCTTCGACTCTTACATCGCTTTAATTTTAGAGATTGGGAAACAAGGCGAATTGTGGACAAAATATGACGGAAAGCAACGCTTTATCGACTTAAATAAAACTCCTGTCCACGATCTTGAATTTATTTGCTGATACTTTCTTTCCTTACAGATACCGTATTTATTCGATTAACCGCCCTGGGCGCTTATTATTATTCGAGGCTCGGCGCTTATTAAATTTTCACCATTTTTAGCAAGTGAAGTATGTTTATTTTGCAACAAAACAATAAATGCTAATAACAAAACGCGAAGAAGTAACCCAGCAAGGTTTCTGTATAATGCTCTGAAGAAAACTCCGTCCTCGGGAAAGTCTCTTGTTAGAATTTATTCACTCAAGTGGGTGGGGTGGGGGTAAGCGCTTATTTGAGTTTGATTGGGAGGAGGAGGGGTTGGGCGCTTATTCGAGGTTGGGCGCTTATTAACTTTTTCTACCTTTAGGATGGGCGCTTATTCGAGGTGGGCGCTAATCCGAGGTTGGGCGCTTATTCGAATAAATACGGTATCCAGGAAAAGCAGTGTAAATACCCGAAGGTATCGGTGTTGTTGTTTTAGCAAAAGTGGTTTTAGTTTTTGTATAAATGCAGGTCTTCAAAGGTGAAACACCAAGTACGTGGCCACAAGAAACTACTTTTATACGAACGGAAAAACTACTTGTTCTAGCTAAAGCCCGTGAGATTTTCTAACATTACTATCTGACGGACGGACTTCTTTTGAGGCGTTCAATTTCAGACAACAGCTTTCATCTGTTGCCACCACGGGCAGGTGACGGCTCACGTGATCTCGGAGACAAAGACAAATTCTCTCTACTTCTTGAGTTATGAAGTGTCGTGGGTACTCTCAAAGTAGGTTTGGTTATAGGGGACGACTTAGCCACTAATTCTTTACGTCTTGGAGATAAGTTCGTGTCAATTTTCGGTTGAACATTGAAGACTTTCTTTTTTCTTGCTTTTCTTTCTGGCTTCGGGCTTGTAGTTATACTGCTCGCTACACTGGCCGTATCTGATTCTTCACTCAAAATGTCCGGGGGAGGTGGCGGCTGTGAATACATGAAATTGGAGCAAAAACATCAACATAAAGTTGGATCACGTGTGCAGCTGAGTTTACTGGGTGAGCAATATTGTAGCAGTAGAAGATTCTTCTGTGATTTTTTTTCTATTCTAAAGTGACCGAAATTCTTCAAAATAGTATCAGAGAGATTCAGGGGCACCCAGCGACTTTATTCTGTAAAATAACTGATCGAAGGAGCAAATATTGCGTACAAATTTCTAAAGCTTGTGAAAAGCTAAAACTTTCTGGATAACCGTTCCAATCGTCTAAAATATTCGGACATTTTCTAATACCTTAACTTCGATTTTCGGAGGTTGTGTCAGTCACATTTTAATAACAAGATATTACGATTGTTGTTGAAAAAAGGTCTCGTAAAACTTTCAGTGTAGAGACAAAACGTCCAATAAAATTTCCCAATGAAAGCAGGGCTAATTCATGTCTTTGTAGTTTCGACCGGACCCATAAGGGTAGCTAACACTTTCGGATGAGACGAAAATACAGAGAAAACCATTTGAGACACTTCTGGCGTATTTGGAAACATTCGGTCGTTGGGTGCCCCTGGAGATTGGACACGGATTTCCCCTTGGGTGACGTCAAATATCGCTGGCATTAATTTGTCGGTTATGACACTCGTGACATATGAAGGATTTGTGACTTCAAAGTCCTGGCTCCTGTTCTTCAAACGTTGGATAGCGCTATCCAACGGATAAATCACTATCCAGTCGATAGGTTCAGTGGAACCTCGATGTATAACGAACCTCTATATGAAAAGTCCTCAGTAAAACCAACGATCTTTTTTACCCCCTGTAATGGTGAAATACATGAAAAAGAACCCAGTTATTGCGAACAAATGTTGCCAGTCCCTTGGCCCTTCGTTATATCGAGGTTTTACTGTATATGGGAAACCAATTGCGTTAACCACTGGACAGATATTTTTCCAGAGGATAGCATTATCCACCTTTCAAACAATTGGGGCCTCGACCACGATCATTTTAGCCGAGCGAGGGTACATTTTAACGTTTGCGCTCTAAGAATATAGGATGATTATTAAGGTTCCGACTGGCTAATGACAAACGCTTTGGACCAAGAAAGTCAGGATCCACTAATACACTGGTATACTAACGATGGAGATGAGTTCGATCAAACTTTTCTTACGTTGTCCGTTTGGAATTCAATCAAACTTCACTTACCTCGTCCGTCTGGACTTGCGCATGACTATTTTTCGTCCCCTCTGTTTGAACATGAGTGCTAATCGTCGCCGTTTTTTCTGTCTGCACATCTTTCTCGGTTATTGTTACATTTATGGTCTGGGTATTTGCATCTACAACCGGCGTCGGTTCTTCCGCTTCCGTTTGCAACATGACATCCGCTTGCTCTATTTCCGGTTCGGGTTCTGTGAGTATGCTGGCACTCTGTGTCCGTACAACCAGTGTCTGTATCTCAGCCGTGCTGTAAATGACCTTGAGTGTTTGAGTTTCGGCCACTGCTGTGGAAACCGTAGGTGCATCCACGTATACTGTCTGTGTTAAAAAGTACTTCATTAAAGACGAAGGTCATGGTATTCAAAGTTAGTTCCCAATCAGCCTTCCCAGGAGGGGGGGTACATGAACTGCGCAACCGTAACCTTCTGGTTTCCATGCTCAATACTGGGCATGGTTTGCTTTGGGGAAAATATAATCAAAATCCACGCATTATTAGGCATTATTTCACGAATGCTTCGGTCATTTACACAGGGAAAAAATAAGACGCGTTTTGCATAAGACGTATTTGAATTAACACGAGACTTTCTAATTCGCGTCTAATTTTTTTTAGTGTAAATAGAGCTAATGTGTTCTGTCTTTCTGTATTTGCTTGAAATGTTTATTGGTTGGGCTACGATGTTGATGGAAGCGCTGTGACGAAAATGACCTAATTGATGAAAATAGCTTGACTAAAATTATGTTTAAAATACAGTCACTTCATAACATTTGATAGAGAGCGAAACTTGTTCGGGACGTGGTCTGTGGAAGGCAAAAGTTTTTCTGTCCACTTCACTTCACATTCACACCACTGCTATAGTTAACATTACCTCGGTAACAATACGTGGTTCGCCTTCTTTAGTTCTGTTCGGTACTTTGCTGACCATGTAGTCCCACTCTTGAGAAACGGGAGCGCACGAATAAGGACCTGTACACGCTGCCAGATGGGGGCGGAACGTCTTGTGGTCATTGCACGCGTTACAGTCGCACCGTCCACCGTTGCCGTCTTGTGTCATTTCGATGTCGTTACATTCCTGTGATGCCATTAGAGCCTTCTTCTTACATCTATGTGCGCGTTTCAGCTGTCAAGAAAGAAAAGGAATGTCAGGCCTGGACACACATAGCACGCGATGTTGGATCATTGATTTGTTGCACGAAGAATCATATATCCGTAGGCATGCAATTTTGCGAGTGATTCGGCACCGTGCGTGGAACAGTTTTGCATTTCTTCTTCAGCAGCATATGGCGTGTTACTGGCAGTTATCTCAAGAATGAAGATAACTTATGTCATGCACAAGGTCCTTTTGGATACTTATTCTGAATGTGATAGATTGAAATATGAGGCGCAACTATTTTTTTGTATTCTAAAAGGCTGAATTGACTTTCAAATCTCTACACCGTTATTTCGGCATTCCATGTTCACTTAACGCCTCTTGCAGTTCATTTGGACGCTCCTTTGCAACGACATTTCCAGTTGAAAACCCAAATAGTTCGTCGAGTCGAGTCCCACGTCCAGTCGGACTGAATTGATCATTGAAGGGTTTCATTCCGACCAATTTTTTCTTACAAATAGTTAAGGCACTACCTCTCAGATTAAGCGTTTCTCTCTCATTTCTCTTGGTTTCTGGATCATATGGATGACTAGACTGCGAGCAGTCTCTTATTTTTCTTTGCAAAGTCTCGTCTATGTAAGAACATCGTGGTTTGCAATCGCGCTAGATGAGATCAAGAACTAGACGGTTTTTAAGAGAAAAGGCGGACTGCAGGCAGTCTAATGGTTGACCATTCAAATGATAGCAGCTATTGAGCGGTTCCTTATTTTCGACGAGGTGCGTCAATTGAAATACGAGGTGCAGAGCGGTTCATTTTTTAAAATTGTTGTTATTTTGTATTGCTCATAATTGTACAATAGGGCTTTTTGCCTTATTGAACTTGATCATATAAATGTAAGAGGCGAAATAAAAAAATCAAGCCTCCTGGCCTTACCTGAGGAAGAACTCCTATAACCAGCAACGCCGCTGACAGCACCATGATTAACAATCCCGTCACAGCGTAAAAGGGATTGGGGTATTGACGTACTGTCATTATAATAGGTGCCTCAATTATGCACATCACTGTGGCTATCCCCAAACAGAGGGCGCAATTTCGTGTGTTGTTACACAACGGTAAGCATAAGCGGCGAGCAGGCCAGGCTGCTATGGCTCCCATTATTAGAAGTATTCCTTTTGGCACGAGGAGAAGAGCTAGAGCAGCTTCTTCGTTGTTGGAAACGCACTGCTCAATAAGCTGTGGCTTCTCTTGGTAAGGGCGTGGCTTGGCGACCTATTTTTTTCAAAAAAATACTATTTTACTTGCGGAGGAAAACATGAAACTGTTAATTACATACAAGTGTAAAAACGTTTAATATATTAAAGGGGTGAGAAATTTAATAGATGGGATAGGCGTTTTAGTATTTTTACCGTTGTTTAACATGCGGTGAAAACTGCAAGATAGCGTATAATATTATGACATACTTCCTTTAAACAGGACCCATTTTTTCAGCAACCTGGTACTTCGCTAATATATTGGGGCGCCACTGTGCAATAATGTTTTAATTAGGTATTGAAATGTCAACTTAAGAGTGCTCTGAAAGATTATATGATCCAAAATAAGTACTAAAACAACTTCTCTAAATTCCCAGCCAAACGTACCTCTCGTAGTACCTTTACAGCTCTTGGTTTAAAGACAATTTGCCAGGTAATTAACAAAATAACGTCACCAATAAATATAAAAAAGGCAATCATATACATCCACGCCCATGGAACCTAAGTGGAGAGAAAAAGATTCAGTGAAAACGCAAAACATACGCCGGATAAAAGAAAGTAAAAGAGAACAGAAGCCAAGATAATGAGGTAAGACAATGAAAATAAAAGAAGGAAGGAAGGAGATGAGAACAAAAGCAACTCTTGATTTTTGAAGTTCAAAACGAAACTACTGGGTGGGTGTGGTGTCGAACTGCATTATGGGATTGTTTGGGGGGGGACGAGTTGTTACCCAGTTTCCTGCGCAACCTCGTAATCGAAACATTCCCATAATGCTATTCGATACTAAACCGACCCAGTCCCAAATGCAACCACGAAATAGTCAATACCGGCACACACACCTTCCTTATTGTTTCCGGTCTCCAGGACACAACTCTGTAGGCGTAAAGAACCCTGGGAAGCACGCTGCCTAAACATAGTGTGAACCCCAGGCTAAGAAACCAGGAGCGCGCCTGGAACGAAAACAAAAACCATAAGAGATATGACATCACAGGCATTTTGTCTTTTTTATTATTAAATGTTGTTTATGGTTGGTTACTGGGAATTCGACAGCCTTAGTGGAGGTTTTCATGCAGCTCATGCCAAAAGAAACTTTATTTCCGGTCAGGGGTGACCAGCGAAACACTTCAAGTAAGACTATTGTGCGATTAATCGGCCATTTCCGAGTTACAAAACTCTCGCTTTCAAAACGAGGCTAAGTCTAAAGCCTTTCTTGTGAAAATGAATCTTATTTGCATGGGAATGAAAAATCATTTTCATATCATTAACCTCCTACTTGGCACCTCACTTTGAAGCAAAGGCTTGGGACAACTCCAAAAAGCCTATTTGCTTTTGGCATTTATGCTGGCGTCTTAAACTGCTACTTCGTGTTGACGAAACACAATATGCCCTCCCAACAGTGTTCACAGGAATCGTCCCGCTCCAAGGGTCTGAGAGGACGCGAAGAAAAGATAAAGAAGCTCTAAGCAATATAGAAACAAAATCGGTGTTCACGTGACAACGTGACTAACCTGCAAAGTCACACTTACCTTACAAACAAGTTGCAGGGACTCAAAGGATACAAGAGCTCCATCAATTCCAAACAGAACAACAGAAAAAAGGCTGAGCATACAGCCCACAAGAAGAAGTTGGGTGAGATAAAAACCAGAATGGTAGATGACCCTGCAATGTTTGTAAGTAATTGAGGCATAAGTACGTGCACGTGTTCTTAGCCATTTATGATATATGGATAAAACCTTTAATAGGAACGTTCACCATAATACCTGTGACGTCTGAAGACTAACAGTAAAGCATAGCAAAGAACGCAGCAGACGAGTAGGAATCCAGAAATCAGTGTCCACGCGATGAAAAGAGGAAATAAAATGTACAGCCATGAAACACTTGAGGCTTTTCTCCGGTAAGGTAAGCCAGCTGTGAAAAAAACATATTTATTGAGTTTTACGCTTAAAACGAACGAGGAATTTTTTATTAAATGAGCCACTGGTTAGAAGACCATACTTGCGCTATATGCTAACTGCCGATTACAAATCACGTGATGTCTCAGGCAATTGATCCTCCTTTCCTGCCTGAAAATGACCAGTTTAAAGAAAGAGATCAGGGGAATTTCTTTTTTAATCGAAGTTCCTGGGAAAGTAGTTACAGATATCGGAATATTCGATAAAACGAAATTAGACGTTGTAGATAAGTTCCTTCAGTATTGTATGATCTTAAGGTGGGGAAACATTTATTTTGCAACATAAAAAAGCCAACTAGGTCTATTTGTGAATTTGGCTCAGCGTTAATCGATCGGAATAAGCAGCGGAGGACGTTGTTTAGCCGTGTGCATTGCCTGTATCATGTGACGCTGATTATCCTAAATTCTAACGTACTGTAAGCCCACAAGTTTCGTTGCAATGGGTTTTATATTGTGCAGAATACGCGACACACATATGACGATCTCCACGACTAGCAAACATAGACAATAAAGGTCCTTGCGATAGGTGAAAAAGGAAGCCATAGTTTAATACTGAAGGATTTTTAAAGAACACAACGTAGAATACCTGGCCATTGCACGTACTCCAGTGTCTCAGGGGTCCCGCTTCCTTGAGAACTTCCCTTCAAGGTCAGGGTGGGGGGATTGTAGTCAAATACTCCAACTTCTCGAGCACCAACTGGCCAAAACAAACAAACAAAAACAGTTAAAGAACGGTTAAAAGAAGGTTTAACGGACCATTTCACTTCTTCTGCATGTACAAAATACAAGGGGAAAAGATGAATAAGAGGCTATATGTATTGGTCTTCTAACAGCCCTCCTTTACTGAAACTCACCTGATTTCCTAAACTGCTGTATGAAAACTTTACATTGTCTGTTCCCATTTTCGTCAAAAGCCACCTGACCCTATTATGCGCAGAAAAGCAAAGGAGTAAACAACAAAACTATAGTTATAAACCTTATTAATCGAAAAACCTAAAACCTATGACGTCACGGTTCCTATATGTCTGTACATGATAAGAAAGGAAAAACTTGTCGAACAGTCCCCAGACCTCTCTTCCTCTCGGAAGGATTTGAATTACATTTTTAGGTAATAACAACACCGTTAGTCCCATCAGTGACAAAAGAAACTAAAATTGTTACGTATTAGGTACAGATTTAGAGTAATCTGATTCAAGTAGGATTAGAGAGCTTTAGATTCTACGACGAGGACGACTACGAGTACGAGATTTTCCCCAGTAGTGCGCGGGCGAACCAACATCATTTTGGCGGGAAAAACTGATAGTCATCTTCACTCTACTACGAGTTTTAGCGAGAATGTCGTAGTGGCGAAAACAAGTTATCAAATGTTAGGAATTTTATCATTTAGCAATCGGGAGAGGGCTTTACCTCCTTCAACGGAAATAACCGAACTAACTTTTGTGGTGAAAAAAAGTACAATAGTGCTTTCCGGGGTGTCTAGTTTTAGAGAATAGGCGAGAAAACGTAAAATTAAATGTCATCCTGGTAGTCGTCCTCGTTCGCGAATCTTAAGCTCTCCATTGTTTGATTTCTTCTATGTTCCACTTACTGAAGGTCCTGTAAATTTCACTTCAAATGCCTCCTCCTTGAAGAGCTCGCTGACCATGCGCCGTCCATACCCCAGGACGTGTAAGTTCATCCTCCAATCATTGAGCACAGGCCGACCACGCTCGAGCGTTGCGGCAATTGCCCACATAGCCTCGTACGCAAATGGCGCATACGTGCTACGGAAGAAACTTGGTATGTTTTGGCTGTATTCGGTGAAAAACTGATCTGTGGTCTGAAAGAACGAAGAAAGTAAAAAGGCCTTTAAGGAGACGGGATTGAACCAGTTAAAGAAAATTGAAACATTCATTTTCCATTCAGTATGCTCAGTATAGAATATGGCAGCGTTAATTTTAATTGGATAGAAAAGCGTTTAACACCTCAGAGTTTTTAAACAAAGCAAATTTGCTCTCAGCCTTCTCATCAAAAAAAGCAAGACTTGTAAATGAAAAGAGCTGAAGTGCTTAAATAAGTCCAGAACCGTAACTTTGCTTATAACGTCGTTTGTGCCACAAAAGAGGAACACAGTTGTACCTTTCCAGAGACTAAAGTTCCATTGATTTTATTCTTATAGTAAAAAGTAAAGTGATGATCTATAGCTTCTTCCATCTCTTCTCGTGTACATGGTAGGTTGCTTGACGGTTCAGGAACCCACCAATCAAATGTTGAGTTGACATCCGGGGTAGAAGTCACTATCCAGACATAGTCTTTGCCATACATTCCATTGAGATACGCCTGAAATTAATGGGAACGTATTAGGACCCTGACAAAAATCACACCTTTCATTTATTGACATTTTAAACTAAAAAGAAATGTATTTATTTCTGAATCTGTTTCAAAAGCGCAATCTTTTCAAAGTCATAAAAAGGCGATAACATGATGTAATACAGAGTCCATTTGTTACAAACGTGTTGTTTCATTTCCTTCTTTTACTTTTTTTTTATGACAAATTTTTCTTGCATTATAAATATTATAGAAGATTCTTAGAGGATTTCTTTTTCTCAACCTAATTTTCGGTGTCTGAACGTAGGATGTAACCGTTTTAATCCTCGGTTTGATCCGAGGGGGAAATGTGATGTGCTAAGTGAAGGAGAAAGAAAAGGGGAGGCGCGTAACGCCTGCGGTTCGGTAACTGTATTCCTTTTTATTTGTCCTGTTCTTTCTTTTCGTTTTTCAGCTTATGTCCTCACTAAGGAAATCTCGCACATGACGGCGCCGTTTTAGAGCATTTCCTCCGCGTTTTGTGTGGATCAGAAATGATTTGTGCTTACCTGACAAAATACTTCTTTTGCTCTTGTATGGTGAAATGTGCCTATTATAATGTGTGCTTCCTTCTCCTAAAAAAGAGAGACGATATCCAACGATCAGTAGCTTCTTTTATCCAAAAAAAAGAAGAAGAATGAAAAACGTAGCCACCCACACAGACTTTCTTAAGGCTTCGTCACGCGTTGGAGGATTGGGTGACGAGCCCAAGGTGGCTATGGAAAACCTTACTTTTAAAATTTTGACTGCTACAGCTGGATCCTGTGTAAATCCTTCGTTTGCGACAATTTTGGTGCCGTTGTTTCGCAGGCTTTTGGCGAGTTCCTTACTGATCTTTAAAAAAAAAACAAAGACAGAGAAAGAATATAAAACCCATTCATAACAGAAATAACCAAATTCAGCAAACTCTTGAATACAGAATATCGATCTCACCTGGGAATAGTACGGGGATGCGTTGTAAATCAAACCAATCTCATCCTTCCATCCAAAATGTTGAATAAATTGTAAACAAGGTTCATTGAACACGATTTCTGTCGGAACAGTTCGGAAGAACAGAGGGTATTGAGTCTTCTCTGTGGTCAGCGCAAGGTCGGTGGCGCCGTAAGAAAACTATGTAAACAAACAGTTGTTGGAAAGTAAGACGATATAAAGACGGAATCCATCAGGAAATTGAGCAATTTTAATTTTCAGTGGACAATAATATTAAAGCATATTGCATTCTTTTTTATACTTTTCATCTGCCATAGATGTATTTAGTCGGTGTTTGTAATAACACCAAAGAAAATTTCTTATGGGGGCCCGAGAAAATAAATTTCAAATTTCACAAGTTAACGAAATCTTACTTATGAAATTTTACCTGTGTTTTCACAAATCCTATGAAAATTGAAATATATTTTTTCGAGCTCCCATTAGAAATTGTCTTTGGTGTAATTACAGAAAACTAATTATATATCTATAACGCTTGAAAGGGGTAAAAAAAAAATGCGATATGCTTAAATTATTCTGGTACAAAGTTTTTGTCCACTGAAAATTAAAGTTATTTAATTTGCAAATGGATTCCGCCTTAAAAGGTTTTGCTGCCATGTATCAATACCGTGACAGCCTTGGAAATGAAACTACGAATTTCAGAATCCTTAATTAAGTCATACCCACCATTATTTTTGTCTCAAATTGAGCCTGGATCACATCAAACATTCAACATTTCTGTGCATCTTCTCTTTAACTTTCTAAACTATTTTTCTAGTTAAGTTAGCTATTTAACAATTATTACTCGAGCCCGAATAGGCTCTGAGTCAATAGCCTGAGGCCGAAGGCCGAATGGGCTATTGAGTCAGAGGCCATGAGGGCGAGAGGTTATAATTGTTTTAGTAAAATCCAACCAGTCGGTCAAAAATATCGAGACAAAACAACTTTAGCTAGCAAAACGCGATTCAGCCGCCATTGTTTCGGATTTCAAAGCTGGCACTTTTCGCTACTAGTAGGCTATAACATGTAGCCTAGTAGTAGTTCAACCAATCAGAACGCAGCATCGACTACTAGTTAGACTACTAGTTGGATTTTAATAAAATAATATAGATATACTAAGTTGTGCTATAAAAAATTGAGAAAATTCACCTGTAGAATGCCAATCTCTGGCAAACCCGCATAAGCTGCCACAGTCTTGGCCAAGTTATTATCAAAAGGTCCTAACAACATGAGCTTTTTAGGTTCCGTGCTCAAGTAGTGGTATAAAATACTAATTCCCTCGCTAAGCTCACCCTGCAGAAAAAAAGGGATAAGGGCATGATCAGTGGTCAGTTCTACAGCTGTACCGTTTGTGAGGGTCAATTGTGGACCTTTTCGTTTCCGCAAGGTAAACACTGAAAGATTTCCGCATCCACAGCATCTTTACACACCTTACGCAGCATAGTATATTGCACTCACAATCTTTCTTTTGAATGTGTGGAGTGTCGCCCTGACGGGAGTCCCCCAGGGAGAGGCTCATCAGTCGGAGAGAGGCCTGGATTAAAGATTCATTTTTTCGCGCGGAGCCGGCATTTGGAAGCAATCAGAGCAGAGTAAGGGCTGATTGCCACTGTCACGTAATTTTTACGTGCGTACGTGCGTAAAATTTACGTTTACAAATAAAATAGAGGCAATGTATGAAAGGTCGAAGGTAAGCGTAAAAGTAGAACCTCGCTCAACTTCATGTTCAATCTGAACACTTTATATCTTGCCTCTATCTTATTTACGTGATTAAAGTTTACTTGCGTTAACGTGCGCAGCCAAAAACGCGTCAGTGGAAATCAACTTTAATACGGTGAATGAGATCAGCAAAGTAAGAACCCGTGAACTTTGTCTTTGTCTGGCACCTTTCGTTTTTGTCGGTTCTGTTGTGTTGACTTCTTTGATTTACGTCATCCGTGAATGTAACAGGATCTTATACCGAGGATGAGCCTCGGTAAATAGTCTTAAAAAATTAGACTTGTGGTAGAAGAGCGCTTTGAAGGCCAAAGAGCCTGTATCTACAATATCAATTGCAGTTTATTTCTTTTTTTTCACGGATGTTTGTGAACACAGCGAATTTTGCGCGAAAAGAAATCTTAAAATTGACTGAAAGTTTAACACGCTGGGAAAGCTGTGACATCTATCAATATTGTAATTCCTATCATAAGTTCAGTAGAAGGATAAGAAGAAGAAGAAGAAGGCTGGTATGGACAGCCGAAATATTGTTATGAAAAAAGAAAACAATACACGTTGTCCTGATCAGCTTTGCAGTAGTCTTTGGACTTCTTGTTTTTGACATTTGTTTGTAGCCAAGCTCGTCACCAGGTTCCTCTCGCTTTCTCGTATGGAGAGAAAATAAAAAGACCTCGCAGACGAGGTTGCTTTGTAGCAGATGGTCGCTACGAGTTGATAAGCCATTGAATCAGTTCAACGATATCACTGATTATTGCAAAGAATTTATCTCTCCAAACATAATCCTTGTAATTTCACATATAAAACGCCGCTGTCGACCAGTAAATACTAAAGGCTAATAACCCCAGATCGTAAATAGTTAACCAAAAAATTCATGTGACTGGATTTTAACCTCAATGTTTTGTCTTTCCATAACCTCTGAGTCTTTCAACAAGGCGGAAAAAACACGCGCGAAGTTAAAGTGAACTGCGCAGCGGGAGCGCAATAAAAAAGCTATCAATTTATTTGTCGAAAGTCGTCAAAACAGTCTAAGAAAAAGTCTGTCATGAGACAAGATACTATCGGAGGAGCATTTCAACAAATGTGAAACGTGATCCGTTTACGTTATATGCAAATGTTATAGAACTTCTCTCTGTTCATCATTGGGCACAAAGATAACCGAGCTTATTGACGTTAACATCGCCTACAATGCTTTTATAGCTTGCAATTTGCCATACTTTGGGAAAGCTGGTGTGTGTGTTATTCATAAAAGAAGACATTAAGTGTCAACACAAACGTATATCATCTTCTTGCTTTATATTCATACTTTCTTTATCGTCTGGTAACCGGAAATGTTTGAAAAATTTATTTCTTTTCCTAATCAGGTATTTTGCTGAATATTTAATACTGTAAGTTTGATAAACTTACATATCCGTCAAATTGTATGGAATTTTCAGTGTCATCGTTCCATTACGGTCACTGGCTTGAATGTTTACTTCCTTAAATTAAAAGCAATAAATATGCAAACCTTATAAGTTTTTATGGCAAGCTGCCTTTTGCGAATAACATTTAACCCTATTCAATTCCTTCAATCACAATGGATTTTATTGAGAAGAACATAAAACGCTGAAATATTTATGATCTTTATTCTTTAACAACTGGTTACAAGCAAGACCTCATAAGCAACTTGTCTTAACGCGCTGAGTAAACTGCGGGAAACAGAAATCCTGACTATGTTTATAACTCCCACCTGTTCTTCTAAAAATAAGAGAAACACAACACAGAATTTATACCTACCTTTGTTGACCTTTGGTGGTGAAGAACGATTCTGTAATCTTTAAGGTATCTGGAGTCTTGGTTAATTTCCTCAACCGCCAATAATGCGGCAGAAAGCGCTCCTGCACCATTACGAGAATTCAAATCAAAAAAGCCCCCAATGTGAAGTTCGTGTTTTACTGTAGTGTTTGCATTTGTGGCATTCAATCTTGTCTCCGCGCCTTCACCTCCCCATATACGATCCGTATCATTCACGGTGAGCGATAAACGAGGATTACAGCTCAGAAAGAGGAGTAAAAAAGTCCAGAGATGATGCATACTTTGATCAGGAAAACATGCCCTTCATAGTAGTTCCTGCAAAACTAAATAACATACAAAAATGTGTCACATTTTATCAGGTGTAAATTTTGCGGCCTGCCTAACTTAGAAAGCGGTGTTTTAACAACACTGTGCTTAATTCTGTCCAAGATCTCTCATTTAGTAAGGAATAAAATTGGCATACCTTTTTTTTTCGTTGTCAGCGACGCTGCAGTATAGCTAAGCAATAAATTGGAGAAAATTACTGATTTGTACCAGACGTTCGATTTACGTCGAATCCATCCTAGAATTGCGCAGAACTTTGACCCCTCGTTCGTATTCTTTAAGCCAGATCCAGTTCGATTCGATTACCCAAAAAATCATCGTTTCAAAAACCTCTCATGAAGGCCGTCTTTTTAGCAAGTATAAGAGACTAAGCACCAGTTAGCATGCTCAGCTTTCCATTCTGATTGGCACTCAGCACGTGTTAACATAATATGTAGTTTGCAATTCTGTTTATGTAATATCGTTCTCGTATCGAGGTGTTTTTAATTTCACCTTTACCAGAATAGTTTCCTTTAGCATTTATATCTGAATCTGTATATAAATATTATGTATAGTTTGCAGATGGCCGAATCATTTGGTCAGTTCTTAGAATAAGAATAGGAGTCATGTCTATAATTATGCTTTGCCGTATTTTTCAAAACATGAATTGCTAAAAACTACCAGCGTGAGATTACTTTAACTAATTGTATACAGTTTTCCTCTTCTGAGTCAGAGTTCTTTCGCCGGAGGCAATGGGGAAGAAAACGGTATGAATGTATAACAAAGCAAGAAATGGTTGTCTTGACGATCACTCTTATAATAGCTAAACCACCAGCAAAGAAATTCGAATAGCAACGTGAAACTTTTCGATTGAGGTTTTCATTCGAACGTCATAACAAGGGCTGTCGGTTTTTATATTGTAAAGAATTTATCGGAATATCGTCAGTGTTATGTCTCGGTTCTAAAATATGATTATTTGTTTAAGTCGTTTTCATGAAAACAACGCATTTACTTGTAAAATAATGAGCAGAGGACGTAAGTGCCTGTACTTTCTTCTTAAGGATGATGGTAAATTTAGCCAGACCCATGTTGAACCAAAAAATTAACTGAGAAAGTTGATGTTAGAGTGTACCTACGGTGATCAGTAATTACTTTCTTCTCAGTTGTAAAATCATCGTTTTATCTAACGTCAAGGTAACGAGATTAGAACAAAATGATTGCATGAAATAAAAGGAATTCTCCTTTGGTAACATTCAAAATGTAGGAAGTGCTGCTGCATAGGAGTTTTGGAAGAATATCAAGCATGTTGAACTGTTCAACACAGAACCATCTTTCCGTGTTGTGGTCGGTATTCAACAGCCATAAGAGATTCCGACTTTCTGCAGCCAGCGAGTAAGGACGAGTAAGGCCCTTCTCAAAGACGTTTTGTAGAAGTTTTTCCCGTTTGTTCACTCGTTTCGATTTGTGAAGGCAAAACCTGTTTTCACAGTGGCGGAGAAGCCAAAGGACAACATTTGAATAAGCTAAATTTGTGTAACGCTAACCTATTAAGATTCTGAAATTTTTTTAATAATACCATGACAGGAGCAAGAACAATATTTTTAGAGAGAACAGTCACATAGTGACCTCGTTGACAAAACCATGTTAGTCGAAATTTGCCGGTTTGATCACAAGCATGGTGCTGAAATGAAATAACCTTGAAATTTTCTTAATATCTATAGTAATATTTTTCTCATTTCCCTCATTACCATACATTAAATTTGCAAACGCCAGACTCTTGTCTACAAGTCGTTTTCCCCGGTGTTCGACGGCCGGGAGGAAAAGGAGTCTGTTCTCCCGCCCGCCGAATAACAGGGAAAAGAGGCCTCTGCTATCAGGGAACGTATGGTCGCTGGGGTAAGGAAGGGCTAGACTCTCGCGCCAAGCCCCCAGGCGGGGGGGTACTCTAGATTTCAAGTGACGGGGTCAAAAATCAAAACCAAAAAAAATCCCTAGGGCTTCAAACAAACCCAACAAAATCCCTGGACCAAAACTTAACCCTCCAAAAAATCCCATGTCAAATTTCCGAACCATAAAAATTTCCAAAGGAACTACACAGCCGGGATACGCGGGGATCATACCAGGAACTATCACGAATCTTTAGATTGTTTTGAGTACTCAAAAAAATCCCTACTTAAATCAAGCTACCCGAAAAAATACTTGCCAAAATTTTTCTACCCAAAAACATCCTGCGATCATCCCTGACACTTGAACTCCGGAGTACCGGATGAACCCCCCCCCCCCCGGGGCCAAGCCTGTCTCCATCGAAGGAAATATCTTCGTTATTACTTAAGTTATTTATTAAAATATTAGTCTTAAACTTGATGACATAGCTAAAGTCATAAAACAACCAACTTTCTTCACCAGCCAGTTGCTTTGAAATAGGCTTATAATTAAAGCAAAAAGTTTCAAGAAGTCAAATATCGAAATGTCAGTCACATGTACAAGCCAGACTAAAATTAGGAAAACTTTAAGTTCTAAGGAAGCTGAAAGTGGTTACCATAATGTGATGCAGTTTAATTACACGCATGAATTGCCTGAGAGCTAATATTGAAAAAGAAAGAAAAAACTTGAAACGATCTCAAGCAGGCTCCTGTCTCAAGGCGTTGTAGCCAAATTCGAAGGCAGCTCGATAGTTAGGGATATAACAGTATATAACTTCTTGTGTATTCATGAGTCTGTTAGAAAAATGTTGGATGTCCTAATCTGCATTCAAAAACTGTGACACTTACAATAATCATATGTGCCTCAGGGAATTTTGGTATGATAAAAACGCCAAATATCACAAGCAGTCTTTTCGTAAACCTGACGTAAAACAAGATCTCACAGCCACTGAAGAGAACTATATTAATAAGAATAAAAAAAGGAAAACCAAAGCCAGTTGTGTGCTATACTATGGAGATAGTTGTGTACACACTCAGTTTTATTTCAACGCCTTTACAATAAATTAATTTTGATTTCAATAGCTCCTACGACCGCCTTTTCTGTCTCCTGGCGCGGAAGTATTGTGATCGTAAATTAAAATGCTGAGAGAGAGTCGATCTTACTCGAAAACTTACGATGTTATTTTTTTGCAAATCTTTGCTTGTAATGAACTTTCCAGACGCGGACAGTCCCAATGCCTTACAAGTTTTACCTTAATTGATTGTAATCGCTTGTTTCAAATTAAACTTGCAGATATTTCGCGTCTATTATTCGCGTCAGTGAACACGATACAGCTGTAGTTGCTCGCTTTTAAAAGAGACCGGGCAAAGTTTAATTCATGAAAAGTCTAGACAATCTTTTTGGCCATGGCATTTGTAGACAGTTGCTTGACACTGATTTAACGACCTTCAGTTCGAGACATTTCAATAAGATACAGACTATAAATAAGGGATCAAAACTATTAACCGCCTGGTTTGTTTTTATTTTAACACAATGATCATAACAATTTTTGTAACTTATTTTTATATTTCGTCAGTTTTAAACGAGCCCGATTTAATCCTAAGTATGTCGAGCTATATCGAACATATGAACCTATACGGCTTTCTAAGGTAACCGCAATGATATTTGTGTATAAGGTTACTTGATTTAAAGATGAGGAAGACCCATTGCAGTAACCTTAATTCAGCTCAGTCATGCCTTTCGATTTTATAGCCATGAAGTTACAAAAACGTTATGGCTTCTCGACAACCCGCAGCGACCGTAAAAACAGCAAATCATTTCCACGCACGGCTCCAGTGTTTCATCGTATCACCTAATATCGTTATCTTTCTCTTGAACCCTTGATTTTGATAGCCATAATAATATTTGTCCATAATGAACAGTGAATCTGTCTCTAAGATTTTCTATTAAATTTTATTTCTTACCTTAGCAGCGAATACTTTGCCCTTCAGTCTAGTTTTCCTCGCTTCCTTGGATCGAATATTCTACTCGTAGGAAGCCTGCACCGTGTGTCATACCGATTCCAAACGATTTTGTGTTCGAGCCGTCCGATCAGCGACTTCACGCGTGCGGGTTCGAAATTCAGCCAGAAATTATCAACCGTAAAAAAATGTACACAGATGCAAACGGAGCCTCTTCTAGTTGGCCACTTTTTTTCTGTAAGGTTCTTCAAAGAAAATTGGATTTAGCTTCTTGAGCTTCAGAAGAATAAAAATACGACAAGGACTACCACGGTGACAGTCTTTGTTGCCAAGAACCAGTCACGACTGAGGACTGGGGCTAGAAGGTGAACATCCGGGACTTTTACTTATTTTCGGTGAATTGAGGAAAGATTTACATTCATATGCAAGACCATGCAAAAGTAATCGGCTCCTGCCGTGCAACTATAGTTTGTCTCTAAAAAAAGAATTCTAAGTTTAAGTTTTACTATCTCAAATTAGGGAAAGATTGATTTTGAATTGAAGCAGAATTTTCTACAATTACTTGAATCCATGACATTTGAAAGACACGTTTTTTTTGCATTAGAAAAAGCTTTGACAAACTCAAGAAATTAAAACTGAAGACAGACCACTCGCTGGGCCAGAAACTAATGAGTTCTTCTATTATTAAATCTCCTTTGATTGCTTCATTTCTTAATACGTATCAGTTAGTGGAACAAGACAGAAACCTAACAATGACTATTTTGCACATCAACCACCCAATCAAAATTCTTACAATCATAAGCATCTTTAACCACAAAATCTTTTCATATTGGTCGAGGTTTCTTTTTCTGTGTGGGGTGAGATGGCGTAAGTCACCAATTCAAAAGCGTTGGGGCTGAAATTAACTACTCTGACATAAACATTATCAAAGATACAACAGAACTTGAAATATTTATGATGTTTCGTCTTTAACTGGCGAGACAAAAGTAATATTCAGGGTACGAAACTAATACTATCACTCAACTCAATTTTGAATATTTAAAAACTAAAGTTATATAAACACAATAAAATGTTGTTTTGTTTTCTCAATTGAAGCGGAAATAATGACCCGCAATTGGGCCATTAGTTGGCGTTTATGAACTTCCCGTTGCAGCTTTCACGACAGATTTGAATAATGTTGTGAATAAAAATGTCAGTCTAAAATATACAGTAAGAACTCGCTGTTTTGTCTTCATGCATTCAAAAACTAAAATGGTTTTAAACCATTAAAAGCCAGCCTTACCCCCAGCGTTATTCATGCAGAATACTATGGAAATAAATTCTAACAATAGAAGAATGTTTCTTTAAAGCGAGCTTGTTGGTAGCCTGTCTAGCCAGCGATTCCGCGCGAGCTCGTTGAGAAACTTGGAATGAAAGCGGAAAAAGGAAGAAAGCGTCAAGTTCCCTTTCCACCCCTTTCCCCACCCCCCTTCCCCATCCCCCTTCCCTACCCTCCTTCTCCCCTTTTTCGAGCTCATTTCAGCTTTTTCGACGAACAGTCGCGCAGGGTTATTGGTTAAAGGTGCTAAGAGCATGGTTTCCAAGGTGAAACCCCTTTTTCATATATAAAGCGAAACGGGGTGAGACGAGGTAAAACTCAGAAATTCATTCGGCAACGGGAACGTCAAAAAAACAATTCACCATTTTCACCAAGATGGATCGACTCATTTAGATACAGAGAAAACAATGGGAACCACTGTCTGGTAAGTATGTAAATGAGGTGATCAGAATCCAAGTTTTGTACTTGCATGTTTAGTGAGCAAAACAATAACTTTGCACGTGCAGCACACTTTTTTGTACATTTTTTTGTCGTCACTCCATGACTACGACGTGAAAAAGCCTAATTTTTACGTTTTATAAAAGCCGTGACAACGAAATTTTCATTCTCTTTCGCTGAACTTGGATATAGTTCATAGGAATTCAACTCCAATAGAGTTCGTCTACACCTGACAAGGTGAGTGAGCAGAGTGAGCTGGAATAATCGCGATGAAGATTGAAAGAACACAGATTTGCTTTAATTAGAAGGGAAGTTTCGCCTCCGTCGGCACCGTTCTCGGATCATAAGGTTCTTACTGCATGTTCGTTTTAGGGCGAAGTGGGTCTTATTAAACGGTCCGTTAGTAGAAAGTTCATTGTAGTGTTATAGGTAGACTGAATATGTTATTACCAGTTACCATTTAAACACCACGACGACTCAGTGCCACTGCGTTCAATCAGAATTCGCAACTCGTGTGAATCTTATTTTTACTGAAATTGTGTCTATCCATACATTACATCAAATAACAACAAATTTTGATGGCAAGGAAAAATATAATCATGAATAGGCTTGGTAGCCGCAACCGCTTAAGTACGAAGTTACATTCGACCAGAGAATGAATGAGAACACCAGCGAAACAAGAGGAAACAAAGGCAAACTCAGTAACATTATTAAGGTGGCTCGCAACGATTTGCAGCATTTTCATTTAATTCAATGGATCAATGTTACATCACTTTTTCAGTTGATGCCACGATTTAGTGTCACTAAAATAAATGCTCAACTATTAATGGTTTAAAAAATTTATTTTTTTTGAAATTGCAAGTTACCATAGGAATAGTATAACCTGTTAAAGCGTACCCTAATTTTAGCTTTTCAGATAACTCACAACAGTAACTTGGATAATATCTTTTAGAATCATACGTGTATAGACGCGCCGAAAAATGCACAATAATACGCTTATATTTATATATGGTTAATTAGGTCCGTGCTAAGCTTGTTTGAAATGTCTTGTAAACTGAACAATCACGTGATATGGTAGCTAATACATCGTTTACCTCTTATAGTATAGTTTTATATCCTATAACCCTAGCAGCGATTTTCATTGTAGAGGTTGAGCGGTAAACGTATAAGTTCAAGGCCATGGTTTTAGCAATTTGTTAAGCTGGTAAGTCAAGCTTTGAACATTATCTGCGAATCCTATGGAATATGTTTATCAAAATGTTGTGATGTGACGTGTCCCTAAGATCCTTCCGCGAACCGCGATATTGGGATCATTGAGATGCGTTTTTTCTTCTCTTTCCTACAACCCTGGACAAAATAGTTGTGACACCTGGTTGGTCTCCCCGTCCTCTCCCGTCACAAAATGGAAAATCGCTCAGGATTTCCCAAATTGCAACACTGCAAGAGGCGGGGGGGGGGGAGAGGGGTGCAAACCCAAAGAATTGGAAGTGTCCCAAGTTTTTTTGATCGGGGTTGTAGTTTACAGCATTCACATTTATGGAGACTAAAGTACTGTAGTTGGCATTTCACTATTGTATCTCCTTGTCGTTCCATTGTATAATTTAGGGCGTACCTTTGAGTAATCTGGAGGTTTATTGAAAGATATGCTTCGTTGTCGTTTTTCAACTGAATTTTCGCCAGCGTTTGCCTCACTCACTGTAGAAATTCGTGATTTTACGTGAGTGTAGTCGTTTTTGAAATGAGGAATCTTCTTAACACTTGTTTTTGGTTTATAACTGCCTGAACCAGTGTCTATTTTCGATTGAGCGTTCCATTTTAATTTGCCGAATCCATTTTTTTTCCGTCTTCTTCTCCTCTTTTTGGAACCACCTCTTCCATTTGTTCTAATTGTGTTGTTGTTGTTGTTGTTGTTGTTTACTACATCATCAGTGTTGTCGTCGTCTTCGTCAAATTCGTCGTCGTCGCCAAATTCATCATCACCTTCATCATCTTCTTCATTCACCGCAATGTGTCTGTCCTTGCCCTCTTCGTTTAAGTCATCCTCTTGCCTTTTTAACTCTTTTTTCGCGTTGTTGTGCCCCAATCCCTTATCATTAAGGTTATTTGCGTTGTCAACAATTTCATCTTTATTGACGCCGACTGATGGCAAGGAATCCGTCTTTTCATTACTCTTGCCCCCTCCTCTGCTTGTATCTTTTAACTTCGAATCCGACCTCATCTTCTCATCCGCTTTTGTCTTACCATTCTCTCCTGGATTTTTGCTCCCTTCTCCGTTGATTTTAGTGCCTGTATTTTCTGCTCTGTTCTCAGTCTTCTCTTTTTGTTTCTCTTTATCGTCCGCTTTATCCTGTCCTTCTTCACTAGCATCCTCAAAAAGCCACCTTGATACCTTTCTATGGCGTGTTTTTTTCTCGTCCTTTGGCTCGTCTCCATTGTCATCTTTTGAGTATTCCGAGTTTTGTTCTTTGTTTTCTTTACCCTTTTCAAATTCTTTATTTTCATCCTCTTGATTTTTCTGACCATTGTTGACCTGCTTTTCTCTTATGTCTTTAATGTCCTTAGTTTTATTGCCCTCTTCCGCTTTATCATTTCCCTGATTCACGGATAGTGCAACGTGCGTTAATGACACTTTACGACTCGTCCCAGGGCTGGTTTTGAGAGTTGCCGCTATTCTGCCCTCACCAACTGTATCTGTTTTATCTTGACTAGGAGACGAACGATTTGATCCAGTCGCAGGCTTTATATCTTTAGTCGTTTTCTCGTTATCTTTCAGCGAAATATTCCTAATGCCGTTACCTTTTCTTAGTACGTTCTTATGGAGATCTTTGTCATCATCCCCTGTCTTGCTGATTTTCCTCGACGTTTTGATCTCCTGGTTTTCATTACTGGTTCTTGCTTTTGAACTGTCCTTGCCGTCTTTCTTTGGAATGCTTTCTTTTGGTCTCATATCGTGGTGTCTAGTCTCGCTATCTTTCCGTAACGTTTCCTTCTCAGGGTTTGTATCATCATTTGTTAATTCCAACTCGTCTTTAACCAGCCAAGACCCAGCAGGACCAAGGGAAGACTTCTTCTTTGACCTGTCTTGCGTCGTAACCGCAGCAGTAATTTTCCCGGATGTAGTTTTGGATGTCCCGGATGGATTGGGTGTCTTTGGTTGGTTGATCGTCTCCCTGGAGTCATCTGGGTTTTCTGGAGGAACAGGCGTGGGTGGCGTCTCGATCAGTATTATTCCTTGCAAGTTGGGGGACTTTTTAACTAAATTCTGAAAAGAAAAGATTTGAGACTGTTTAGTCCCAATAAGGACAAAATAGCTGTCAGTGGTGCCTTCACGCGGGTGGTGTGAAGGTGGATGTAATCCTTTGTGAGTTGATCGCAAAGTCTGCTAGTCAATTTCAAATGATAGATACAAAATGACTCATACAAAGAGGAGTTTTTGTGGTTCTGCTTTACAGTTGTGCCTGTTTCTATTTATAGACCGCTGGAAAAGCACAAGAAAAGTCTATAAACTGTACGTCAGCTTTAATTTGTACCTCTTCTGATGTAGGACTTTGTTGTGTTTTCACCGCGCGCCCTGGCATTTTAAGTCCTTCCAGTTCCTTGCGCAGTCTTTGGATTTCTTCTTCTCTCTGATGAGAACAATTCCAAAATGAATTTTAGAAGAGTAGGCGCAGTAATGAGTATAAATCTAAAAATAGACTGAAGTAATAACGATCTTCGACAGTTATTAGTTGTAGGATGGAAGCACCAAGTTGATGCGCTCCTTCTATTTGTCTAAAGAAACAATTTACGTTAAAAGAAGAGTGAAATTTGCTTTTATACAATACTTTGATAACAGTATTACCTGCGCTAGTGTTGTCTTCAGTTTTGTTAAGTCTTCAGGGGATGATACTACAGATAATCGTGAACCCCGCCTTACTCTTTGAGAACTGGGACCAAGAGTGGACCTCCGCATCCCAGTATCCACCTAGAAGAGAGGGATAAACTTTAAATTAACTACTCAAGCGGAAAGTATGACGATATGGTGTACCTATTCAAAATTATTCTCTTTCAGTTTCTCAATGTTTCACTCTCTGTTTTTGTGTATTTTGCAAAACTAAGCGTTAGACGCTTTCCTTGAATTGTGTCTTTCAGCGTCTTAACCCCGTAGAACTAAAGCATTTACCTTGCTTTTTATATGCGAGTAGTCAACTGCTTCACTAAAGATCCTGACTTTATTGGCGGCGCGCCGGAATCGTTTGTTTTTATCAGAACCCTGTGAGCTCTCCAAGTCACTAACATTCCCGTCGCTGAACATGCTGTCACCATCGTCCGGGTCCCACGGATAATCTTCATCGTCTTCTGTTTGAGTCCCGTTGGTTTTCACAGTACGATTATGTCCAAGATTGCTTAGCTGGGAGTTTTTCTGAAAAAAGCGGGAAAATGAAACGTTACATCAAATAATAATTCAAACGAACGACGACGGTGGATTGCCTTATTGTTCATGATATGTCGTGTTAGGGTTCTTTCTCGAACTTGCCTCATGACAGAAGAACGTCAGCAATGGCAACTTGGTCATTTCAGGAAATCTTTCGCCATTCCCTCTCCCGAGCGCGCGGCAAAAAAAAAAGAAAAGAAAAAAGAAAACAACGTAGTTTCGTGTTATAATACCTCTCTGAGCTCATTCCTCAGGTTGACAATCTCTGCATCTCTATCTTGCGCGATACCTCCTATATAAAACTCGGCTTTACTCTGTCCTCCTCCACCTCCACTCGATCGCACCTGGGACCCACAGCAAAACGCTCGTAGGCACGAATACAAGTTCCAGAAAGGAAAACACAAACAACACGTAATACAACATGCCGACGAGCATGCAAAACATGGGCAGAATCTTGCGCAGGCCGCACCTCTTGTGCTTGCGCATTTAGTGTTGTCCGCTGACTCCTCTCCAATGCGCAACGTTTTCGTTCGTTTCCGGGTTCTGCAGCTCAAGCGAAAAATCTGGTCAAAAAAGCAAACAAACAAAGAAAAAAAGTTTTAATTAACAAGAAACGAAGGACGAAATCCTGTTTACGGCTTCTCTAAACACGCACTGGTTCATATAGACCTGACTCTGATCTGCTATGGAAATTCCTTTTTAAATATTCTTTTTCCTCACAAATGTTTTGTTCTTTGCAGTTGTCGATTTCTGAGTCTAGAGTAAATTTTCCTTTATTAATAACATTACTTCTAATAACATTTCCAAGAAACTGCACTCACCTTGTTCACAAATAGAAGTACAAGGATCATTGTTGTAGCAACAATAATCAGCACACCGATTACCCCATAATACGCACTTGGATACATAGTTGTTGCGAAAGCCACAATGGAACCGCACAAACAAAAGAGAACCACAACAAACATGCAGGACACGCAGTGTTGAGTGTCATTTATAGCTGGAATGTAGACGCGTCTTGTCTGCCAAGCGAGAAACCCGCCAGTAAGGAGAGTAAGCACTTTGAACACGAGGATTATCACCAACCATAGGGTCAGGTCTGCGCAGTCGCAGTGCTCGACGACTTCAATCTCTGCCCGAAATGTATCGGCAGTTATCGGCTGAAAAAAAGATTAAATCGCTGGGTTTCCTTTATAGTGTGACTTGTTAACGTTTAGCGTTCCATATGCATGAAATACGAAAAAAGGGAAATTTGTTATTATTCTTTACCGTTGTAAATGAAAAGAAAGAAACGGGGGATAAGTAGAAGCTAAGAGAGACAGATTACTTCCTTCAACTGAGATAACAAGGTTGCACAGGTAACCTTACTTTAAAGCAGAACAGGAAACCATCTCTTAATTAGTTAAATGGGGTTTGGTTATTCATTTGTGCGCGTGCGTTTTATAAACCACCCACCTCAAAACATTTGTACTCCGGTTGTGATCTGACTTGCTTAAGAGTTCGAAAAAGGGGGTCTGTTCCTTCCCAGCATGCTAAGATTATAATGTCGACGATTAAAAGAAGGACGAGAATGCCCAGCATCCAGAACATCATAACGTTCTGTGAAACAAGAAATCACACGTTAAATTGTGAAAAATGAAAAATTTCCAATCACATCAAATTTAACACTTGCATCGATCACGGACACGATCGTAACGCATACCTATGAGTATAAGTTACCTGTACGCACCATTCATGGATTGATTCATGGTACTCGGTCATATTAAAAGTATGTTAATTTTTTTTATATAATATCAAACAAAGCAGCATAGCTGATACTACTTAGAAATTTTAGCTTTGCAAGACATCAACATGACAACAAAAGTACACAGTCAAACATAGCAACCTCCTAGGGATAAAGTTAGGGATAGCTGGCTGGTAAAAGTGATACGCCAACTCTGTCGATGGGTTTTATGTCTTGAGCGCAAACCCATTGAATCACGCCATATTAATGCTTTTAATTGGCCTCCTTTGTTTGGAAACTGAACTGACCATAGTGATTGTCATTGTGGCCTTGCATCACCGTTCACCTATCACCACTAACGCTCTCAATGATTTAAATAACGAGTTCAATAAAATACATTACCCGACTTCTGACGAATCTGTCTTTCAAAACACTATAAGCCATCCATAGCTTAGCGGTCACTCCACCCACTGACAGTGTAAAGCCGATTGCAAATGTCCATGAACGAGCCTGCAACGAACAATAATAACTTAAATATGAAGGTCAATTTTAATAATAACTGAAATATAAATACTGAAAGAACCGAAACTACTTAATTTGATCATTCAAAATTCAAGGAAGTTTTCTTTATCTGCAGATGTTAAGTACTGCTAGTACGGTGCAAAAACCTTACAAAATAAGAGAAAAATGCGGAGCAACCAGAGACGTAAAGATAAAGGATGTTTGCTCAATGGTAAGTTTGAAACTAGCAAAATTAATCCCGTAAAATGCAAAAAATGGAGATCATTAGCCATTGTACGATGTGCATGAAAGTTGGAATTCGCACTATGAAACTGCTTGGGAAGCACTATCTCTTCTTCTACCTTTTCCAGTGTCAGGAAAAACTGCTTCTTAATCTTTATTTGTATTTGTGTATTGCTTTTATGATTTAACCTGATTATGCTTGGACGAGCATGCGCTATAAGCCATTCTTAAATTACGCGTGAGACTGGGTCAGTATCTTGTCGAATTGCACCTTGGGACTGTTTCTGGGGACAGATCTCGATCCAACCTCCCATAACGTGATTCGACTCAACATCAGCCCTACTCTCACGGGAAACCTTCCTGGTTAATACTTACCCTACAAAATCTTGTTACTGTGTCCGGGGAAACGAGTGAGTAATCAAAGCCGTAAAGAATGACTGTGACGTAGTTCAAAATACAGCCTAAAATAATCAGCATGCTAATGACTGGACCAGAGTTATGAACAAGTCTGAAAAACAATTCGTTATTATTAATAATATATTTTGAACCAGTGCTTATGCAAAATTTCAGTCGGGGTGGAGGGTAGCGGGGGGTGGTAAACAAAGTGCATTATGGTCTGTGCCGGAAGATGGTGATTATAAGTGACCTGTCCTGTAACTTGATAAAGCACTTTTATCACTTAGAGTTTAAAAAGAAATGTACAAAATGGGATGTTGCAAGCTCGCTGTAGAATGCTGTACTTACTTTTTCTTGAAGTTTAAAGCCAAAACTAAGAGGCAGAGCAAAGCGTAAGCGATCCCCACGGAAGCAAACCCGATCAGTACAAAAAACAAAGTCCTGTCAATCGTACGGTAAATGTATTTCTCTGTGGTCTTGGTGTAGGGAGTGCCAGCTGAAATTTAAAAAGACACCTCGAATTGAATAACTTTAGATCCATGGTGTTTTCACTGCTAAACCGCAGTTCGTAAGCAACGTTGGCCGTTCACACCAGAGTAAGACACAGCCTCGTTCCCAGGGTTCCAGGAGAGGACCCTCGGAACGAGTTTGTACGACGCGTTTTGTAGCGCGCTGCATTCCAGATCCCATATCCAAAAAAAAAAAAAACTAAATTTAACCAAAGAAATGCTGAGATAACTAAGTATGCAAAAAACCTACATTTTTCTCATAAAACCTTGAAGTGTCCCTAACGTTAAGCATGAATTTCTTCCCGGGCTGTTTACTTGACTCGTGGACTTAGTAGGAAACTTGATTTTTTTGTGAACGAGTACACCTACTTACTTTTCAAGGTCAATAATAATTCAGAAGAGTATTGTAAAGACCCCGCTGACTATTGCGGCAATCATGGTTTGAATATGTGATTTCAATTTCTGTAGAAGTGGCGAACTTTTCATTCGAATAACTTCAATAAATAAGAACCATTCACCATGGATCAATTGAAGTTTCTAGGTAGTTGTTCACCAACCCCTCCCTTCAGTCAACAATAACGCTTACTTTTCACTTAAGGTAAAATTGTGACTTAGGAGAGGGGTAGGTTGTCAGTTACCCAGAAACTTCAGTTGCCGGTCTTTTGAGTAAACAGTATATAGAGAGTTAGATTTAGAAGTATATACGACTTACCAAACCAGTGTATTTCGTGCGATGCAGTAAATTCATTTGTTTCCACGTTGAATGAACCCGCTTGGACTGTCTTAAAATTACCATCTATCAATTGAGAATTCAATTAATATCAGTAGTTCCATCAATCTGCTTTATTGAAGTGACTTGGCAATGCATAGTTTTTTAATAGTTACACAATAATACAACTTGCAAAGTTGTGGGGTAATGTTAGTCTTGACTCCACCTTAGAGCAAATGAGGGTTTTCCTGTCACGAAAGTGTCATTTATGTCACGGGTCATCCAAGTCACGGAAGCGAGGCACAAGGCCTCCTTCCCCGTGTTTCAAGACAGGCAGAAACATTTTTGGGAAAATAAAGGCAATGTATGAAAGGCCGGCCGAACGTGAAAGTAAAATTTGAGCGAAGTTCAACTTTAACGTGTACGCGTGCCCTTCCAAACATTGCCTCTATTCTATTTAAGCGCGTAAAATCTACGTGTGTACGGACGTAAAAATTACGCGACAGTGGAAATCCACCTTAGGGAATTTAACAGCGGAACCATTCTCTTTACAAAGAAACGATATATCTGTTGTTCAGCGCATGCTCAAGAATTAATGATGTAAATTCATGTGGCTTCTTACCTTGTATCACGATTTGCCTCAATACAATTCCGTTTTTTCTGTCACCATTCTGATAATACCTAACTCGTGCCTTAACAAAAACAAAAATAAATTCAAAAAATGGATAAGAATTAAGACTTAATTTGTGAAAAGTTTGAACCCAGGAGTCATTTCAAAAGTAGGTTGAGTTTGATCGTCCGGGTGAACGTAGTCCTGAATAGGACTGTTGTTGTTCACAGTGACTGGCGTTTCGACAACCTGTGCGGTGGTCATCTTCAGAGTCAAAGTGAGTTGTATCACGTCAGTTGATGGTATAACATCGCGACGTAATTGACCAATCAGATCAATAACCAGAGTATAATAACATCAACTGACGTGAAACAACTCACTTTGACTCTGAAGATGACTACTGCACCGGTTGTCGAAACGTCAGTCACTGTCAACAACCACAGTCCTATTCAGGACTACGTTCACCCGGACGATCAAACTCAACCTACTTTTGAATTAAGACTTTGTAGCCAATAAATTATAACTTAAATTAACTTATTATAACTTATTCACTATTGATTCTCATAGCCTGAGAAAACGGCCAACATTTGGCGGCACCACTACAGGCTCGTCGAGAAAACAAAACAGGCTTTTATTGTCACTCGCCGTTTTTTGGGGAAAGTTTGTCGGCTAGGTTCGTCGAAAAATGACGTTTGAGCAACGAGGGCAGAAATTCAATACTGATGACGTGTCACTATCTGGGTAGAGCTTCTGATTGGATGGGTTAAATTTTTAACCAACTATTTTAATTTATTCATCCCAAATTCTCTCTGTCTGTCCCCCATATTCCCTCTTGCCTTACCCCAATACTTGGAGTTGGAAAATCAAGGTTCTGCGCATGTCTCCTAAAGACAGCTGTGGCATTCACATCCCCGTATGTAAGATTTTCCAAGGATTTTCCTTGTCTCAGGAGTTCATCCCTTGAATTATGCAAGACAAATGCTATCGACCATAGGGCGTCATAAACGTCTAGGGCGTTGCTGCTCCTGTTTGATGTGTCACTGCCATTATCAACTTTAGCTCGATAGTCATTGATTATTTGAGACCCATTCTGTGAAAAGAAAAAAACCCAGCTTTTTCGTAGATTTACCTAATAAATATGGAGTACAATAGACGATCAATTGTATTGAGCACTTGTTTAAAAATATTGACCCAAAACGCTCACCTTTTTGGCATGATTGTAATATCGACTTCTTGGATTGATCACAAAAGTGTGATAAAAGGAAAAATGGTTCTGTATCTGGCATTTCATTTCTAGATCAGAACAAGCTAATTCCTCGTTTTTGCCTGGTATCCACCAATTGTTATTGTAGCTGTTCACCAACATCCAAACATAATGAGGACCGTACATCTTTTGCTGATAAGCCTTTCAAAATGGAAATAGAAGGGAAATTCAAATTTAGACACGAGTAAACAGAGAGTATGAGTGTATTTGAAGCCCGTCAGAACGTCTTTAGACCAATCCTGTTGAGGAGACTAAAGGGATAAACCTGGCGTACATTTTCGCGTCGCGCTCAACTCCATACTCAATCTGTGCAATGTACTGATTAAGTCTAAATAACTGCCACTTGTATGGCTGTACTTATGATTTCATTCACAGTCTTAATATTAGACCTAGGCGATAATTAATTACCTCGCAAATCATCTTTCGTGCAACTGCATTACGGTCAAACATTCCAAGTATTACGTGAATTCCTTTGTCCTGTGAAAAAGAGAGTCAAGTAGCAATCAAAATATTTGCGGGGGAGGGGTGAGTGGTAGGACCTATTTACATACTGGCCTAAGTAAAAGACAGAAAGGCACTCCCCAGAATAACAGTAACGGTTGGGTAATGAGTAGAGCGCCATTGATCCTATCTATATTTTTAAGTAGTGTAAACTGCAAAAAAGCTTGTCATTCTCTCTGCTGAACGCCTTGTTGGGTTGCTTTGAATTCCCTTTGTCTACACCAAAGAGGACCTTATATCTTACTTTCCAGTTGTCCAAACTTAGTTCCCATCATCGCCACATCTACTATGTTCGGGCTTTTCTTGTTTAGAGCGATCTTTATATGAACACACACCAACAAAACATTGAATGGACAAGAAAAGACGAATTTGACTGGCTGTTTAGCGATCAGACTCAAATGGGTTACGCGCACACCTTTTGGTTGGCTTAGCGAACACACAACGCATTCCTGGCTAAGAAAGAGATAACTTAAAAGTAATTGATCCATAACTTCGGGCAAATGAAACGATCTTGGTTTTTTTTTTTGTCGATCTTTTTCAACTATTGGCTGATGAAACAAATGACAAACACTTGGTTCGAAGGGAAGGTCAAACCAAAACTGTTACCTTTATTGTCCTGATCGCTCGCTTTGGATCATTGGCTTGCAGTCTTACTTCAGCCAGCACTTTGATGTTGTTTTTCCTCAGTCTGTCTGTTAGTTGATTAGAAAGCTGAAGGACAAAAAGAATCTCAGATCTCAGATTTATGCTATTCGACAATCAAAAGATCAAGTGTTGACATCGTGGTATGGAGGGATGAGGGCGTATGGGGGAGGGATGGCGCAGTGCGCTGGTTAAGCCAGTGTGCTGGTTCATTTTTGGCCTTGACCTTTATTTCGTAGGGCTCTCTGGGTTCTTCTTCCGCCGCCAAAGAAAAAAATAAACGAAGGAATGAATGAATATATAATTAAATAGATAAATAAAACATCGAATACAGTCGAACCCCGTTAATATACGGACGCTGAGGGGTCATAGGATGTGTTCGTATTAAAGGGGTGTAGGTCTTAAGTGGGTTGAATTTAGAGAAAATATGAGGGCTTTCTTTCCCAAGGAACAAAACAAACTGTCTGTAATAACGGGGTGTCCGTAAAGCGGGGTTTGACTATTCCAATCCGATCCAGGATTCAAAGGCCACATGTTGATCAAATCTTATCAGTCTTTCAGACTGTTTTGTAGTGCTTACGTAAAATGAGTCGATTTATTATTTTTTCATTTCTAATGCATTGTTTTTCCGTAGACGTCTGTCTGAAAATCTGGTCCTTAGTCTGTCCAGCCGTTCTCTTCGTTAAAACACTGTTTAACAATCCGGGATTAATTTCCTCAATATTACCTTAAGGTATTGAACGCTATCTCCGTAGATGATTCCAACTTCATCCCATCCATACTCCTTGATGAATTCTATTCTCGGAGCATCCAACGAAGCAATAGACGTTGACGTACGAAAGAAGTTGGGATACAAATCTCGTCTGATTGCAAGATCCACATCAGTCGTGCCGTAGGAAAACTAAAATGGAGAAAAGAGCGTTTTTGTCACGGGAAATGATTGACCAGCAAGAGGTCACTTCAGCTTTGTTGGTGCTGTGAAGATCCCCGTGTGACTCCACCACCGCCAAAGTGATACCACTGGAGTTCAGATTCAAAAGTGAAGAAAATGATGTCTTCAAGCCAGAACAGTGCACAGTGAACTCGCACCGCAACAGTTTTGAATCTCTTTTTTCGGGCAGGCCTCAAAAGGTTTTTTAATGCTCAGATCAGCTACTGATCTGCAATGGCCGTTTATTTGGTCAAATTCAAGAGAAAGAGAAAAAGGAGCAATGTGCTTCCAAATGGAAAAGCACAAGTGTGATTGCGTGACAGAACGAAAATTTAAATCGTCTCCCTCTCGGTCAAACACGGGAGAAAAATATAGCTCTTTCAGAATATAACAAAAACACAAGTTCCAGAATTGATGACTACCGTAATGAGCAGATACCATGACAGACCTTACAACGTCAATGAGTTATAAAGCGTTGTGTTCTACGTACTTGTAGTAGACCAACTTCTGGAATCCCAGCATACGCCGCCACTGACTTCGCTAATGAATCCGTCCCTGGCCCCAATAACATGATTTTCTTTGGCTCCTGGGTGAGGAATTCCTGGAGAACTTTCTGTCCAAACCCAAAGCTACCCTTTGGAAAAAAGAAGTTCTTTACTGTCATTACGAAAAAAATTGCCTTGTATCAGTATGATACAAGTTCCCACCCATCAAGATGACATGACTTGCACTGACTTTTATCTAGATGATACAAGTCCCCTCCATCCCCCATGCCTTGTACAATGTATGTGGAGGGATTGGGAACAGAGAGGGGAGTCTCCTCCCGTACCTTCACTGCAGCCATCACAGATTGGAGTCCGATTTCACTGGGTAAAATGAAGCGTCTACAAGCTAACAAATGAATAGAAAAATGCAGTCTCTTACTTGCGTCGAATTGACCACCAGTTCCAATTGGTACCCTGGCAGTATTTCAGTGTTGTTGTTAATCTCGTCTATAGCTTGTTGTGCCATGGGCAGACTTCCGTATCCACTTTTCACCCCGAGATCGAAAAAAGCTCCAATGTAAAGCCTGGTTAGTTGCACTGTGGTGGCGTTACTGCTGCTATTTGTTGGAATGCTTGCGTTTGTGGTATTTGTAGAGTTTCCTAGTTGCGCGGTACTAAAATTAACGCAAAAAATGACGACGAAAATTGTGGCCAAAAAAAGATTCTTCATGGTTTGATCTACAAGAAAAAACACAAAGGCTCGTAATTAGAGCTCTCGCACGCATGTTTAAAACAGCAATTATAAAGAATACGTTTTATTCTGGAAACCGAAACGAGCTGATTTCACTGAAGCAATTACAAGCCCGAATTTGCGTTGGTTTAAAGTCACCTTGTACAGGTATTAGTTAGTAGCTTTCATTGTATTACTAGTCAGTTACCGATAGTTTAATAGACACTTTATAAGTAGGAAGTCTTATTAAACAATTTTCATTTGAGTTAACAATCCACAGTTTTAGGTCAATGGCTCAGTCTGGAATCATGAAGCCGTGATGCTGAGTTAGCTACGTTGAGTCGAAGACACCGTACTCGAAGTTAAACTTTCACAGTCGTTAACTTAGAGAATGTAGTCGTAACTACACTTTAAGCAAGTTCACAAGGGATTACGGTGCTAAATGGTCCCCTGCTGAAATACGCCGACAATTGACATAAACTGCCTCTTGTGACTGATAACAACTAAGAACAGTTGCACTTACTAAAAAACCAGTCAGATTGTCGAATCAGAGCCGAGGACATCCCAAAATGACAAAGCGTTCCCTCGTGACTAAAAGTTCCCTGGTTTTACTTTGGGTCACTATTGCATGGCAAAATTACCGCTTGCCATATGATTCAATCAAAATTCAACTTAACCACAATAGCTTTCAGTGTTGTCCGTGACGTGATTGTTACTCAGTGACAGTAGTATGTGTACTATAAGACGTATATCGCACATGAAAGCTAAGAAGGTTGAAAGCACGAACACGTTCAATGCAAAAACTCAGTTAGAAGCCACGAGTTTATCATTTCAGAATATAAGACAAATCTTATTTGTATTTTGTTTTATCAATTTTGGCAATGAGCAAAGCACCTTTCAGTGTTTATAATGACAGGTAAAGTGGTCTATGATGAAGACGTTCTTTCTCAGGGGCTCGAGTGAATGTTATGGTAACCATATCATAAGGTGATATGTAAACTAGAGCTTTCAGGTAAGTAATATCTGTTTGCATAGAGCTTGTGATCACAGATCTAGGCCTGAGATTGGTCACTTTAGTAGTGGCTGAAGCCTCTGAATTGCACGCAAGAAATACTACAGTCCCATTGATACTTTAAGCCGTTCCTTTATCATTGATCCTTTAACAAAAACAATCCTTTTTATCCTTAAACTAAAGGGTTGATTCCAAGTGCCTTTTAGAAAGCAACGTTTTGTCAAGCAAGGAAAAAGAACTTTCATGACTTATGCATGTTGTCGCTTATGTAATAAGGCATTATATATGGACAGTTAATGGTGTTGGAGCGTTATGGAGGACACACAGAGAGAAACGGGTTCATGGAAACAATTTGATGTACATGTACAGTCTTAACTGATTGCCGAACTGTAACTTACAGTTATCACTTTCGTTTTCGGATTAAAACAATCTTGGACAAAATAAATGAACATTTAGACCCCCGCCCCCGCCCGCTCCAAAATCTAAGATTTGAAAATGGCAAGTTTTGCCCTTCGCACTGCTTCATCCTTGATTTGAGGGGTGGGGGTTTGCTTTTGCGTTTTATTCTGTCCTCTACGGGCCGTTAAACAAAAGCCACACTTATCAGTTGCTAATTTATACCTTTTTGACAAAACGTACTGTTAGTGTATCACATCTAAGGAACGAAAGGCTATGTTAAGCGGATAATGCTTAAGGTTGATACCAAGGGTAACTTGGCCTCAGTCGTTCGTAGAGCAAACTATAGCCAAGACACGTTGGAATTTTGACAGTTTAAATGACAACTACAACTTATTCTTGGCAGTAAAATTCTTTTGATGAAAGAGACAGCCAATTTCTAACTTTTTCAACCCCACTGTAACTCATAATTAGTCTTTAAATATATAAAAGTGGATTGTTTCTCATATTTCTTGAGTGGATTAAACAAAGCTGTGTTATCGACTGCCAGATTTGTATAGGTCGTGAACTACAAAACTTAAACCGATTTACAAGCTTACAATTTGTTAAAGAGAAAAACTGTACGTACCGATGCCTTGCAATGATCAGCCACCGTTAAATTTCAAGCCTTCATGACCGATTCAGAGAGGGTGCTAATATCTGTTCAAGTACTTTTGGTAGTTATCACTTGTATTTAGTTTCCTATATCTCTTTCACACAATAATGTACACATCAGTCCTTTTGACTTAACAGAGATTTACATAATTAACTTGCTTTTGACGCAATTTAGCCTCTATAGATCAAACATTAATTTAAAGAAATACTTGCATGTGACATTTTCTATTATCTTTTCAGAAATGTCAAATACCCTCACACAAAGCTTTCCTAATAGCTGACCCTGATTTAACTTTACAAAAGCAGCTTAATCGTATTTACGGCAGAGCTCGGATTAACCAGGCTTACGTACGTTGGTTTTGGTAAAGCTCTCACAGACGTCAGCCTCTCTCAAGTAGAGCATGCACCTTTGGCAGAAATTGAGCAAAAGAGTTATGCTACAATAAAATGTTCTGCGTGATTTAAGCTCAAACCAAGCGTGTTGATTGTCGTAACTGCATGTCTAAAAAATTCATTACGTGTAAAAATGTTTGTTTAGGGTCTCGTGACAAGTTTCTTTTTGGAAAACTTTCGTCACGTAATCAGCCGATAGTGGTTTAAGAAATACCCTCTGAGTTGATATAGCTAATGTGTTTGAAGTTTGCATCGCAAATTTTATTTGTAAGTTTTGCAAACAATAACGTGGCAGCTATGGTCTGGCAATTAGGGCCGACGGAAATAAGAGGCGTATAGTCGGCCATTAAATTAACTAATTTGTCGTATTACAGTAGCTCTTACGGTGGAAGAGAATAATCGTTAAGCTTTTCCGCTTTTTTTGCGTGTGGTTAGCTCAGTTACTACTGCTGACAGTGCAGCAACAAGTAGATTTTCTTGCTGCACGTTTTAAAGCTTAACTTGGCCAGTGGGAAAGGGCACAGACAAAAATATTAACTAAGACGAGCAAGACGTAGCCCTGGGCAAGCAAGATATGAGAGCTGCTTGACCAAGGGACAAGCTGGAGTTCAAGTTTTTCAAGCCCTATGTAATCTTTGAGCAAGCTTTCTCAGTCCTCTCCGAAATATACATAAATATTCCAGAAAAGCCCCATTTTGTTTAATATTTTGAAAATAACTGTTACCACATGAAAGAACTAAAGGTACTGAAACTAAAATGATTTCATCGGAATGGTCATAGGTCGGGGAGGTACGACACTATTTTGTCTCTTTTTGCCTTTTAGAAATTCGGACGTGGCTAACAACTAGCATTTAAAAACATTAACACACAAAAAAAACCATACTAGGAAGTTAACGCTTTGAACAGCCTCATGAAATTAAACCTAAACAATTTCGTAATAACTGGACACAAAACGATATAAGAAGTTTCTTTAGCTTTGTAAATACTCAGTTCGTTCTCTTCTTCTTGTTAATTACTACTAAAAGACTTAGTGACGTCACTCTTTTGCGTCAGACAAAATCGTTAACTTCACTGAGGATCAATATGTTATGCATAAGGATTAATTTTTGTGTTTCTTCTAGAAAATGTTAACAACACCACAGCTGATCATAACTCATTGAGACTGGACTGTATTTGTGTAATTAGCTCGTCGTCATGACGTCGATATTACTTGTTTTGTTAGTCTGAAATGTCATTCGTCTCTTCATGATGTTTACCGCCGCAGGTGACTTCCAATACCCATAATCCCACTGGAAGTCCTTCCACTAGGAAATTTGGAACATCTCACGACGTTTGACCCATTTCTCACTGCTTTTCCCGCTTCTAGGTTCAGAATCTCACAGTTTTTTGCCCTTTTTGAAGGTTGGCAAGTCTGTCATTGTGGGGATGCATGGCGTAAATAGATGTTATCAAGAAAAAAAAAACCAACTAACTTGGCGCCGCGGAAATATGAAGAAGGGAAAAAATCTCTCGGAGTAGGGACGAAGAACCGAAAACAAACAATCAGCACTTCTTAAGAGTGTTGAAGCCTCAAGAGTCCTACTAGTATCCATTACGACGTCAGATGTAACTCAAACTTTTCGAGTCGGGCGAAATCCTATTGGACCGCAACAGTTGGTGTAACCATTCAAATGAAGCCTCTTTTGCAGTAGTACTTTCTCGTGGTACATTTTTTCTTTTGATAGTTTACAACATGAAATTTGTAATTTCCTGCATTTGAGTTAATTCGTGTTCTCTTGGGAACAATTCCTCCTGCTGCTGTGTTAATTTTTATTCTTTGAGACTGAACTGACTGGTTGTACGGTCACTTTACAGACTTAAAGGCGTTTACGCTCAATGATAACGGAGCCCAGTGTACATGACAGATCTTTCCCTGTGCCCCTGAGTCCAATGATTATAATACAACGCAATAACTTGGTGTTAAAATCGTCCTTGCTTCACGATTGAGTTCTTCATGGTGTTTCGTTGTTGCAAACTGCGACAGATGCATCTGTAGGTCTGGCTTTGTTCACCAGTTTCTACACCAAGTCCGGCCAGCTTTCTTTAATTTCATTATCAACAGAAAACTTTTCGTTTACAGTTGATCTCCAGACCACAAGCGTAAAGCCGCAAGTTATTGTTCCAAAAATTAAAAAGATAAATCCGAAGACGATCAACACAAAAGCTATTTCATCGGCCACGTTCAAGCAAACTTCGGGTCCATGTGTTTCGCCGTAACACATAAAACCGTAACTTAGATATATCGTCGCCTGAGCGATGAAGAGAAAAACGCTTACGACAAGTCCGCATACTCCAAGGTCGACCATTTCCAAACAAACAAAGAGTTAGTACGTGCGCATAAGTTCCTGTTTTCATGCCCTGCAGCCTTTGATTCAGTTACAGAGCGATTATATCTTTTCAATATGCAAGAGTGTCCTTAACTGGACGACCATTCATCGCCTAATGAGCAGTCAACACATTCTATCAAGATATCATTGTGCAAATGTTCCTTGATATTGGAAATACTAAATTAATGCGACAGCACTATTGAGGGAAACAATCATTTAAAACTCGCAGCTGCAAGAAAAATTTGTCGAAATAATTTTTATGGTTTTAAATTTTCCATATTAGAAGATTCCCTGAAGGGAAAATCCACCTGGTGTTTTATTGGCTCACAGGGGTGCGCCGTTGAGCCGTTTGATAACCTTTTTGCTACTAGTAAAAGACAATTTTGTATTTTTATATTTTTCAAGAATCGTTAAGCCTTGTCTTCAACAAGACAATCAGAGTCCATATCGAGGCGGCTGTGTTTGACAAATACAACACGTATTCCCCTCAGTGTAGAGATAAACGCCCATGTTTTTGAAAACGACTTGTCAAGGAAGATGAAAGACTTGAGCTTAATTCCGACCGTGCGTCAAATTTCAAGATCATACAAACATAAATCGTACTATTAAACTGTCGACTTCTCTTGTGAATATTCTTATACTTTGCATCTGTTAGATGAGGTTGTTGCCATGGGGAGGAAAGGAAGTGGCGAAATGAAAAATTATGCTATAAACTCCGCAAGCACGTACGCGGCAATGAGTATAATTATGACCATGAATTTGTGCACGATTATAGACTAAACTGCTTCTTCAGAAATTTAGCCTATTAAAATATATCAAGCTAAGTTCTTTATTTTAGTTTACTAACTGAAACATCTTTCTAAAGTTTTTATATTTTATCAAGTTAATACTGTTGAGGTTTTCGTGACAGAACTACTCTTATGTGTTATTTATTGTGTGTAACAAACTAGTCGAAGGAAATTGGCTACCATGAAATAGATAATTTTGCTTTTAAAAAATTAAGATAATATTATACTTTTTTCTCGCAAGAAAGTGCTTAATAATTCTTTTTGGAACCAACGGCGGGAAAAAATAACGGAGGTAGGCGTTGTTGTACGGAATATTAATTGCTTCAGGGGATAATACAGAAAATAAAATAATCAAAATATATTTGTTGCGTTGCAACACTATTTTTGACGGAGGCTGTGATCGTAAGAGGTCTGGGCGAAAGTAACAAATTAAGAAAGTAAGTAAGTAAGCAGGTACGTAAGTAAAGAAATATACAAATAAATTACAGTCAAAATACTTGAGCGTTTGATTCAAAAATGACTTCTATTTAGTCAAGGGACTTCCTGAGTGGGAGATCCCATGAGATAGCACAGCGCATGCGTTAACGGATTGCATTGTTGGAATCAAAATTTCACTTTCACGAGAAATGGTTCAAAACAACAGCGTGGACGAAAGAGCCGGTCAAAAGGTCTACTATACCCACACAGAGGCGAAAAAAAGAGTAACTAAGCGAAAGCTGAAAGAATATTGAGTGGCAGTAAAACTGAAACCGTTGGTTTATATCAAAATCCTGTAGAGTATAATTATAATTAAAGACTTAAACCTAGTCGCATGACATTTTGTACTTATCAGGATCAAAGAGACATGGTATCTTTTCAGATTTTGTTCATTTATTTTTTACGGGATTATTCTCAGCATAGTTGTTATATACTCCTGTGAATCTATTGAACGTTATTGTCATATACTATTGTAATCTCTTGTGGACTTTTTTTTTTAACCAAAATGGTCTTGAGATAAAATTATTCCACTGATGGTTTTATAGCTAGAGACATTCGATTAAATTGTTCTACTGAGTTCGTTAAGCTAAATTGTAGCTTTGAACTATAGCGTCAGATGTCACCAAATTATCCTACCAATAAGCTGAGCAGAGACAACTTACCATCGTTAGGTCACCTAAATTATTCGAATTACTTTTTCCACTCGTATAGGTAGGTTGGCTTATTACTGTTTGTTTAAGTTGTTCTGCCAGTAGACTGAGCAGTAGTAGCTAACGGTTATTTGATCAAATAATCAGGCTTCTGGTACTCCTTGTAGGCTAAACAATATACTGATCTTGCAGTAGTTCGATCATATTATTCTTATGTTTGGCTTGGCAATGGTCTAACAGTATTATTTCAATCAAATTATTCTCAATTCTCGTAGGTTGAGCTATTGTTTATAAAACTTCCAGGATTCAATTCTCCTACTGGCCGTAGGCTAAGCTACAAAAATGTGCTTATTTTATTCCACAACATTTCTATAACCACTGGTGTGTTAGTTACTATCAAGAAAAAAAGCGGAATGGCTCTAGGTAAGCTCTAGGTGGTATTTAACCACATGAAGCGTTTAAGATACCACGGACTTGTTCAAAACTTCGCCATCAAACCAAATCTTCTGTTTTATCACAACAGGAATTTTCACTTCCTTCCCATCAATTCCGATGAAATTTATCTCGTACTGGCTCGTTGGGTTTTGCAGAGGGTCAACAGTCTTTCCGTCCGGGCCAAACTGAGGTGATCCAGGGACATCCAAGAGCTCAGCATTCACGCCTTGTTTGAGGATCATATCTTTTTCTTGAGATTCACCGAGACCAGAAGGGGCTTCTACAAGACGTACAATCTAGGCGATGAAAAAGAAAAAAGACGACATCGTAAGCAAAAGAGAGTACAAAGGGTCAAAATAGTCTCTCACACAGCTGTTATTTGTCACGTCACGCAACGCTACTCCCCAAATAAGGAGGAGAGCAGCTTGACGTTGAGTGACGGGCATAAAATACATGTTGGCACACCATATAGTCGTGCAATATAAATTACTTGAGCACTTTGTGACTGCGTACATACTGTAAATGCTTATTACGAATAAGCATTTCCTAAAACTCTTTCTTTTCTGTACTTTTTACTCCTCGCTTGTCCTTTTCTGTCCACCTATGTACTTTTCTGTACCTATTCCTATTACAAACTTGGATTGCCTTCATGACAACTGAGAGTCCGGTTGGTGTGTCAAGTCTGCACAATTATCCACGATTGCCAACTGTTTATAACAAAAAAAAACTAGTTAAAGATTTCAATTTAGTCCCGAATAACTTTACCTGTAGGTAATCTGGGTCTTTAGTCGGTGAATGGAACAGGTAAGCATTTCCTACATCGCCGTACAAGAAGTAGGTGGCGAACTCAGGGTACTGGTCATCAGCTTTGTCAAAATGATCATAGCGAGGGACATCAACGACTTTCATCTTTCTTTTAAGCATGAAGGGCTTACTACTATCAGTTGGAAGACCTTCGTAGAAGTCAAACTCCTCTTCCAGCGACCCGGTGTCGTTGTACAAGACATTATGGAGAATTTTCTTCTGGGAACTTCGCAGTACGATCGGTTTGGAGGTGGTGCTTGACTTATCCTCAAATGTGCGCACGTCTTCATCAGAAGTAAAACGGAACCTAGCAACCGCGAAGTACTGACGCTGAAGCTGGTTGAAGTTGCCGACATAGCAGACAAAGATTTCTTTGTTTGCATTCACCCTGTCACCGCTGACAAAGGAGTGGTTGTCCTCTTGGTCCTGAACCTAATTTGGAAAGAAAATTCACGAAGAAAGTAATAAGAGTTATAACTGATACCATGGGTAAGGAAATGTGTTTATCTATCCATGCGCACGAGCTCCGCTTTTAGACTTGGTTAAGTCAATATTAGCCCCAAGACTGTTACTTATTTAAAGCGTAGAACTGACAACTCTCAGGAACGTTTAAGTAAAACCAAAGTGGATGTCATTGTTTTTTTTCCAAGGTGAAAAACCAGTATTCATGTGCCAATGAGAATAAGTATGTGTTAGATAATTTGAAACGACAAATATGCTCCCTAGCCGGTTCATACTTAAGAAGTCATATACCGGTAGAGGTTAACCCCGAAAGAGCAATCATTTTTGTTCATGATATTGTCAAAGTTAAGGAACTGTTTTCATCCATCTTAGGAATATTTTTAGTAATTTACTAATGCTTATTTCTGCCTATAATTTAGCTGCTTCAATTTTCTCGTTAACCTGTCATTTTGCTATGAAAAACTGTTGATAGCAATAGGTGCTTTTTTCCCTTCATAACTCTTTTGATTTTTCGCATGTCACGGTTAGAAAACAATCAGCCAAAGAAGTTAGTCCTGTTGTGTAAAAGTAAACACAGGAACCCCTCCTGTAGTGTGAAAGCAAACACAGGAATCCCATCCTATGCACTTACTGTTCCAATGGCGTTAAGGGTGGCATTTCTCAGTATGGCAGCCATGTCATCCACAAAATCCAGTGAGGTTGACCACGGATCCAAACAGGTTGTTATAATGTATTTCACTCCATCTGTGTTTTTGGGGTCAAGCTTTATTTGATCATCAAAAATAAGAGAGTTGATGATAATAATTAATAATAATTATTATTATTATAGTCATAATAAGTTGAAAAGAATTGACACAAAACTTTGTTTTACTTTTCTGCTTTTAAGCTAGTTAATCGTACTTTCCCCATCTTTATTCCCCTCAGCCGGTCTCGAGTTATTGCTATGGAATAGTAACAAGCCTTTCTCGCACAATCTAGGACGTTGTTGCATATGATGGGGTTTCAAAGTAAACAAGGTGCAACCCAAGTTTAAATTTGCTACAGTAGCCTTTCCGGTGCCCTCGAAGGAGATTTTCATGCTTATGTTAGTAAGAACTGTTAGAATCTTAAAGCCGTATTTGGCATGCGTACCCCAAGCCTTTTCTTGAATGCTTTTAAAGGGTGCTTGTGAGCTTCCATGGTGGATAGAGTCACAATCAAAGGAATCCGCTTGCTTGTTTCTTCAGCTGATATGTGAGACAGGTCGTTAAAAACTGCTTGGTTGACTTCGTTGGCTATTTGAACATCCTTATTACCACGGATATTAACTGCGAAGCAGGGAATCAAAGTGTCAGGGCCAACTCTTCGAAGTATTTTCATCAGCTCATCGTCCTGTTGAGAAGGAAAAACAGTGCGCAACGTAGAATTCAGGAAAGTAACTCGGCCTCAAATAGCAGGGCACCTTGTAACACACTGAATATAACCCCTCCAAATTCGAAACGAAAAAATCCATTTCATAATATGCCCCTTCGACTTGATCATTTGGTAACTACCATCAAGTACAAATTAAACCAAACTGTATCCAACGCCCGGAGACTTAACGCTAACTAGTATGAACTGCAGTATAAAGTGCAGTATGAATTGTAGACAACGGAGGTATCAACTTTAATCAAACTGGGAATTACTGGGAATTGTTTTGTTTCTACGAGTCATCATCTAATTTCAATGTAAGGTACCCTGTCTATTTCCAAGTAATTGTGATTACGAAGATCGCGGCGTAACAGTGAAAATGACTATAACACTTTACATTCGCCAGTTCCTCGTTGGTTTTTCCGATGATGTTGTTCCTTATGTAGTCTTTAGTGACGTCAGCAGGTAGGGGCTTTGTCATCTCAACAACGAAATCTTCATCATCTTCTGCCATGCAAACCAAGTAGCAGTAAAGGACCTTTGCAGTAAACATACATTCAGCTAAAAGGCGGCCATAACCATCCTTGTGAAGACCAATAACCTAAAAGGAGAATGAATACCGACATTTGCTTGTTGTATCTTAATCAGCGGGCAAGTTTAATCAGCAAATGGCTGACATAAATCCTAATCTACTGATGAGAAATCGGAATTTAAAAGTTATCTTAAAACATCCTGAAAACCACATTTCCGAAGCACATCTCCACCTGATGATTCTCCTGGTTTTAGCTACAACCTGTATTTAAGAGGCATGTTCACTTTCGTTTTAAATTTAAGCTTATAAAGCGCATGCGGCGGGTTCAAAATTAAGGTGTCCACTAGGGAAGCAGTCGTGGGTTAATCGGTCAGGAGAAAGCGTTTATAGCGAAATGAAGCTTTAAAGAAGAGAGTAGTGCTCCCAGGAAACCGATTGCTGTGACATTACACTGTGTTGAACAACTGCATCCGAATATGATATGTCCAATTTTTTGTCTTTATCAGTATCCTCTCAAAGAACTGACGTTTCTTCCCTCTTTCTCTCAAAATATAAAATTAACAAAGGAAACGATTACCTTGTTGGCCATATGCACGGCCGAGGCAGCCGAACCAGGCTTTGAACCTTCAATGCCCAGATCCCCAAGGTTATTTTTCCCATGATAATAAACTGTTTCGCTCGTGAAGTTGACAAAATTGTTCAGCTCCTTTTTGCGATAGCATATTGCACCTGCCGGATACGGACAGAATCCCGATTTGTGTGGGTCGCCAGTGATAGTGTCACATTCTTTAATTTTCTTAAAGAAACACATAGACAAATAATTTGTACATGTAATTGTAATAACTATAATTTTAAATCGCATTCTGTACTGTAGATGTATGCAAATTTGTTGGCTTCTCACTAGAGCTTCAAGTATAATTTAAGCGTACTTAGAACCTACTTTGAGTGTGAAGGGGTAAAATGTAGCTACTTCAACGTTATTTGGTGACCATGGAAACGTTCGTAGTTCAAAGAAGCCGAAGTTCGCGGCCAAGTATGGTCTGCACGACACTTGAGAACACACTTGACCATTAAGAAATGGAAGCCATTTGCACTATGTGTACGTTCAGCGGTTCCAAGATTCTCCCTGAATGAAGGGAGAGATTGACAGCTTTTACTTCAAGTAATATACTTTGTCAACAAGTGTGAAGACATGTGTTCTACAGAGCGACTTAAGATTACCAAGTGCACTTGAATCAGATGAGAATTTGAATTTTGATGTTAGGGTTTAAATAAGGGCTAGAAATACCTCCATCTGCTTGATGACAAATTCATTGAGGGAAAGTTCAGGAACAAACCCTTCGTCTTCAACGTTCTGCTTGGATAGGCCTGCTGGTGGGTCCCGTAGCATGCTCGCAAAGTAAGCTCCCCAGGCGGCGTCCGCGTGGATGCTAAAATTGAGCCCCTGATCAAGAAAAGACATGATTGCTATTCATAGGTTGTGTATATCCCCCTTGGGGAGAGCACTCCCTTACTTGGCCTAAACGGGTATGCACCGCCAAGGCGCCAACTAGAGTATGGTTTTTGGGGCCTTAAGTCTAGAATTGCCAAGTCCCTAGGCCTTATTATTCCGTGCAGCCAATGTGTTTCGGGTCACGTGGTCCGAACCTCGGATACGTCACCGAAGTGAATTGCCTAGTCCCTAGGCCTTATTATTCCTGCGGCCAATGCGTTTCGGGTCACGTGGTCCGAGCCTCAGATACGTCACCGAAGTGAATTGACGGAGGAGGCCTGGGAAACGCCGTACAAGGACTAGGCGAAGTCTAGAACAGGGTACACAATTTCACTATTCAGTGTCTTGAACAGGGTGTGAACTTTAGTAGTACTGTCTACATGTCTGGTGTGCTCTGTATTTTACAACTGTAAAAGCTCATTTACTCCACATAAAAGAAAGAGAAAAGTTGATGACGTTTTTAGCGCATATGTTGAAAAAAGACTGTCGTACCTGCTTTTTCAGCTGATCGCGGATATTCAAGATCTCGTCCAATGGATCAACAGCACTCTCTTCCGTTGTTCCCATGATGCTTATCACGCTAATTACAGGAATATGATTCTTCAACTTCTCATTCAGAACATCAAGCAATACTGATAATGAAGAATAACCAGGGTAGTTGTAATGAGTGGATTACTATACGTTTACATAAACACTGCCCCATTAAGCCCCCTGACTAACAACACTCCCTACATACATTTTCTTATTTGTCTTCAAATAAGGCGGTTATGTTTTCAGGAAATCAATCCAACTTATAGTGGCTAGAGACCTAATAAACTAAAACTGACATAATGAACGGAGAGACTACTTTTTTCCCATTTGTCAGGAAACGAAAAAGTAGAGACCTCACAAATGCGGGAACGCGGAGTGCTGGCAGGAGCGTCCGTTCGCAACCAACTAGAGCTTGAAGTTTGTTGTGAAAAAATGTGAGCGTGCCTGATAGGGCGTTTGCGTTTCTTACTTATGATCAAACTTCTTCTCGTACCAAATACTTACGGTCTGTTCTTATTCGAGCATCCTCGTCCACTGGTACATGCACAAGGTTTTCTCTTCCGATCCCCAGAATGGTCATGGCTTTGTCGAAAGACACGTGATAGGTACTTGCTGCCACAACACAAGGATTCTGGGTCAGCCCGTGACGCTTGTTAAATTCAGTGATACCAATACACTCGTAGAGGTGTTTTGTCAAAAGATTGCCGAGCTCGTCTTCGGTAATACCGGCTTTTTTGCTCACATCGGATGGCATCTTCAGAATTGTATCAGTATCCAGATTAAGTAGCTCCCATGTCGTAGCTTTCACAAGACGAACGTCTTTTCCTTTTTGAGGCAGGTATATCTAAAATTCAGTTTAGACTTTATAAACCTATTAACTCAAAATATAAAGTTATTTTCTTTTTTGGGAATGGCTTTTTGAACGACAAATATTAACATGACGTTCCTGCCAAGAGGTTTTACCGTGGCATTCCTTCACACGGAGCCAAAACTGTAGAACTATTCTAGTACGTCTACATAACAAAATTGACACAGACTAGAAATTTTTATGGCTAAATCTTCAACAGTTGATATTTTTTAGCTCCCGCTTCAACCATTTCCAGCGAAACTTGTTTTCACATTCAGTTTTAAAAATATGACGAGATCATCCACCAAACAGTTTGGATTGGCGTTAAAGCTACGTTAACAAAATTGTACCAAGAGAAAAAAGTAAACGTCCGTTAAAAAGCCTGTTAAGGATTTAAAAGTGTTTTACATAGAGGAAATGAAATAAAGGCAAATGATGTAATTTAAAGGTTTTTGGTACCACTGTTTAATGATCTTGGTGGCAGTTTTCTTAAGAAATGGCAAACAATGCGTGCCGGGGTTTCTTGTTCTCTAACATTACCTCGTATTCACGCGCTCCTTTTAACTTGTCCTCTTTTTTCAAAGCCTCTTGAAGCCCCAGTGGGTAAAATTTCAGATTCCTAGCTACCCACATGGCTTCAATGTTTGCAACTGATCCTCCAGTTACCAAATGTCCCATACTTTCATTTCGATCCAGCCCCAGCATCTCACACAAGTCACTACCGGCCTCTAATTCGTACATCGTTGTTACAGGGCTTGCCTCTTGAATACAATTGTTCTGATGCCACAGTATTGAAGCTATGTATCCAAGATTAGCTGGTACATTGGTGTCCCAGACCACGTGTCCCTGCAAGTTAATTTACCCTTACACTTACAAGAATTAATAGATGAGATTAAATCGTGGTCAAATACGCTTTAGGTACTGTTTTAAAAACGAGCAGGAGTGTTTTTCGCCTCGAGTTTTTGAACCTGATAATACGCGGCTGCGAGGTTTTGAGCGGCTTGAAAATCTCTGATATAGATCAACTCATTCTTGCATTAATATTTAGATTTGGGGTTACTTTGGTCTAAAAAATTGGACGTAAAGATTTGCTGTGTCCTTATCAGATCTAAAGACACTCATTAAACATTAATAAACATTAATTTATTTTGTTTTTCTTTATGAATTATTAATGTTTTTTTGAATTATAATTCATTCATTCCTTCATTCATTGATTCCTTCATTGATTCATTTTGCCATTAACCATTAGCTGAACGTTTATAATTGACAAAATACAATAAATTTGAAATATATATAATAAAGAGAATAGACACTATAATTCTATTTTACAAATCTTCGAAATGATAATGGCAAGGAAGCCTGCAGAGAACCTGGAGGCTTATGAGCAATAGGCTTCCATAGAATGTAGGGTACACCATGTGAATTAAGGGTACTGAATGAAAAGGGGATTATTATAGAGTTTAAGGAAATGAATGAAAACCCTTGCTTTATTAAGCTTGGCCAGAATAAACTGCTGTTTCAAACTGGATTCACACTGAGTTTACCAGACCCTTAGCGTTCCCGTGAGAAAACATGGACCTGAAAAAGGTCATGGGTCATGTAAGCTATAAAACGCTTACTTAAAGGCCCGGGGGGGTACTTTAGGAGTTTCTGGGTGGGGATGTGCCGCTGGGACCCTGGAACCCTTAACCTATACCAGAGCTAGTTCAGCTGAATTTTGCTACCCTATACTAGAGTAAACTCCCCAAATCCCCCTATCCTAGAGTAGCTGTTTACCTAGTCTAGACAAAATCTTCAACCAACTGATCAGTTTCTTGAAAAATGATACCCTATTCTAGACCCAAACGCTCTGATTTATACACCCTATCCTAGAGTAAACTGCTTGAAAACCATACCTTTCACAGCGGCACATACCTATATAGCCCATATATGGCAGAACCCCCGGGGCTTAAAGGACGTCAAACAACAAACTATACACAATCCACAAGTCAATCAACCTTGTATCTTGTGCTGAAGAAAGGCACTGACTTGTACATATCTTGTTGTATCTTATCCAATTCCTTTTCCATTTTAAGCTTGGCTTCTTTGAAAGACAGGGCTTCTTCCACTTCTTCTGTCACGTAAGGGGGATCGCAAGGGAAATAACTGTGAAAGAAGTAGAAATTGCTTCTCTAGATCTTACTTTATACATCTTTCTTTTTAACCCATCCACACCTAACCGCCCTTAACCACCTGTGTGGATCCACCGCGTCCGGCTTGTATCGCCTGTTATCATTGTTTCTCTGATACGTGCGAAAGTTCGTGACATTCCATATGCACGTGCTCGTTTGAACCCCTTGATAATTATTATTCATAAATCGTACCTTTCAGTAAAGCGAAATTGTGATTAATTCAAAGACATAAGATGTAACTTATAAGAATGGATTCGTCATGGAAAAGAGTGGAGAGTGAATTACAAGAGTGGATTTGAGAGGTTTCAATGGATCGAACATTCGCGGCTGCAGTACACATGCTACCGGGTACTTATCGCTGAACATTGATCTGACGTTTGTTGTATTATTTTGTTTAGGCGTTCTCGTAGTGATATTTTGTACTTTTACTTTATGTTTCGAAGGCGCTGTTATGCATCTTTGAGAACGGTACTGAACGTAGTGGATCTTGTAGTGGATTGCAGCTAGCGAAACAATCATTGACTTCAACTGTCATAAGCAACGGCTTCGTCCGCAGGAGATCTGGGTACCAGATTAGGCTCGATTATCTTCAAAAGGTGTTTGTCGGCGAAGGGTTAAAAAAATAACTGAAGGTATTGGTGTCGTAAGGCCTGTATTGTTTCGAGCCCGGGGGTTTAAAACGAGGAGGCTCCGCCATGAGCCACCCTTACCCTTTTTACATACCATTTTTGACAGATAAGGTATCCCTCTTGCATACTGTTCTATTGACAAATCGTACTCCTTTCACAAAGCTTGTTTAGAACTTTGCATCCCTTTTAGCTGCTGTAAATGCACTGTCATTTAAATATGAATAAATCACTAAACCAGATCGTTTTCTCTATTTGTGATGCCATAAAATGCGTCTTCTACACTTTGGGTCTTTTTACCGACCAAAATGACAGATTTCCCCCACCTTTTTCAGTATACCTTAACTAGTGACATCCCTACTCTTTTATATACCTGACGCCTGAAAATTTACCCCTTTCGGGCGGAGCCTCCCCGTATAGGCCATTATAGGGAGTACCTCCCCGGGGTTTCTAGTACCCAAAACTGCTCGATCCCCCACCCCTTTCCTGACTTCTCTAAGCTGTAATTGTTAACTTTTCATTTCATTTTTTCAATTTATCCAATCGTTTACATGATGAATGCAAATTCTTACCGAGGAGGGGAGATGATTAGGTGGAAAATAACAGAGGAAAAATAATTATTTTAAGCCAATAATGATTCAATGATCAAACGAAACTGATTTGCATTTGCTGTTTGTTCAGTTGTTTTGATTATTTAAATTACCTTAGCGCCGACACCTCGACTTTGCGGGAAAAAAAATAGGTCAGGTGACTGGTTATTAAAAGAAATATATCTGTTAAAATATGTAAAGTAACATAAAGTGTCACCGATCACGCATCCAAGATACGAAGCAGACTAGCCGCATATGGAACACAAATTGCAAGTTAAAATTTGCATGTCAAAGCCTCAACAGCGTGTACAAAATGCAGCAGCAAGACTTATTCTTGGCATTGGAAAGTTTTCTCACATTACACCGGCGCTTTATGAGCTGCACTGGCTGCCGGTTTCTTTGCGTATTGACTATAAGATTTTACTTTTGACTTTCAAATGCATTTATGGCCTAGCGCCAACTTATCTTAGCGATCTTATTAGTATAAAATCGAATTCATTATATAATCTTAGGTCTACTGGTAAGCTCTTATTGGACCATCCCAAGGGAAAGATGCTTACAACACTGGGAGCAAGATCATTCTCAGCAGCAGCTCCGAAACTCTGGAATGAGCTACCTGTGGAGCTTCGTCAGGCAACATCACTTAACAGTTTTAAATCTCGACTTAAAACCTATCTTTTTAAGAAGTATTTTTATAGTTTGTAACTTAGTTTATTTTATTCTCACGGTAAGGTATTTTCGTTTTCTTTTAAACATATGATTGTAAAGCGCTATTGATCAGCACATGTAAATACGCGCTATATAAATTGGTAAATTATTATTATTATTATTAACCAAAATTGATATTGTGTAGTAACCTTTTCTTGTTAGTAATATTGATTTAATTTCCGTTGGCTACTTCGACGAGACATTCGGACGCTACGATTCGATTTCCTATCGTCAAGCGCAAATAAATTCCAAGTGCGTGAATTCCTGTTAGTACTTCATCTTCAAGCAAAAGTAGTATATTTGCTCATAGGTGCGAATCAGAAACAGCTCAAAGAATTGAAAATAATTTATAAAAAAGTGGAAGTTCAGCCGAGTTGTGAGTTGCGAGTGAGATTTAACTTTCAATACTCATCGCGTATATCTCGTTTGATTTTCATACAAGTTTTGAACGAAAAAGAAACTACGTTCTACCTTTCGTTATTTTTAAGCAAAGTCATGTTCATGCAGAACAATTCTGATAACGAGGGTTTAGAACTCAAACATTTCAAACAATAAAAGTCTCTCTCTTTCTTTAATATTTAAATGATTATGTGGCCAGTAATGAAAGAGAAAAACATCTCAATTACCTTTTGCGGAATTGCAAATGAGCGTTGAAGGCTTTAGTCGCAAGATCTGTGAAGATATTCGCGTTCTCGGCCTTAGGGCCCGTTTCTCGAAAGTCCCGGTAACTTAACGGGCCCGGAATCATATTTTTAAATCAAAGTCTCAAGAAAAGTAGGGTGTGTTCTGACCTCTAATGAAGTCCATTTTGTTTCGTTAGCTAATAACTCTACTGTATAATTTTCAAAACTTTTAAAACTCTCTTCTAAAATGGAAAACAAAACAGCTTAACGGGCCCGGTAATTACCGGGAGCTTCGAGAAACGGGCCCCAGGGCCCCAAAAACCACGCTCTCACAGCAGCATATGGCTTTGCTTCAGCAGTTCGCTTGGAGAAAACACTCCGTCTGTACGTGTACATATGCGCCTTTCCCTTTTGCTTTCTTTCGCCTCCTTTTCTGTCCGTTTTCTTGTATTTGGAAAACATAGTGACTATTGCTAGTAAGGAAAAAATATTAAATACACTGGATGTTAATCGATTTATATTATCTCCGTAGCTACTTTTGTAATGAAAACGTTTTAACACGGCTTGCTCGTTTTTAAGACAAACAGTCTCATATAACAGCGCAATTCTTTTTTGTTTTCTTTCGCCACGTAGCAAGTTAATAGTAATTGCAATTATTAATTGATCGTTAAAAGTGCATTATTTTATGCCCGTTAGTCTGTGTTTTATTCATTCCATGGGCACATTTTCCATACTCTAGTTGAAGCTGCCCTTGGTGTTGCTAAACCTCAGTTATGCATTTTGGATTTCGAAAACTTTCGGCGGCTTTACACGAAAAAACAGGTTCTAACCAGAGGAATACGCTACTGATAAACATTTTAGTCTGAAGTATTACGCACATATGAAGTTAAAATTATCAGAATTATTTTTAATTATATATCTATAACCAGATTGACTTTAAGAGTAACAATTCTCCTTTCTCACAGGTACATGGATTATACGCTTCTGTTTGCGACTCCCACAATCTAGTTCTCATTAAACGTAAAACGACGGAGCCATACGTTTTGGTAATCATTCCTGCGACTTCAATTCTGTTAACTTACAACTTCGATTCTGCTGATCAGATTTTTGACTCCGAATTTTTATAAATGGAATGTTACTCAGTACCACTAACATTCGACACACCCACCGTGAAATTTCCTACCTCTTTGTAGCCTGCAACTGTATGTGTTAACACCACAAGATGCACAAACAACTGAAGATCTTTTGCATAAGACAAACCGCTTTTAACCTTTAGATTGACAAAGTCTGGTCTCAGGGAAATACCTTGGATATGTTGAAACGGGGTCCTGAATACGTTTTTAAGGGTCCGGAAGGATATATCCCGCTGGAAATTTTAGTTCCCGGTGATACGGTTCCAGTATTCTTATAAGAGGCTAATCAAAGTGTTATTTTAGTAGCTGGTGAAATTCAACCTTTTGTTTTCGTTGCGTGCTTCATTTGGTATTGTACGGGTTTTTTTTTGTGACTGTAATCTTTGGAAGCTCAGCTAAGAGGTCTCACTTGAACCACCTGGAAACTATATAGAACCGTCCCCGCCCAGTGGCAGTATAATCAGACTTACAGACGACTTCAGTGAAATGTTAAACAAAGAAAACCAATTAAAAGCACATTTCAATTTTAATAGGTCAAAGTTCAGACAGTAAATGGTGAATAGGACGTCTACTTGGCAAACACTTTTTCAGACAGTCACGTTTCCTTTGAATTCATTAATCTGGACGTCTGAAACTATGAATGCAGCTTGTAAATATAGTTCTATTCTAACTTATTCTCATGCCCATCATTGAATCTGCAACAAAATAACTGAACCTCAGTCACAGGAGAGTATATAAAGGATGGGTGTGGGGACAAACGACTGATTATATTAAAAGTAATTTGGTTAAAATTGACCTGTTTCGTTTTAGTTAATTCAAGGCCCGGGGGGGTACTTTAGGAATTTCTGGGTGGGGATGTGCCGCCGGGAGCATGGAACCCTTAACCTTTACCAGAGCTAGTTCAGCTGAATTTTGCTACCCTATACTAGAGTAAACTCCCCAAATCCCCCTATCCTAGAGTAGCTGTAAACCTAGTCTAGATAAAATCTTCAACCAACTGATCAGTTTCCTGAAAAATGATACCCTATTCTTAAGCCAAACGCTCTGATTTATATACCCTATCCTAGAGTAAACTGCTTGAAAACCATACCCTTCACAGCGGCACATACCTATATAGCCCATATATGGCAGTACCCCCCCCCCCCGGGATTCAAGGTTCACTACGTACGACTGACGTGTAGACGATTCATCAATCATCCATCTTGTGAACAAATAAAACCTTTTTCAAGCAATGTCAGCTTAAAGCAATTAAATTTTAGAACACGCAAGTGAAGGATAAAATGTCTAAGTTGAAGATCTAAGCCGGCGGAACTTGTGAAAGAAACAATCCGATTTATTCTTTCACGAATGACATCGTGGCACGTTTTCTGACATTCCTTTAACATTAAAAATTATATTTGCATTTCCCGGGAAACTTAAATTAAAGGCTCATTAGTCATGCTCCTTGAGAGGTGCCAATTCTGATTAGTTAGCGGTAGTAATAAACAATCTTTTTCTTTCCTTTTTTTGGTCAAAGAAAAGCTATTAAAGGGCCTTCTTTGTTTGCTTTCCACTCCATTAACAAATTTTATTAAACATTATTTTAAGCTGCAAGGATGGATAAACTGCCTTTTTAGCTGTCACATGTGAGGCTTTGACCTGCTCAAGAATCAGTAGTGAGCCGCCCGTTGACGTCACATGATTTTATTACATTTGAGACCTAGAATTCTATTCTCAGTACCGGAAATAAAGCAAGAATATTTTCATATCAATAGATACCCCACAATTCCTATCGTTGTATATATTACCACCATTCTTTTTGTTGTGTGCATTTGTCTAATAACATCTCAGAGGGCGGTCAGCGACCCACCCTCCCTCCCCCCCAGGCATGACACGGTGCACTGCCTTCAAAGCATGTGAATGTACAACTGTCCACCCCTGTGAACAGTGACCATTTTCACCTCTCCATATCTCAATGGAGATTCATGTGTATAGTTGGTAGTGAGAACATGTTACTGTCATAAACCGATCGAAGCACATTAGCAGAGGTAGAGGCAGTTGCGGCACTCACCTCTCTCGGTGTCAGAAGTTGCAATTATTCTCAGCTGAGTGATTTTAATATTTCAAATCATTACCACATTAAGAATACGGGTAAGTGAAGCAGGAAAAACAAGTTACCGCGCGCGTGCGACAACTTGAAACGGCAATTCATCGTGGGTTAAATCAACTGCACTTCTAGCTCAGTCGTTAATGAAACCACGATAAGGTATGGTATTAGCAATCTATGCATGTGGCCAGGAGTGCTCGACGACCAATTTTTCGAAAAAGGTTTATTTTCTGAACAACAAAGTGACATCTCCAAAGCGTTTTTATCTATTCATGGTTAGTAGAAGAGACTGGTTATGGAAACCGGCAAACATCAAAGTTGAAAACAACGGTGCTGTAGTTTATGCTGTACCGTATTTATTCGAATAAGCGCCCAACCTCGAATTAGCGCCCACCTCGAATAAGCGCCCATCCTAAAGGTGGAAAAAGTTAATAAGCGCCCAGCCTCGAATAAGCGCCCACCCCCTCCCCTTCTCAATCAAACTCAAATAAGCGTTCAGCCCCATCTCACCCACTAGGGTGAATAAATTCTAATGAGAGACTTCTCAGAGGACAGAGTTTTCTTCAGAGTATTTTACAGAAACCTTGCTTTGTTATTACTCGCGTTTTGTCATTAGTATTTATTGTTTTGTTGCAAAATAAACATACTTCACTTTCTGAAAATGGTGAAAATTTAATATGCGCCCAGCCTCGAATAAGCTCCCACCTCGAATAAGCGCCCACTCTCAAGGTCCAAAAATTTAATAAGCGCCCAGGGCGGTTAATCGAATAAATACGGTAGTTACATGTTCATAATAATTTTGTACAAAGATTTTTGTAAATAGAGATATCCTGAAGAGATATAATAAAGTTGTCTTATCTGTTGGAAGCTCACTGACCGTCCACAATCCTTTGATTTTTGTCCACAAAATAATTGTGACCGAATAAATTAATGCGATGTTTCTATTGGTCAGTGAGTTCAAAATGATAGGGATTCCATTGAACGTTGTGTACGGTCATGTCCCCAAAAAGCTAACAAAAACATATAACAAAGGAGTCTAAGAGGTTTCATAACCGTTAGACTCGTTAGCAGTTTTTTTTCAAAAGTAGAAATACTTCGGGCGAACCAATTGAGGTATACTGTCAGGGTCTTGATATCTCTGTAATTTTCAAAGCAGAAATAAAAGTTTATTTGGTTGGGGACAAAAGAGAACACATATGATCAGTCAGTTTCACTTCTGCATTTATTGAATTTTGGATTTCATGTAATTGCACTTCACCATTACTTCATCTATTAAGCAAATTCCTTATTCCAGATTTAAAAAAGCCGGTATCTGCGAATGGAACTTTAGGCCACGTGATAGTAAAGCCTCCTTTCCATGTGCTTCTGATGAGCAGTGAAGAAGGTGATGAAAAACTCGCCCCAGCCTCCTGTACGCACACGGATCAGATCGTACTTCTCAGGATTTTTCTGAGCATTGGAGAAGGTCTCGGGGTCGGAACAGGTAACTGCAGTAAAAATGTAACACATCAGAAAGATGACAGTGGTTTACCCTTACGTGTTTGGTTATGAAATAATTATTAAGGAGTTTAGCAACGACGTTTTTGAAATTTGTTAGGGTCAAGGCATATTAAAAGGGAAAACGCCTCACTTCCAGAGGACGTTCGTCGCTAAAAAACGTCTTGGCTTCAACTCCCTGTTAACCACGAGAGAGAGTGTTTCGTGGCTTATCAACCACGGAGACAAGAAGTGACGATATGACGGATAGCGAAGAATTTTTGTCAGGCTTCAAACCAAGTCATTTCAGAACATTGCTTTATTTGAAGTGTTATTTTCCATTGTGTACTTTATAAGCAACCTACTTGTTATGATATTTCCCCCGATGCCGTTTCCGTCAGCATAATTCTTCAAGAAGGTGACCAAATCGCCCTCCTTGAATTTCTCATCGATCTTCAGACCTATCTCGGCCCCATTAGCAAAACCAACCTTGATAGAAGGCAAATCCCAGCACTTCATCGACCTAGATTGGGAAAAAGAGAGAAAGAAAACGCATATCCGGCTGGGATCATGTACAACGTTTTTCCGATAATAATTCACAGCACGAGATTAGCAGCATTTTTTTCACCCCTCACCACATGAAAGTAATTCTGTATAGCTTCGATTAAAATAGTCACATGGAATCATCTCAATAGCCAATAAAAGAGCATACGAAACAGTTCCACGTTAAAGTACTGCTGATAAACTTTATATGAATGATGGCACTTAGGGATCTCATTCTCAGACACTAAAGTCAGAGCCAAATCTAAACAAGAACAAACTCTTTTCAGAAAAAAGTTAAAGGTTTTTGCCTCAAATAAACATCCTGGTGCTGGTTGTTTAAAAAGTGGATAGCGTTGTCCACTAGAGAGCGATTTATCCGGTGGAAAGCGCTACCAACTTTTAAACAACCAGTCCCTGATATAGAATGCTTTCTTACTTGTATATTTCCGAGCTTTTGGCGATTGCAGGCTTGTCCAATGGGGTTGGAGCGGCACCAATGTCGGAAGCTACAGGTGAGCCCGAGCGCCGTCCGTCAGCAGATGCACCACACCCTGCTCCCCACCCGACGTATCCTTCAAATGTCCCGGATCCTGTCGGTAGCAGAACGTCAAATGGTGCTCCAGGAACTGAGTATTTCTTTTTCAAGCCGCTGATGAGGTCCTTCAGCGGTTGACCGTCTGGTGCATCCCGGGCCACCTTCTGGGTCACATTTGCAACTTGATCAGCCAACCAACTGGGAAGGTAGAGATGACTTATTATAAGTAATATTAGTATAGGTAATAGCATGATTTGTAGTGATATTTGGCATAAATACCACGAGTGATATTTCGAAATTGTTAGACGTAAGAGACAATTTTGAAAGAGACAATTTTGAAATATCACGAGTGGTATTTATGCCAAATATCACGTACAAATCATGCTATTATTTGTTTATACTACTACCCACAAAAGGTTTGTAATTTTCACATGTAGGTATTTCAAATTAAGCTGAAATATCACTGCTCTAAGCCAATCAAATTGCAGTAATTTCTCATGTAGTAGTATAAAAATAGAAATACGTATCTCGCAAACCCTCTCGAAAACTCGGGGTGTTGCACTGAAGTTAGCCCTGTCGGTCGCTGGTTGGTTGACCATAGGCTTGAGGACTCTTACACTCTTCTCGCTTGTGGTCTTTTTTTTCGTTTTTAGTCCTCACGACAAATGGCTTAACAAATTAAATAACAACGTACTTGCAATCTATTGGAATAGCGTGGTGCTAGCAATCAAGAAACTTTGTAATTTTCTTCGACAGATCAGTTAATTGCTTGAAAAATAAGATGGGTGATGTGCAACCCCACAGCACCAAGGACTGTCATTGCCTCATCCTTACCCCGTCTCGCAAATGACACAGGGAATTTTGTTTGCAGCATATATATCTTCATGTACATCACTAAGGATCCACTCACAATAACATATCGAAAAGGACGTTCAAACGTAGCCATGGCTTTTTAAACGTAGAGACCACCAAAACGTATTGTAAAACACATATTGCCTGACTCAGGCTGCTCACCTGGTGATATTCTGAATGTCCACATTTTCGGCTGCCTCGGCTGTTCCAAATTTCGGCAACAGCAGAGCTCTCTCTCGGACTTCCTTGTAGGTGTCAGATAGCCTTTGGCCACGCGTGTTGCCAGCGAGGTCGTCGTGGAATGGCTCTTGCATGTTGAATCCCCAATCACACTTCAGACAGCGAACCATCTCGGACAAAGAAATGACTGCTGAGTCATGATCAAAACACAGCCTTTTAATTGCGTAGAGTGCGTCTACTGTGTTGGCGAAAGTAATGAACTGCACTCCGATTAAGGCGTAATTAGCACCTCCATTGTAAATGTCGCGCTTTGTTTCCAGGCAGCCACGGATGACAGACGAGAGCAGTGGGCTGGGGCAGAACTCAACAATGTTGCCGTAGTTGATTAGCAGGAGGAAAATGTTGTACTCTGTGCGGACGCGCAGGTGAAGGGCAAACAATTCCTTGAGCTAAGTAAAGAGAAAAGAAATGCAAAGCTACTTGGAAGCGGACGCAACAACTCCCAACTTGTTGGCCCAGCAATGTTGGGAGTTGTTGCGTCTGTTTGCACGTAGCTAAACGTTTGCCCGGTTTCAAACTTCGCGCAACAACTCCCAGCAAAGCGCAACAACATGCAACAGGTTGGGTAAACGGACGCAACATGTAACATCCAACAATATTGCGTCCGTTTGCACGGGGCTTAAGCAAGATATTTGGCATTTGTGAGCGGGAGATCTGTAGCTTGAGTATTTTTTTTTTTTTGGTGAAAGGGTCGCATGACTATACAAGAGACAAAAGGTTAACCCTTTACACCCAGAGTGGATGATCGAGTCTTCTTTTGAGTCTGTGGACAAAATGCTGCAATTTGAACGTTCACATGAATCCTCCTCAGCAGTGCTTACCCGTAGTACATATATGTTTTCAGCATTTAACAAAACGAAAATGAATTTGACTTTGACTTTTGAGAGTGAATATTCACACCTGCTCAAAACTGCTTATTTCCTCTGGAGGTACAGTAGGCAGTGACTGGGGAGCTCCTTCCAGGTAAGCAGGACCAGCTAAGGCGTAAGTGGATCCATGATTGATTGCCATTTCCAGTACCTGCAGCAGAGCTATATAGGCCAATGAGAAGTCAGTCTCGCCTGGAAAAATGGGCTCGTAACAGCCGTCGCAAGCATAATTTCGCGCGCTTTTCGGGCTCACTGGTAAATCCGGGGTACCGGCTTTCTGAAGGCCCTCGATAAGGCTGTCATCGTGAAGAAGCACAGGATGAGCTCCTCCGCTAAGTGCCGTTTTAGCTGCCTCTTTAAGAACCTATTCAAAACAAATGCAGGAGTTGGTTATGAATAGCGATCAATTCCTCCGCAGAGCTCTTTAATTAAAACTTGAAGTCTATGCAAGTGTCACAATACGAAAGTGGTCTGAGAAGCAATTCATTCAGAGCTCGTGAACCCGATTCGAAAACTTTAAGACTGACTCGACGGTTGTTTTTGATTTTGAAACTGAATGCAGATGATATGTTAGTCCTCCCATTTGTGTTCAAGTAAAGAGTATATATATACATCCTTAGATTGCGCAATTGAACATAGGATTATAAAAATACGCTGTATGAAGATGGCTAGGTTCAATTACCTCTGTGGGCATGTTTTTGTGCATTCTCAGAGACAAACATGGAGCAGTGAGTGGAAGTCTTCGTGACGCTTTCAGACACATCAGGGTGATTGCATTACATCCGTCCTCAGGAGCGCTTGCGTCATTAGCTTTGTAACCACCCACGGTGATCTGCAATGAACGAAGTACAATATGAACCCTTTCAGAGTGTTTGACGGAGTTTTGTAAGGTGACTCTAACTTTTGAGTCTGTGGACGAAATCCTATGATGTGACCATTCAAATGAAAGCTCTCTGCCTGTACTTTCACATGGTGCTATTTGTTTTTCAAAATTTTACAGAATGAAATTTGGAAATCTGGTCGAAATTTGCATTTGGCTACATTTGGCAGTGATAGGGTTAAGGAGAAATACTAAGACTTGACTTTTTACGTCCTATCCTTATCAAGGTGTTGGTACTGTATTTTATAGCAACAGCTATTCGTTTTTGTGTGGGGACAAAAAAGGATCGACCTCACAGTCGAACCTAGCTAGGCTACCGTCCAAAATGCTAGGATTTAGAGGTTAAAGTACATGGGGACTCTTCCTGAAATAGGCATTACGATACTTGCACTGTCATGTTGTCACCAAAAGATGTTTGTACACTTTAAGTAGAATAGCGTAGTGCATACAGGGAAAATGAGATCAAACAATGAGTCAAGTCGTCGCCTAGAAGAGACTAAAAACAATAAAAAATAAAATAAAAAATTATAAAACTTTCACACCAAAAATTGTTCGCGGTCATTTGCGAGAGGGTTCCAATAAGGTTTGAGTGGGTGTCGCTTCATGTCGTGTGGTCGCACCATGTAATGTTACATGTAGTGTTCTCACCTGTTGTACCCACTGGTTAATAGTATCCCCATTAGCAAACATCCCTGTACTAGCATAAGGCACGGCTGTCATTCCCCAGGTTCCTAAATCATTCAGCAGCCGTGCGTTGAGGTGCGCATGCTCACAAAGCTTCACGAACAAACAGTCGATTATTTCTTGTGCCTCCTCAGCAGGGGTCCCCTGGAGGAATGGTTCCAACATTTGATCAAGGCGGCCGATTGATGTGGGCTCCCCTGTGAGATGCAGACAGCAGTGAAACGAATACAGCAGTTGAACAGCTTCAACAAACGTCTCAGGGCGGTCAGTTGCGATCTTTTTCATTCTGGCTTCAACCTTAGGAGACAGAAAACAGCCTGGGAGTAAATATGGAAGTTCCGCGCGCGCATTTTACAGTTAGCGTGAGGTTGTTCGTCGTATATCGTTCAGTCTATATACAAGTCTTAATATGCTTTCTAACTATAGTATACATTATCAGAACTTAACATGGGATTCGAAGTAACTTCATAAAGGAAAAACGGTTGTGACACGCAAGGGTGCATAGCTGAAGGTTTGCGGAGAAGGTTGAAACGGTATCGCCCACCCGCTACTATACATCCGCTTATGTTCATGTCGTGATGGTAATGGCAATTCCACGAGATTGTTGCTTGGCATGTAACGGCATGAATCACTAGTTTTATTGATACCTTCTTCAAGTTATCTCTCTGGGCGTCCGACAAGGCGAATTCATTTTTCTGAGCCATGTATCCAGCCAAGAAACCAAAATTTCTAATGTACTTCTGTACTCCATTCAGCGTGTGCATGCACGAGGTAACAAACTCTTGCTGTTCCTTAGTGTCCCCCTTGTTTGCGCTCATTTCTTGTTTCATCTTGGCCAAACCTGAATACATGAGAAAAATTTTATTTAGAATTTGTGATTTAATGGTGCCATAATTTAGTTCTTACCGAGGCTAAATCAGTCACTATAAACATTTAAATCTTGCGGATCATTCGAAGCAATGCATGACAAATTAAAGTTTCTTTCTAAATCAACGAAATATGGAAAACCGTTTATTCTCTAAATCCCCAAGGATTTTAAAATCTCTTTACTGTTGTGAATTTACTGATGAAGTTAGCTGACAAAACCACATTTTTGAGCTCCGCAACAGTAGCCCGAGAACGCACGAAAGTAAAGTCAAAGTCACACCTTTTTGCAAAAGCGTCTCATAATCAGGTATCACGTGACCCATTCCTGCTGCCTCGCTGAGTCCCTTGAAGAAAGCAGGCATCTTCTCGTCTTCATGTAAATAAGGCATGACAGCTTTACCAAGTCCCAGCGAGAAACAAGGAGGCATTCTGCCCACGATAATCTCATCAGGGTGAATGCTAAAGGAATCAGCTTTGCGGCCAAAGAAAGCTGGATTTTCCAACTTAGAGATTTTGTTTGTCGTAAGTAGCCTTCCCAATGACACCTAAGACATCAACAATTACAATTTCAGTCACTTCTCACCTATAGTGGCCTAAACTGGGACGCTCTGCCCTAAAGTAATGCCTTTTTCAGCTACTTTAGGTAACTGAAAGGGTAAGGATTTCACGATTTTTAATGTTCATGAAGGAGAAGGCAACTCTGTCATTTAGGTATTTAAAGGAGTCTTTGATTAAAATATTTCGGACGCTACTCATCTTTTTTTACCTTGATTTTTAAAGGTTTAAGAAAAAATGATGCTCTGTTGGTAATTAGGTGTTTAAAAAGGGCACCATTTTTTAACGGATGGTTTCCCTATTCCCTGAAAAATGGTATTATTACTAATGGGTGACGGGTTTAACATAGGGGCGAAGCCTACCAGAATAAAACTTTGCAAAATACCTACTTTCCCTTAAGAGGCTTTACAACAGTTGCAAACTGTTTTAAAACCGAAGTAAAGTGAAGGGAATTGAGCTCTTTCGCCGTGAGCTTTGTTTACTATGGGGCGTTTCCAGCACACCCCCCCTCCCCCTCCCCCTCCCACCTCAATAGCCCATGGTGCAGTTCGACACAACACCTTGACCGACCCAGTGTAGCTCAGTGTCACACGATGTTGTAAAATGCCTAAGATGTACCTTGATGGCCCAGCCTTTTCGGATCATGATAGAAGCTCCTTGGGCAACGTCCTTCTTTTTTGGTGAAATCCTTTCCAAAAGGTGGGGATACTTGGGGAATTCACGGCGCTTGAACCACTGATCATTCCATTGCAGAAAGGCATAGTCTAACAATCGCAATACTCGGTCACTAGGGGGGTCCCCTGGGTTGTATCCGCCAGTAGTCATACGGTAGAGGTACTCCCTTTGATTGTAGAACAGATAGTCATTGGTCGGGCTTCGTACATTCCAAAAATCCAGCAGCTCGAACCTGGAAAATATCAATTTAACATAATTCTAAACGGCAGCTAACAACAGAGGAAATAATTAGCAGATTATTTAGTTTTAGTTTAGCTGTTTATTTAGTCCTGTTGTTATTTTTTCTTCCACCGAGTAGCCCGCTCTTCAGCAAGGCGTTTTTTTCACTTCTACTTTGAAAAGATCTACCAAAATCACCCACCATGTCAAAGTGCTTGGCAAAAAATTAAAGTAGCGCATTTGTATTTTAACCCCGTCATGAAAACAGAAATGATTAAATCTGGACAGACTTTTCGGGACCTCGTGGTGGAACTTGCTCTGTGAGTTATCCAGGCTTCTTGGCGACGTTTGTAAACAAATTAATAAATGAATCTAAAAAACTCTTACCTCCTTTCCTTCAGAGTTGGTAACTTTAGCTCCTCGGCACTTGGCACATACCAGAAAGTTCCTTGAAGAGGCTGCACAGCACTGATCAACTTATCAACAGTAACTTCACCCAACTTGGATTCCTTGTCGTTACCAGCGATGTTCTTAAGAATTGTTTTAAATGTCTCGACGCTGTTGCACATGTGCAAATACATCAGCCCCTCTTCTTTAGAAGGTTCGTTTTCCACGTGACCGTACGGCATAGAAACGCGAAATACGCGCGGATGGCGCGTAAGCACGTTCACTGGTGGAACATCTTGCACCACATGCACACACGTGATGTGCGCGCGCTTGTCTGTGTGCGGAATGAACGTATCAGTTCCCGATTTCCTTCCGATCATGTCTTCTTTCTGGATCTGAAAGAGTTAATCAGCATAATTAATGTCACGCTTAAGAAAGGTTTTTTTGCAAAGTTCTATTGCATCTGTCGCCTATTAATGCGGTGATCTTCCATAATCTGTTATCTTTGAATAGTTTATTCCACAATTAAATTTTACGCCCGAAATATTAATATTAAGAGAAGGTTTTCCATAAGTTTTGTTATCAAGCCTTAGTAAAGGATGTCCGATCGTATTAAATTATATGTGAGTTTGCAATCAGCTTGTACCAACATAGCGCTCACGGTAGATTCTTGACTCTTAACGGTACTTTAATCAATCAAATTGTGTCCGTACCTTGTCCATTTGTCCCAGCACTGTCCAGTTGAATTCAAACTTCTGTGAAAGAAGATAAGTTGAGCCAGGGTAGCCGGCTACTGCACCTTCGTTCTTTACTATGTAGCTCTTGATGCTCTCAGCATCACAGGGATTCGCCACACCGTCAGTAAACGAGTTTTGGAGAATTCTCTAAAAAGGGAAAAGACAAGTCAAACCTATAGTCCTTTTTTGTGGGATTTTACTGAACCAAAATAGGGGTCGTCCAAGTCAATAGTTAAGCCATAGTGACTGCGTCATCCTTCTCAACTTCTGGCTTTGATCCACAGATTGTCTGATTCTAGAGTTGCTCTTCCCCTCCTACCCCTTCCCATCTCACTTCCCTTCTGGGCTAAAAGAATTTTCTACCGACGAAAAAACAGATTATATTTCTTTGATTCCTTGAGCTGTTTTCTAGATTCCAAAGCCCACGATTCCAGATTTCAAAAGCAAAAACAGTTCCCATATTCCTGAATCTTGATACACTTACATAGTGCGAACACATTTTCGTGCTTTAACTGCACTTTACCTTGCTTGGAGGTTGTGATTTTGTTACGTCAAAATTGTCGCCACAAAATTCTTTCATCCTGTTCTTGAGGTAGTCAAGCACCTTCTCCAGCTCGCCTTGCACATCTGATTTGAGGAGAAAGTACACATCGCCACCGGTATCCAAAAATTTCTGCGAATCTTTAACAAGACGTCTTCCTGGATCTCTTAATTCTAAATTTGCCAGCTGAGGGTCATCTTTGTACCACTTACTCCACTGGTTTGGGTCAAATCCAACAATTGCTCTTGTGCGGGACTCTAAAAATTATTGAGAGACAAACCGTTAGATGTATAACATTGATCTTGACTTATTGGTTCTTAGATAAACAAACGCGTTGTTTCGAAGTAATTGAATCGAACAGGTGTCCAGAAGTTCAGAAAGAGGAGCCGCATGCAGTTGTAATCAGGGGTGATGGGCAAAACCCCTCTAGAAAATAATCATTAGGCTGCGAGCGAGCTGTCCACTTGGGGAAGTCGCCAGAAGTCACGCGAGAGCAGTATACGAAAAGAGACGCGACGAGACGCGAGTGCGAGGGGCGAGGCTTCGTCGCTTACGCGCGCATTCTCTCGCGCTCGCTTCGCTTAACATAAATGGAGAGCTTGCTAGGAGGCTTAATAATGATACTCCCTACGCCTCAGCCCTTATTTTATCGGGACCGCCTTTTCTAAAGTCGGTCGTCACTGCTCTTATTTTATCTATTTTTAAGCAGAGAAATCTTTTACTTTCTGTAAATATTTCGTCCTTACCGCTTCCACTGCTCTCCTCCAGCTTTAGCGCGTATTTGATCACATCACAGGCTGCAGTCACAATGCCACTATGCTCCCGATCCACATCCAACCCTTTCTTGTAACGCGCGAGCACAAAAATGCCAAATTTGGGTTTTCCGAAGAATAAGCCTCGCTGAGCCTTGTGCAGGACTTCATCCTCTTTGAATTCGTTCTAAAAAAGCATAAACGTGAATAATAACTTCTCCTGTCTTCTATGATTTCGTTCCAAACAGAACAAAAACGGAAGCCCATAACCCGGAGCGAGCAACTCCCATACTAGGCCTATGTCACGGCGTTTTTACGGACCGGTTTAGGTTTAGACACATTTTATACTTGAGGCCCTCTCAATCAACATTTCGTCTTCAACGGGAAAAAAGAAAATGCTAGAGGCACTATCTTCAACAATTTCATTTTAAATAGAGCAGATACTCTGAATGTCTTAAATCGAGAAAAAAACCGTGGTCTTCTTAATTCTTCCCAATGTTAAATAATTTAACTTATTGTTTAATTAAGAGATTGGGAGTGGTGACATTCAAAAGACCAGAGTAGTCGAGAGGGTAGACATTAAAGAAATGTATGATCAAATACGAATTCCTCAACATGATGTTAGAAGAACTAGCCATCTGTCCCGACTCCTCCCGCCATTCCTGTTGGAACTCTAAGGCACAAGTAAAGTTTGCAAACTATTAGCCTGCGGTGCAGGCGTTTTCTTCGGGCGCGCGAATGTTTTTCTCGCGAAAGCGCATGTTAAAAGGATGGGAGAAAATGGGGCGAGTCAAAAGGAGTGGGGTAGGGGGCGGGAAGAGAGAAGAGAAAGAGTATATTTTTCTCCCCTCTCCCTCCCCTTTTTCCTTCTTTCGCCCTAGCACCTACCCTTAGGGTTACTGTTTTTACTCTCCCTAATCTTCCTTCGGCATAACAAAGATGGCACTTACAACAGTACGAACATAAACAAGCAGCTTTCGCCCGCTCAAAATACGCCTGCACTGCAGGCTAGCAAACTATTAGGTAAGCGAGCCTTAGCTCGATCACCAGCCACTTTTCCGGAAATCTAGGTAAATTTTCCCGAAACATTTTTTTGGGACTGTACATGTAGCTATGACGTGACGTAATTATCACGCCGTCTGTCTCTTATTCATTTTCCTTATATTACCAACCTCTGAAACATCAGATGAAGAACTCATTCTGAAATGATCCCCCGTAGCGTTTTGTTTTGAACAAATTGGCATACCATGATAAGCTGGGTCTGCATATAAATAATTCTCTGCCTACCTGAGAGCTCATCTTTCCCAATTAGTCAGAGTGAGTCCTCTAAAATAATCGGAAAGGATATATTTCAGTTAAGGCAATATATAAAATCTATTCAACGGTATAAGTTAGAATGAAAACATTCTCGCTCTCAAACACAATTAAATGCAAATTCTCCCTTTTTTGCGCAATATTCACGTTGGTCGCGCGTCTATGCAATCTTTTAATAGACATAGCAAAGGTTAAACAAAGCCCGTTGGTACAAAATTCTTCTGACTTAAGTCATGTGTCTTGGTAACAATTTTTCAATAAGCGCGCGGTGAAAAAAATACTTTGAACGAAGAAGTCATCAATGACGGATCAGTCAATTTCAAAGATCACGAAAAATCCACTGACTGCAGCTATATTTAATCCCCGAAACGTACGAACTATAGCTAGGGGAATACAATCTATAATTAAAAGGATTTCTTTCAACCGATCTTGCATTTTCAATTACAGTATTTCTATTTATATTAGAATTATGACACATACCACGGGGTTCTTTTATTGGCATTCAGTTCAATGCAGCGAAAAAAACTTTTATCATAGAACGTTTTGAAAAGAAGACAGTTTAAGCTATGGCTATTTTATAACGGAGAGTTTGAATTCACTTCGTTTATTAACAGCGCAATTCTTTTTTGTTTTCTTTCGCCACGTAGCAAGTTAATAGTAATTGCAATCATTAATTAGTCGTTAAAAGTACATTATATATCTATAACCAGATTTACTTTAAGAGTAACAATTCTCCTTTCTCACAAGTACATGGATTATACGCTTCTGTTTGCGACTGCCACAATCTAGTTCTCGTTAAACGTAAAACGACGGAGCCATACGTTTTGACAATCATTCTTGCGACTTCAATTCTGTTAACTTACAAATTCGATTCTGCCGATCAGATTTTTGACTCCGAATTTTTATAAATGGAATGTTACTCAGTACCACTAACAATTGACACACCCAGCTTGAAATTTCTTACCTCTTTGTAGCCTGTAACTGTAGGTGTTAACACCACAAGATGCACAAACAACTGAAGATCTTTTGCATAAAATAAACCACTTTCAACCTTTAGATTGACATAGTCTGGTCTCAGGGAAATACCTTGGATATGTTGAAACGGGGTGCTGAATAAGTTTTTAAGGGTCGGGAAGGATATATCTTGCTGGAAATTCTAGTTCTCTGTAATACGGTTCCAGTATTCTTATGAGAGGCAAATCAAAGTGTTATTTTAGTGGCTGGTGAAATTTAACCATTTTTTTTTTCGTTGCGCCAGTTGGCAATTGTACGGGGGTTTTGTTGTGACTGTAGTCTTTGGAAGCTCAGCTAAGAGGTCTCAGTTGAACCACCCGGAAACTATATAGAAACGTCCCCGCCCAGTGGCAGTATAATCAGACTTACAGACGACTTCAGTAAAATGTTAAACAAAGAAAACCAATTAAAAGCACATTTCAATTTTAATATGTTAAAGTTCAGACAGTAAATGGTGAATAGGACGTCTAGTTGGCAAACACTTTTTCAGACAGTCACGTTTCCTTTGAATTCATTAATTTGGACGTCTGAAACTATGAATGCAGCTTGTAAATATAGTTCTATTCTAACTTATTCTCATGCCCATCATTGAATCTGCAACAAAATAATTGAACCTCAGTCACAGGAGAGTATATAAAGGATGGGTGTGGGGACAAACGACTGATTATATTAAAAGTAATTTGGTTAAAATTGACCTTTTTCGTTTTAGTTAATTCAAGGTTCAATACGTACGACTGACGTGTAGACGATTCATCAATCATCCATCTTGTGAACAAATAAAACCTTTTTCAAGCAATGTCAGCTTAAAGCAATTAAATTTTAGAACACGCAAGTGAAGGATAAAATGTCTAAGTTGAAGATCTAAGCCGGGGGAACTTGTGAAAGAAGCAATCCTATTTATTCTTTCACGAATGGCATCGTGGCACGTTTTCTGACATTCCTTTAACGTTAAAAATGATATTTGCATTTCCCGGGAAACTTGAATTAAAGGCTCATTAGTCATGCTCCTTGAGAGGTGCCAATTCTGATTAGTTAGCGGTAGTAATAAACAATCTTTTTCTTTCCTTTTTTTGGTCAAAGTAAAGCTATTAAAGGGCCTTCTTTGTTTGCTTTCCACTCAATTAACAAATTTTATTAAACATTATTTTAAGCTGCAAGGATGGATAAACTGCCTTTTTAGCTGTCACGTGTGGGGCTTTGACCTGCTCAGGAATCAGCAGGGAGCCGCGTGTTGACGTCACACGATTTTACTACATTTGAGACCTAGAATTCTGTTTTCAGTACCTGAAATAAAGCAGGAATATTTTCATATCAACAGATATCCCACAATTCCTAGCGTTGTATATATTACCACCATTCTTCTTGTTGTGTGCAATTTGTCTAATAACATCTCAGAGGGCGGTCAGCGACCCACCCTCCCACCCCTCCAGGCATGACACGGTGCACTGCCTTCAAAACATGTGAATGTACCACTGTCCACCCCTGTGAACAGCGACCATTTTCACCTCTCCATATCTCAATGTAGATTCATGTGTATTGTTGGTAGTGAGAATATGTTACTGTCATAAACCGATCGAAGCACATTAGCAGAGCTAGAGGTAGTTGCGGCACTCACCTCTCTCAGTGTCAGAAGTTGCAATTATTCTCAGCTGAGTGATGTTAATATTTCAAATCATTACCACCTTAAGAATACAGGCAACTGAAGCGGGCAAAAGAAGATCGTTTCGCTCCATTACGACGCTCGTGCGACAACGTGAAACGGCAATTCATCGTGGGTCAAATCAACTGCACTTCTAGCTCAGTCTTTAATGAAACCACGATAAGGTATGGTATTAGCAATCTATGCATGTGGCCAGCAGTTCTCGACGACCAATTTTTCGAAAAAGGTTTATTTTCTGAACAACAAAGTGACATCTCCAAAGCGTTTTTATCTATTCATGGTTAGTAGAAGAGACTGGTTATGGAAACCGGCAAACATCAAAGTTGAAAACAACGGTGCTGTAGTTTATGCTGTACCGTATTTATTCGAATAAGAGCCCAACCTCGAATTAGCGCCCACCTCGAATAAGCGCCCATCCTAAAGGTAGAAAAAGTTAATAAGCGCCCAGCCTCGAATAAGCGCCCACCCCCTCCCCTTCTCAATCAAACTCAAATAAGCGTTCACCCCCACCTCACCCACTAGGGTGAATAAATTCTAATGAGAGACTTCTCAGAGGACAGAGTTTTCTTCAGAGTATTTTACAGAAACCTTGCTTTGTTATTACTCGCGTTTTGTCATTACTATTTATTGTTTTGTTGCAAAATAAACATACTTCACTTTCTGAAAATGGTGAAAATTTAATATGCGCCCAGCCTCGAATAAGCGCCCACCTCGAATAAGCGCCCACTCTCAAGGTCCAAAAATTTAATAAGCGCCCAGGGCGGTTAATCGAATAAATACGGTAGTTACATGTTCATAATAATTTTGTACAAAGATTTTTGTAAATAGAGATATCCTGAAGAGATATAATAAAGATGTCTTATCTGTTGGAAGCTCACTGACCGTCCACAATCCTTTGCTGTTTGTTCACAAAATAATTTTGACCGAATAAATTAATGCGATGTTTCTATTGGTCAGTGAGTTCAAAATGATAGGGATTCCATTGAACGTTGTGTACGGTCAGGTCCCAAAAAAGCTAACAAAAACATATAACAAAGGAGTCTAACAGGTTTCATAACCGTTAGACTCGTTAGCAGTTTTTTTTCAAAAGTAGAAATACTTCGGGCGAACCAATTGAGGTATACTGTCAAGGCCTTGATATCTCTGTAATTTTCAAACCAGAAATGTAGTTTTTTGGTTGGGGACAAAACATAACACGTATGATCAGTCAGTTTTCACTACTGCATTTATTGAATTTTGGATTTCATTTAATTGCACTTCACCATTATCCTATCTAGTAAGCAAATTCCTGATTCCAGATTTACAAAAGCCGGTATCTGCGAATGGAACTTTAGGCCACGTGATAGTAAAGCCTCCTTTCCATGTGCTTCTGATGAGCAGTGAAGAAGGTGATGAAAAACTCGCCCCAGCCTCCTGTACGCACACGGATCAGATCGTACTTCTCAGGATTTTTCTGAGCATTGGAGAAGGTCTCGGGGTCGGAACAGGTAACTGCAGTAAAAATGTAACACATTAGAAAGATGACAGTGGTTTACCCTTACGTGTTTGGTTATGAAATAATTATTAAGGAGTTTAGCAACGACGTTTTTGAAATTTGTTAGGGTCAAGGCATATTAAAAGGGAAAACGCCTCACTTCCAGAGGACGTTCGTCGCTAAAAAACGTCTTGGCTTCAACTCCCTGTTAACCACGAGAGAGAGTGTTTCATGGCTTATCAACCACGGAGACAAGAAGTGACGATATGACAGATAGCGAAGAATTTTTGTCAGGCTTCAAATCAAGTCATTTCAGAACATTGCGTTTATTTGAAGTGTTATTTTCCATTGTGTACTTTATAAGCAACCTACTTGTTATGATATTTCCCCCGATGCCGTTTCCGTCAGCATAATTCTTCAAGAAGGTGACCAAATCGCCCTCCTTGAATTTCTCATCGATCTTCAGACCTATCTCGGCCCCATTAGCAAAACCAACCTTGATAGAAGGCAAATCCCAGCACTTCATCGACCTAGATTGGGAAAAAGAGAGAAAGAAAACGCATATCCGGCTGGGATCATGTACAACGTTTTTCCGATAATAATTCACAGCACGAGATTAGCAGCATTTTTTTCACCCCTCACCACATGAAAGTAATTCTGTATAGCTTCGATTACAATAGTCACATGGAATCATCTCAATAGCCAATAAAAGAGCATACGAAACAGTTCCACGTTAAAGTACTGCTGATAAACTTTATATGAATGATGGCACTTAGGGATCTCATTCTCAGACACTAAAGTCAGAGCCAAATCTAAACAAGAACAAACTCTTTTCATAAAAAAGTTAAAGGTTTTTGCCTCAAATAAACATCCTGGTGCTGGTTGTTTAAAAAGTGGATAGGTTGTCCACTAGAGAGCGATTTATCCGGTGGAAACGCTAACCAACCTTTAAACAACCAGTCCCTGATATAGAATGCTTTCTTACTTATATATTTCCGAGCTTTTGGCGGTGGCAGGCTTGTCCAATGGAGTTGGAGCGGCACCAATGTCGGAAGCTACAGGTGAGCCCGAGCGCCGTCCGTCAGCAGATGCACCACACCCTGCTCCCCACCCGACGTATCCTTCAAATGTCCCGGATCCGGTCGGTAGCAGAACGTCAAATGGTGCTCCAGGAACTGAGTATTTCTTTTTCAAGCCGCTGATGAGGTCCTTCAGCGGTTGACCATCTGGTGCATCCCGGGCCACCTTCTGGGTCACATTTGCAACTTGATCAGCCAACCAACTGGGAAGGTAGAGATGACTTATTATAAGTAATATTAAAATAGAAATACGTATCTCGCAAACCTTCTCGAAAACTCGGGGTGTTGCACTGAAGTTAGCCCTGTTGGTCGCTGGTTGGTTGACCATAGGCTTGAGGACTCCTACATTTTTCTCTCTTGTCGTCTTTTTTTTCGTTTTTAGTCCTGTTTACTCCTTAGAATAAGAGGACGTTAAAAAGAAACCACAAGTTTTATTCGGCAAAATAAGCCACTGATTTTACAACAAATGTCTTCACAAATTAAAGAACAACGTACTTGCAATCTATTGGAATAGCGTGGTGCTAGAAATCAAAAAACTTTGTAATATACTTCGATAGATCAGTCAATTGCTTGAAAAATAAGATCGGTGATGTGCAACCCCACAGCACCAAGGACTGTCTTTGTCTCATCCCTACCCCGCCTCGCAAATGACACAAAGAATTTTGTTAGCAGCATATGTATCACTAAGGATCCACCCACAATAACATATCGAAAAGGACTTTCAACGTAGCCACGGCTTTACAAAAGTGGAGACCACCAAAACGTATTGTAAAACACATATTGCCTGACTCCAGGCTGCTCACCTGGTGATATTCTGAATGTCCGCATTCTCGGCTGCCTCGGCGGTTCCAAATTTCGGCAACAGTAGAGCTCTCTCTCGGACTTCCTGGTAGGTGTCAGATAGCCTCTGGCCACGCGTGTTGCCAGCGAGGTCGTCGTGGAATGGCTCTTGCATGTTGAATCCCCAGTCACACTTCAGACAGCGAACCATCTCGGACAAGGAAATGACTGCAGAGTCATGATCAAAACACAGCCTTTTAATTGCGTAGAGTGCGTCCACTGTGTTGGCGAAAGTAATGAACTGTACTCCGATTAAGGCGTAATTAGCACCTCCATTGTAAATGTCGCGCTTTGTTTCCAGGCAGCCACGGATCACAGACGAGAGCAGTGGGCTGGGGCAGAACTCAACAATGTTGCCGTAGTTGATTAGCAGGAGGAAAATGTTGTACTCTGTGCGCACGCGCAGGTGAGGGGCAAACAATTCCTTGAGCTAAGTGAAGAGAAAAGAAATGCAAAGCTACTTGGAAGCGGACGCAACAACTCCCAACTTGTTGGCCCAGCAATGTTGGGAGTTGTTGCGTCCGTTTGCACGTAGCTAAACGTTTGCCCGGTTTCAAACTTCGCGCAACAACATGCAACAGGTTGGGTAAACGGACGCAACATGTAACATCCAACAATATTGCGTTCGTTTGCACGGGGCTTAAGCAAGATATTTGGCATTTGTGAGCGGGAGATCTGTAGCTTGAGTATTTTTTTTTTTTTTTTGGTGAAAGGGTCGCATGACTATACAAGAGACAAAAGGTTAACCCTTTACATCCAGAGTGGATGATCGAGTCTTGTGAGGTGGCTCCAACTTTTGAGTTTGTGGACAAAATACTGGAATTTTGAACGTTTACATGAATCCTCCTCAGCAGTGCTTTCACGGGGTACTATTTATTTAATACATAGTTCTAACGTTCGAGTCTGTGTATGAAATCCGGCAATGTGATCATTCAAATAAAACTTTTTGAATAGTACTTTCACATGGCAATATATGTTTTCAGCATTTAACAAAACGAAAATGACTTTGACTTTGACTTTTGAGAGTGAATATTCACACCTGCTCAAAACTGCTTATTTCCTCTGGAGGTACAGTAGGCAGTGACTGGGGAGCTCCTTCCAGGTAAGTAGGACCAGCTAAGGCGTAAGTGGATCCATGATTGATTGCCATTTCCAGTACCTGCAGCAGAGCTATATAGGCCAATGAGAAGTCAGTCTCGCCTGGAAAAATGGGCTCGTAACAGCCGTCGCAAGCATAATTTCGCGCGCTTTTCAGGCTCACTGGTAAATCCGGGGTACCGGCTTTCTGAAGGCCCTCGATAAGGCTGTCATCGTGAAGAAGCACAGGATGAGCTCCTCCGCTAAGTGCGGTTTTAGCTGCCTCTTTAAGAACCTGTTCAAAACAAATGCAAGAGTTGGTTATGAATAGCGATCAATTCCTCCGCAGAGCTCTTTAATTAAAACTTGAAGTCTATGCAAGTGTCACAATACGAAAGTGGTCTGAGAAGTAATTCATTCAGAGCTCGTGAACCCGATTCGAAAACTTTAAGACTGACTCGACGGTTGTTTTTGATTTTGAAACTGAATGCAGATGATATATGTTAGTCCTCCCATTTGTGTTCAAGTAAAGAGTATATATACATCCTTAGATTGCGCAATTGAACATAGGATTAAAAAATACGCTGTATGAAGATGGCTAGGTTCAATTACCTCTGTGGGCATGTTTTTGTGCATTCTCAGAGACAAACATGGAGCAGTGAGTGGGAGTCTTCGTGACGCTTTCAGACACATCAGGGTGATTGCATTACATCCGTCCTCAGGAACGCTTGCGTCATTAGCTTTGTAACCACCCACGGTGATCTGCAATGAACGAAGTACAATATTAACCCTTTCTGCCAGACTGCCTGATGGAATTTCGTAAGGTGACTAACTTTTGAGAATGTGGAGGAAATCCTATGTGACCATTCAAAAGAGAGCTCTATGCCTGTACTTTCACACGGTGCTATTTGTTTTTCAAAATTGTACGAAATGAAATTTGGAAATCTGGTCGAAATTTGCCTTTGGCTACATTTGGCAGTGAAAGGGTTAAGGAGAAATACTAACATTTGACTTTTTTCGTCCTATCCTTATCAAGGTGTTGGCACTAGTTTATAGCAACAGCATAATTCCAGTTAGTTCAGTATAGTAGTCATACGCCGATGACTGGTTTCGTTTTTGTGTGGGGACCAAAAAGGATCCACCGTACAGTCGAACCTAGCTAGGCTACCGCCCAAAATGCTAGGATTTAGAGGTTAAAGTACATGGGGTCTCTTCCTGAAACAGGCATTACGATACTTGCACTGTCATGTTGTCACCAAAAGATTTTTGTACACTTTAAGTAGAATAGCGTAGTGCATACAGGGAAAATGAGATCAAACAATGAGTCAAGTCGTCGCCTAGAAGAGACTAAAAACAATAAAAAAAAAATCATAAAACTTTCACACCAAAAATTGTTCGCAGTCATTTGCGAGAGGTCCAATAAGGTTTGAGTGGGTGTCGCTTCATGTCGTGTGGTCGCATCATGTAATGTTACATGTAGTGTTCTCACCTGTTGTACCCACTGGTTAATAGTATCCCCATTAGCAAACATCCCTGTACTAGCATAAGGCACGGCTGTCATCCCCCAGGTTCCTAAATCATTCAGCAGCCGTGCGTTGAGGTGCGCATGCTCACAAAGCTTCACGAACAAACAGTCGATTATTTCTTGTGCCTCCTCAGCAGGGGTCCCCTGGAGGAATGGTTCCAACATTTGATCAAGGCGGCCGATTGATGTGGGCTCTCCTGTGAGATGCAGACAGCAGTGAAACGAATACAGCAGTTGAACAGCTTCAACAAACGTCTCAGGGCGGTCAGTTGCGATCTTTTTCATTCTGGCTTCAACCTTAGGAGACAGAAAAGAGCCTGGGAGTAAATATGGAAGTTCCGAGCGTGCATTTTAAATTAGTGTGACGTTGTTCGTAGTTATCGTTCAGCCTACAAGTCTTAATATGCTTTCTAACTATAGTATAGATTATCAGAACTTAACATGGGATTCAAGGTAACTTTATAAAGGAAATAGGGTTGTGATACGCAGGGGTGCATAGCTGAAGGTTTGCGGAGAAGGAGGGTCGATTTACCAACAGTCAGGAGGCCAATAGAACCTCCCTAGGAATTAAAACGGTATCGCCCACCCGCTACTATACATCCCCTCATGTACATGTGTTAGCAATTCCACGAGATTGTTGCTGGTCATGTAACGGCATAAATCACTAGTTTTATTGATACCTTCTTCAAGTTATCTCTCTGGGCGTTCGACAAGGCGAATTCATTTTTCTGAGCCATGTATCCAGCCAAGAAACCAAAGTTTCTAATGTACTTCTGTACTCCATTCAGCGTGTGCATGCACGAGGTAACAAACTCTTGCTGTTCCTTAGTGTCCCCCTTGTTTGCGCTCATTTCTTGTTTCATCTTGGCCAAACCTGAATACAAGAGAAAAATTTTATTTAGAATTTGTGATGGTTTAATCCCATTTAATGGTGCCATAATTTAGTTCTTACCGGAGCTAAATCAGTTACTAAACATTTAAATCTTGCGGATCATTCGAACCAATGCATGACAAATTAAAGTTTCTTTCTAAATCAAGGAAATATGGAAAACCGTTTATTCTCTAAATCCCCAAGGGTTTTAAAATCTCTTTACTGTTGTGAATTCACTAATGAATTTAGCTGACAAAACCACATTTTTGAGCTCCGCAACAGTAGCCCGAGAACTCACGAAAGTAAAGTCAAAGTCACACCTTTTTGCAAAAGCGTCTCATAATCAGGTATCACGTGACCCATTCCTGCTGCCTCGCTTAGTCCTTTGAAGAAAGCAGGCATCTTCTCGTCTTCATGTAAATAAGGCATGACAGCTTTACCAAGTCCCAGCGAGAAACAAGGAGGCATTCTGCCCACGATAATCTCATCAGGGTGAATGCTAAAGGAATCAGCTTTGCGGCCAAAGAAAGCTGGATTTTCCAACTTAGAGATTTTGTTTGTCGTAAGTAGCCTTCCCAATGACACCTAAGACATCAACAATTACAATTTCAGTCACTTCTCACCTATAGTGGCCTAAACTGGGACGCTCTGCCCTAAAGTAATGCCTTTTTCAGCTACTTTAGGTAACTGAAAGGGTAAGGATTTCACGATTTTTAATGTTCATGAAGGAGAAGGCAACTCTGTCATTTAGGTATTTAAAGGAGTCTTTGATTAAAATATTTCGGACGCTACTCATCTTTTTTTAACCTTGATTTTTAAAGGTTTAAGAAAAAAATGATACTCTGTTGGTAATTAGGTGTTTAAAAAGGGTACCATTTTTTAATGGATGGTATACCTTTTCCGTGAAAAATAGTATTATTATTAATGGGTGACGGGTTTAACATAGGGGCGAAGCCTCCCGGAATAAAATTTTGCAAAATACCTACTTTCTCTTAAGAGGCTTTACAACAGTTGCAAACTGTTTTAAAACCGAAGTAAAGTGAAGGGAATTGAGCTCTTTCGCCGTGAGCTTTGTTTACTATAAGGCGTTTCCAGCACACCCCCCTCCCCCTCCCCCTCCCACCTCAATAGCCCATGGTGCAGTTCGACATAACACCTTGACCGAGCCAGTGTAGCTCAGTGTCAAACGATGTCGTAAAATTCCTAAGATGTACCTTGATGGCCCAGCCTTTTCGGATCATGATAGAAGCTCCTTGGACAACGTCCTTCTTTTTTGGTGAAATCCTTTCCAAAAGGTGGGGATACTTGGGGAATTCACGGCGCTTGAACCACTGATCATTCCATTGCAGAAAGGCATAATCTAACAATCGCAATACTCGGTCACTAGGGGGGTCCCCTGGGTTGTATCCGCCAGTAGTCATACGGTAGAGGTACTCCCTTTGATTGTAGAACAGATAGTCATTGGTCGGGCTTCGTACATTCCAAAAGTCCAGCAGCTCGAACCTGGAAAATATCAATTTAACATAATTCTAAACGGCAGCTAACAACAGAGGAAATAATTGGCAGATTAAATATGCAAGCTGTTTATTTAGTTCTGTTGTTGTTTTTTCTTCCACAAAGTAGCCCGCTTTTCAGCATGGCGTTTTTTGTTCTTCCACTTTGAAAAGATCTACTAAATTCACACACCATTTCAAAGTCTTTGGCAAAAAATTAAAGTAACACACTGTATACAGAAATGATTAAATCTGGACTTTTCAGGACCTCGTGGTGGAGCTTGCTCTGTGAGTTATCCAGGCTTCTTGGCGAAGTTTGTAAGCAAATTAATAAATGAAACTAAAAATACTCTTACCTTCTTTCCTTCAGAGTTGGTAACTTTAGCTCCTGGGCACTTGGCACATACCAGAAAGTTCCTTGAAGAGGCTGCACAGCACTGATCAACTTATCAACAGTAACTTCACCCAACTTGGATTCCTTGTCGTTACCAGCGATGTTCTTAAGAATTGTTTTAAATGTCTCGACGCTGTTGCACATGTGCAAATACATCAGCCCCTCTTCCTTAGAAGGTTCGTTTTCCACGTGACCGTACGGCATAGAAACGCGAAATACGCGCGGATGGCGCGTAAGCACGTTCACTGGTGGAACATCTTGCACCACGTGCACACACGTGATGTGGGCGCGCTTGTCTGTGTGCGGAATGAACGTGTCAGTTCCCGATTTCCTTCCGATCATGTCTTCTTTCTGGATCTAAAAGAGTTAATCAGCATATATAATTAATGTAACGCTTAAGAAAGGTTTTTTTGCAAAGTTCCATTGCATCTGTCGCCTATTAATGCGGAGATCTTCCATAATCTGTTATCTTTGAATAGTTTATTCCACAATTAAATTTTACGCCCGAAATATTAATATTAAGAGAAGGTTTTCCATAAGTTTTGTTATCAAGCCTTAGTAAAGGATGTCCGATTGTATTAAATTATATGTGAGTTTGCAATCAAGTGCCAACATAGCGCTCACGGTAGATTCTTGACTCTTAACGGTACTTTAATCAATCAAATTGTGTCCGTACCTTGTCCATTTGTCCCAGCACTGTCCAGTTGAATTCAAACTTCTGTGAAAGAAGATAAGTTGAGCCAGGGTAGCCGGCTACTGCACCTTCGTTCTTTACTATGTAGCTCTTGATGCTCTCAGCATCACAGGGATTCGCCACACCGTCAGTAAACGAGTTTTGGAGAATTCTCTAAAAAGGGAAAAGACAAGTCAAACCGATAGTCCTTTTTTGTGGGATTTTACTGAACCAAAATAGGGGTCGTCCAAGTCAATAGTTAAGCCATAGTGACTGCGTCATCCTTCTCAACTTCTGGCTTTGATCCACAGATTGTCTGATTCTAGAGTTGCTCTTCCCCTCCTACCCCTTCCCATCTCACTTCCCTTCTGGGCTAAAAGAATTTTCTACCGACGAAAAAACAGATTATATTTCTTTGATTCCTTGAGCTGTTTTCTGGATTCCAAAGCCCACGATTCCAGATTTCAAAAGCAAAAACAGTTCCCATATTCCTGAATCTTGATACACTTACATAGTGCGAACACATTTTCGTGCTTTAACTGCACTTTACCTTGCTTGGAGGTTGTGATTTTGTTACGTCAAAATTGTCGCCACAAAATTCTTTCATCCTGTTCTTGAGGTAGTCAAGCACCTTCTCCAGCTCGCCTTGCACATCTGATTTGAGGAGAAAGTACACATCGCCACCGGTATCCAAAAATTTCTGCGAATCTTTAACAAGACGTCTTCCTGGATCTCTTAATTCTAAATTTGCCAGCTGAGGGTCATCTTTGTACCACTTACTCCACTGGTTTGGGTCAAATCCAACAATTGCTCTCGTGCGGGACTCTAAAAATTATTGAGAGACAAACCGTTAGATGTATAACATTGATCTTGACTTATTGGTTCTTAGATAAACAAACGCGTTGTTTCGAAGTAATTGAATCGAACAGGTGTCCAGAAGTTCAGAAAGAGGAGCCGCATGCAGTTGTAATCAGGGGTGATGGGCAAAACCCCTCTAGAAAATAATCATTAGGCTGCGAGCGAGCTGTCCACTTGGGGAAGTCGCCAGAAGTCACGCGAGAGCAGTATACGAAAAGAGACGCGACGAGACGCGAGTGCGAGGGGCGAGGCTTCGTCGCTTACGCGCGCATTCTCTCGCGCTCGCTTCGCTTAACATAAATGGAGAGCTTGCTAGGAGGCTTAATAATGATACTCCCTACGCCTCAGCCCTTATTTTATCGGGACCGCCTTTTCTAAAGTCGGTCGTCACTGCTCTTATTTTATCTATTTTTAAGCAGAGAAATCTTTTACTTTCTGTAAATATTTCCTCCTTACCGCTTCCACTGCTCTCCTCCAGCTTTAGCGCGTATTTGATCACATCACAGGCTGCAGTCACAATGCCACTATGCTCCCGATCCACATCCAACCCTTTCTTGTAACGCGCGAGCACAAAAATGCCAAATTTGGGTTTTCCGAAGAATAAGCCTCGCTGAGCCTTGTGCAGGACTTCATCCTCTTTGAATTCGTTCTAAAAAAGCATAAACGTGAATAATAACTTCTCCTGTCTTCTATGATTTCGTTCCAAACAGAACAAAAACGGAAGCCCATAACCCGGAGCGAGCAACTCCCATACTAGGCCTATGTCACGGCGTTTTTACGGACCGGTTTAGGTTTAGACACATTTTATGCTTGAGGCCCTCTCAATCAACATTTCGTCTTCAACGGGAAAAAAGAAAATGCTAGAGGCACTATCTTCAACAATTTCATTTTAAATAGAGCAGATACTCTGAATGTCTTAAATCGAGAAAAAAACCGTGGTCTTCTCAATTCTTCCCAATGTTAAATAATTTAACTTATTGTTTAATTAAGAGATTGGGAGTGGTGACATTCAAAAGACCAGAGTAGTCGAGAGGGTAGACATTAAAGAAATGTATGATCAAATACGAATTCCTCAACATGATGTTAGAAGAACTAGCCATCTGTCCCGACTCCTCCCGCCATTCCTGTTGGAACTCTAAGGCACAAGTAAAGTTTGCAAACTATTAGCCTGCGGTGCAGGCGTTTTCTTCGGGCGCGCGAATGTTTTTCTCGCGGAAGCGCATGTTAAAAGGATGGGAGAAAATGGGGCGAGTCAAAACGAGTGGGGTAGGGGGCGGGAAGAGAGAAGAGAAAGAGTATATTTTTCTCCCCTCCCCCTCCCCTTTTTCCTTCTTTCGCCCTAGCACCTACCCTTAGGGTTACTGTTTTTACTCTCCCTAATCTTCCTTCGGCATAACAAAGATGGCACTTACAACAGTACGAACATAAACAAGCAGCTTTCGCCCGCTCAAAATACGCCTGCACTGCAGGCTAGCAAACTATTAGGTAAGCGAGCCTTAGCTCGATCACCAGCCACTTTTCCGGAAATCTAGGTAAATTTTCCCGAAACATTTTTTTGGGACTGTACATGTAGCTATGACGTGACGTAATTATCACGCCGTCTGTCTCTTATTCATTTTCCTTACCAACCTCTGAAACATCAGATGAAGAACTCATTCTGAAATGATCCCCCGTAGCGTTTTGTTTTGAACAAATTGGCATACCATGATAAGCTGGGTCTGCATATAAATAATTCTCTGCCTACCTGAGAGCTCATCTTTCCCAATTAGTCAGAGTGAGTCCTCTAAAATAATCGGAAAGGATATATTTCAGTTAAGGCAATATATAAAATCTATTCAACGGTATAAGTTAGAATGAAAACATTCTCGCTCTCAAACACAATTAAATGCAAATTCTCTCTTTTTTGCGCAATATTCACGTTGGTCGCGCGTCTATGCAATCTTTTAATAGACATAGCAAAGGTTAAACAAAGCCCGTTGGTACAAAATTCTTCTGACTTAAGTCATGTGTCTTGGTAACAATTTTTCAATAAGCGCGCGGTGAAAAAAAAACTTTGAACGAAGAAGTCATCAATGACGGATCAGTCAATTTCAAAGATCACGAAAAATTCACTGCCTGCAGCTATATTTAATCCCCGAAACGTACGAACTATAGCTAGGGGAATACAATCTATAATTAAAAGGATTTCTTTCAACCGATCTTGCATTTCAATTACAGTATTTCTATTTATATTAGAATTATGACACATACCACGGGGGTCTTTTATTGGCATTCAGTTCAATGCAGCGAAAAAAACTTTTATCATAGAACGTTTTGAAAAGAAGACAGTTTAAGCTATGGCTATTTTATAACGGAGAGTTTGAATTCACTTCGTTTATTAACAGCGCAATTCTTTTTTGTTTTCTTTCGCCACGTAGCAAGTTAATAGTAATTGCAATCATTAATTAGTCGTTAAAAGTACATTATATATCTATAACCAGATTTACTTTAAGAGTAACAATTCTCCTTTCTCACAAGTACATGGATTATACGCTTCTGTTTGCGACTGCCACAATCTAGTTCTCGTTAAACGTAAAACGACGGAGCCATACGTTTTGACAATCATTCTTGCGACTTCAATTCTGTTAACTTACAAATTCGATTCTGCCGATCAGATTTTTGACTCCGAATTTTTATAAATGGAATGTTACTCAGTACCACTAACAATTGACACACCCAGCTTGAAATTTCTTACCTCTTTGTAGCCTGTAACTGTAGGTGTTAACACCACAAGATGCACAAACAACTGAAGATCTTTTGAATAAAATAAACCACTTTCAACCTTTAGATTGACATAGTCTGGTCTCAGGGAAATACATTGGATATGTTGAAACGGGGTGCTGAATAAGTTTTTAAGGGTCGGGAAGGATATATCTTGCTGGAAATTTTAGTTCTCGGTAATACGGTTCCAGTATTCTTATGAGAGGCAAATCAAAGTGTTATTTTAGTGGCTGGTGAAATTTAACCATTTTTTTTTTTCGTTGCGCCAGTTGGCAATTGTACGGGGGTTTTGTTGTGACTGTAGTCTTTGGAAGCTCAGCTAAGAGGTCTCAGTTGAACCACCCGGAAACTATATAGAACCGTCCCCGCCCAGTGGCAGTATAATCAGACTTACAGACGACTTCAGTGAAATGTTAAACAAAGAAAACCAATTAAAAGCACATTTCAATTTTAATATGTTAAAGTTCAGACAGTAAATGGTGAATAGGACGTCTAGTTGGCAAACACTTTTTCATACAGTCACGTTTCCTTTGAATTCATTAATTTGGACGTCTGAAACCATGAATGCAGCTTGTAAATATAGTTCTATTCTAACTTATTCTCATGCCCATCATTGAATCTGCAACAAAATAATTGAACCTCAGTCACAGGAGAGTATATAAAGGATGGGTGTGGGGACAAACGACTGATTATATTAAAAGTAATTTGGTTAAAATTGACCTTTTTCGTTTTAGTTAATTCAAGGTTCAATACGTACGACTGACGTGTAGACGATTCATCAATCATCCATCTTGTGAACAAATAAAACCTTTTTCAAGCAATGTCAGCTTAAAGCAATTAAATTTTAGAACACGCAAGTGAAGGATAAAATGTCTAAGTTGAAGATCTAAGCCGGGGGAACTTGTGAAAGAAGCAATCCTATTTATTCTTTCACGAATGGCATCGTGGCACGTTTTCTGACATTCCTTTAACGTTAAAAATGATATTTGCATTTCCCGGGAAACTTGAATTAAAGGCTCATTAGTCATGCTCCTTGAGAGGTGCCAATTCTGATTAGTTAGCGGTAGTAATAAACAATCTTTTTCTTTCCTTTTTTTGGTCAAAGTAAAGCTGTTAAAGGGCCTTCTTTGTTTGCTTTCCACTCAATTAACAAATTTTATTAAACATTATTTTAAGCTGCAAGGATGGATAAACTGCCTTTTTAGCTGTCACGTGTGGGGCTTTGACCTGCTCAGGAATCAGCAGGGAGCCGCGTGTTGACGTCACACGATTTTACTACATTTGAGACCTAGAATTCTGTTTTCAGTACCTGAAATAAAGCAGGAATATTTTCATATCAACAGATATCCCACAATTCCTAGCGTTGTATATATTACCACCATTCTTCTTGTTGTGTGCATTTGTCTAATAACATCTCAGAGGGTGGTCAGCGACCCACCCTCCCACCCCTCCAGGCATGGCACCGTGCACTGCCTTCGATGCACGTGAATGTACCGCTGTCCACCCCTGTGAACAGCGACCATTTTCACCTCTTCATATCTCAATGTAGATTCATGTGTATTGTTGGTAGTGAGAATATGTTACTGTCATAAACCGATCGAAGCACATTAGCAGAGGTAGAGGCAGTTGCGGCACTCACCTCTCTCAGTGTCAGAAGTTGCAATTATTCTCAGCTGAGTGATGTTAATATTTCAAATCATTACCACCTTAAGAATACAGGCAACTGAAGCGAGCAAAAGAAGATCGTTTCGCTCCATTACGACGCACGTGCGACAACTTGAAACGGCAATTCATCGTGGATCAAATCAACTGCTCTGCTAGCTCAGTCTTTAATGAAACCACGATAAGGTATGGTATTAGCAATCTATGCATGTGGCCAGCAGTGCTGGACGACCAATTTTTGAAAAAGGTTTATTTTCTGAACAACAAAGTGACATCTCCAAAGCGTTTTTATCTATTCATGGTTTATAGTAGAGGAGACTGGTTATGGAAACCGGCAAACATCAAAGTTGAAAACAACGGTGATGTAGTTTATGCTGTAGTTACATGTTCAGGAATAATTTTGTACAAAGATTTTTGTAAATAGAGATATCCTGAAGAGATATAATAAAGTTGTCTTATCTGTTGAAAGCTCACTGACCGTCCACAATCCTTTCACAAAATAATTGTGACCGAATAAATTAATGCGATGTTTCTATTGGTCAGTGAGTTCAAAATGATAGGGATTCCATTGAACGTTGTGTACGGTCAGGTCCCAAAAAAGCTAACAAAAACATATAACAAAGGAGTCTAACAGGTTTCATAACCGTTAGACTCGTTAGCAATTTTTTTTCTAAAGCAGAAATACTTTGGGCGAACCAGTTGAGGTATACTGTCAAGGTCTTGATATCTCTGTAATTTTCAAAGCAGAAATAAAAGTTTATTTGGTTGGGGACAAAAGAGAACACATATGATCAGTCAGTTTCACTTCTGCATTTATTGAATTTTGGATTTCATGTAATTGCACTTCACCATTACTTCATCTATTAAGCAAATTCCTTATTCCAGATTTAAAAAAGCCGGTATCTGCGAGTGGAACTTTAGGCCACGTGATAGTAAAGCCTCCTTTCCATGTGCTTCTGATGAGCAGTGAAGAAGGTGATGAAAAACTCGCCCCAGCCTCCTGTACGCACACGGATCAGATCGTACTTCTCAGGATTTTTCTGAGCATTGGAGAAGGTCTCGGGGTCGGAACAGGTAACTGCAGTAAAAATGTAACATATTAGAAAGATGACAGTGGTTTACCCTTACGTTTGGTTATGAAATAATTATAAGGGAGTTTTAGAGGGGCTGTGTCGCGGCAGTCCAGTTCATTTTGTTTTATTTTGCCAATTACTTGCCCTCAATCGCTATGAAACTTAAAGCAAGCAAAGAAATTACATGTAAATGACAAAATCAGAGATTCGAGACAAACAAATATGTCTCCTGAGCATTATTTTTAAAGTTGCAAACAGCAGAGATCAACTTTGAAAAACTGTTAGGCTGAACAGTTTTCAAAAACACTAATTTCAATCCGTTTTAATCTTCTTCACTTTTGCCCATCGGTGGAATCTTTTGTATCTGTTGTGTTATTTTAACCTTCCTTTACTGTTTTAAGCGGTTATGTTTATGTTTCTCTTAATTTAACGGGCATTTGTAATACCTAATTTGGCTGAATTTCGTGACACAGCTCCTTTAAGCAAAGAGGTTTTTAAGCGACGCTCGTCATGATCAACCGGAAGTGATTATTTTGCACTCTTTTTCGGACAAATCGTCTCTATGAACGCAAAGACTCTTAGCAATTCAAATTTGTTAGGGTCAAGGCATATTAAAAGGGAAAATGCCTCACTTCCGTTGGACGTGCGTCGCTAAAAAACGTCTTTGCTTCCACTCCCTGTTAACCACGAGAGAGAGTGTTTCATGGCTTATCAACCACGGAGACAAGAAGTGACGATATGACGGATAGCGAAGAATTTTTGTCAGGCTTCAAACCAATTCATTTCAGAACATTGCTTTATTTGAAGTGTTATTTTCCATTGTGTACTTTATAAGCAACCTACTTGTTATGATATTTCCCCCGATGCCGTTTCCGTCAGCATAATTCTTCAAGAAGGTGACCAAATCGCCTTCCCTGAATTTCTCATCGATCTTCAGACCTATCTCGGCCCCATTAGCAAAACCAACCTTGATAGAAGGCAAATCCCAGCACTTCATCGACCTAGATTGGGAAAAAGAGAGAAAGAAAACGTATACCTGGCTGGGATCATGTACAACGTTTTTCCGATAATAAATCACAGCACGAGATTAGCAGCATTTTTTTCACCCTCACCACATGAAAGTTATTCTGTATAGTTTCGATTACAATAGTCACATGGAATCATCTCAATAGCCAATAAAAGAGCATACGAAACAGTTCCACGTTAAAGTACTGCTGATAAACTTTGTATGAATGATGGCACATAGGGATCTCATTCTCAGACACTAAAGTCAGAGCCAAATCTAAACAAGAACAAACTCTTTTCATAAAAAAGTTAAAGGTTTTTGCCTCAAATAAACATCCTGGTGCTGGTTGTTTAAAAAGTGGATAGCGTTGTCCACTAGAGAGCGATTTATCCGGTGGAAAGCTCTACCAACTTTTAAACAACCAGTCCCTGATATAGAATGCTTTCTTACTTATATATTTCCGAGCTTTTGGCGGTGGCAGGCTTGTCCAATGGAGTTGGAGCGGCACCAATGTCGGAAGCTACAGGTGAGCCCGAGCGCCGTCCGTCAGCAGATGCACCGCACCCTGCTCCCCACCCGACGTATCCTTCAAATGTCCCGGATCCTGTCGGTAGCAGAACGTCAAATGGTGCTCCAGGAACTGAGTATTTCTTTTTCAAGCCGCTGATGAGGTCCTTCAGCGGTTGACCGTCTGGTGCATCCCGGCCACCTTCTGGGTCACATTTGCAACTTGATCAGCCAACCAACTGGGAAGGTAGAGATGACTTATTAAGTAATATTAAGTAATATTTTGTAGTGAAATTTGGCATAAATATCTCGCAAACCCAATTTTGAAAGAGACAATTTTGAAATATCACGAGTGGTATTTATGCCAAATATCACGGGTTTATACTACTACCCACAAAAGGTTTGTAATTTTCACATGTAGGTATTTAAATTAAGCCCTGTTGGTCAATGGTTGGTTTTCCATAGGCTATAAAAATAGGACTCCTCGCAAACCCTCTCTCTTTGTAGTCTTTTTTTCGTTTTAGTCCTGTTTACGCTTTGAATGACCAGGACGTTAAAAACTCTTAACCACAAGTTTTATTCTTTTTTAAGTTTTTTTTCCAACAAAATGGCTTCACAAATTAAATAACAACGTACTTGCAATCTATTGGAATAGCGTGGTGCTAGAAATCAAAAACTTTGTAATTTTCTTCGACAGATCAGTTAATTGCTTGAAAAATAAGATGGGTGATGTGCAACCCCACAGCACCAAGGACTGTCATTGTCTCATCCCTACCCCGTCTCGCAAATGACACAAAGAATTTTGTTTGCAGCATATATATCTTCATGTACATCACTAAGGATCCACCCACAATAACATATCGAAAAGGACGTTCAAACGTAGCCATGGCTTTTTAAACATAGAGACCACCAAAACGTATTGTAAAACACATATTGCCTGACTCAGGCTGCTCACCTGGTGATATTCTGAATGTCCACATTTTCGGCTGCCTCGGCTGTTCCAAATTTCGGCAACAGCAGAGCTCTCTCTCGGACTTCCTGGTAGGTGTCAGATAGCCTCTGGCCACGCGTGTTGCCAGCGAGGTCGTCGTGGAATGGCTCTTGCATGTTGAATCCCCAGTCACACTTCAGACAGCGAACCATCTCGGACAAGGAAATGACTGCCGAGTCATGATCAAAACACAGCCTTTTAATTGCGTAGAGTGCGTCCACTGTGTTGGCGAAAGTAATGAACTGCACTCCGATTAAGGCGTAATTAGCACCTCCATTGTAAATGTCGCGCTTTGTTTCCAGGCAGCCACGGATGACAGACGAGAGCAGTGGGCTGGGGCAGAACTCAACAATGTTGCCGTAGTTGATTAGCAGGAGGAAAATGTTGTACTCTGTGCGCACGCGCAGGTGAAGGGCAAACAATTCCTTGAGCTAAGTGAAGAGAAAAGAAATGCAAAGCTACTTGGAAGCGGACGCAACAACTCCCAACTTGTTGGCCCAGCAATGTTGGGAGTTGTTGCGTCCGTTTGCACGTAGCTAAACGTTTGCCCGGTTTCAAACTTCGCGCAACAACATGCAACAGGTTGGGTAAACGGACGCAACATGTAACATCCAACAATATTGCGTTCGTTTGCACGGGGCTTAAGCAAGATATTTGGCATTTGTGAGCGGGAGATCTGTAGCTTGAGTATTTTTTTTTTTTTTTTTTTGGTGAAAGGGTCGCATGACTATACAAGAGACAAAAAGGTTAACCCTTTACACCCAGAGTGGATGATCGAGTCTTCTTTTGAGTTTGTGGACAAAATACTGGAATTTTGAACGTTTACATTCCTCCTCAGCATGAATCCTCCTTCAGTCAGTATGAAATCCGGCAATGTGATCATTCAAATAAAACTTTTTGAATAGTACATATATGTTTTCAGCATTTAACAAAACGAAAATGACTTTGACTTTGACTTTTGAGAGTGAATATTCACACCTGCTCAAAACTGCTTATTTCCTCTGGAGGTACAGTAGGCAGTGACTGGGGAGCTCCTTCCAGGTAAGCAGGACCAGCTAAGGCGTAAGTGGATCCATGATTGATTGCCATTTCCAGTACCTGCAGCAGAGCTATATAGGCCAATGAGAAGTCAGTCTCGCCTGGAAAAATAGGCTCGTAGCAGCCGTCGCAAGCATAGTTTCGCGCGCTTTTCAGGCTCACTGGTAAATCCGGGGTACCGGCTTTCTGAAGGCCCTCGATAAGGCTGTCATCGTGAAGAAGCACAGGATGAGCTCCTCCGCTAAGTGCGGTTTTAGCTGCCTCTTTAAGAACCTATTCAAAACAAATGCAGGAGTTGGTTATTAATAGCGATCAATTCCTCCGCAGAACTCTTTACGTGTCATGCAAGTGTCACAATACGAAAGTGGTCTGAGAAGTAATTCATTCAGAGCTCCTGAACCCGATTGGAAAACTTTAAGACTGACTCGACGGTTGTTTTTGATTTTGAAACTGAATGCAGATGATATGTTAGTCCTCCCATTTGTGTTAAGTAAAGAGTATATATACATCCTTAGATTGCGCAATTGAACATACGATTAAAAAATACGCTGTATGAAGATACCCCCAAGCTGAAGACAATCAATTACCTCTGTGGGCATGTTTTTGTGCATTCTCAGAGACAAACATGGAGCAGTGAGAGGAAGTCTTCGTGACGCTTTCAGACACATCAGGGTGATTGCATTACATCCGTCCTCAGGAGCGCTTGCGTCATTAGCTTTGTAACCACCCACGGTGATCTGCAATGAACGAAGTACAATATGAACCCTTTCAGAGTGTTTGACGGAGTTTTGTAAGGTGACTCTAACTTTTGAGTCTGTGGACGAAATCCTATGATGTGACCACTCAAATGAAACCTCTCTGCCTGTTCTTTCACACGGTGCTATTTGTTTTTCAAAATTTTACAAAATGAAATTCGGAAATCTGGTCGAAATTTGCCTTTGGCTACATTTGGGCAGTGAAAGGGTTAAGGAGAAATACTAAGACTTGACTTTTTACGTCCTATCCTTATCAAGGTGTTGGCACTGTATTTTATAGCAACAACTATTCCAGTTAGCTCAGTATAGTAGTCATACGCCGATGATCGACCTTTCGTTTTTCGAACCTATCCACTGTAGGCTACCGAACCGAAAATGCTAGGATTTAGAGGTTAAAGTACATGGGGTCTCTTCCTGAAACAGGCATTACGATAATTGCACTGTCATGTTGTCACCAAAAGATTTTTGTACACTTTAAGTAGAATAGCGTAGTGCATACAGGGAAAATGAGATCAAACAATCAGTCAAGTCGTCGCCTAGAAGAGACTAAAAACAGTAAAAAAAAATTATAAAACTTTCACACCAAAAATTGTTCGCGGTCATTTGGGAGAGGTTCCAATAAGGTTTGAGTGGGTGTCGTTTCATGTCGTGTGGTCGCATCATGTAATGTTATATGTAGTGTTCTCACCTGTTGTACCCACTGGTTAATAGTATCCCCATTAGCAAACATGCCTGTACTAGCATAAGGCACGGCTGTCATCCCCCAGGTTCCTAAATCATTCAGCAGCCGTGCGTTGAGGTGCGCATGCTCACAAAGCTTCACGAACAAACAGTCGATTATTTCTTGTGCCTCCTCAGCAGGGGTCCCCTGGAGGAATGGTTCCAACATTTGATCAAGGCGGCCGATTGATGTGGGCTCTCCTGTGAGATGCAGACAGCAGTGAAACGAATACAGCAGTTGAACAGCTTCAACAAACGTCTCAGGGCGGTCAGTTGCGATCTTTTTCATTCTGGCTTCAACCTTAGGAGACAGAAAACAGCCTGGGAGTAAATATGGAAGTTCCGAGCGTGCTTTTTAAATTAGTGTGACGTTGTTCGTAGTTATCGTTCAGCCTACAAGTCTTAATATGCTTTCTAACTATAGTATAGATTATCAGAACTTAACATGGGATTCAAGGTAACTTTATAAAGGAAATAGGGTTGTGATACGCAGGGGTGCATAGCTGAAGGTTTGCGGAGAAGGAGGGTCGATTTATCAGTCAGGAGTCCAATAAAACCTCCCTAGGAATTAAAACGGTATCGCCCACCAGCTACTATACATCCCCTCATGTACATGTGTTAGCAATTCCACGAGATTGTTGCTAGTCATGTAACGGCATAAATCACCAGTTTTACTGATACCTTCTTCAAGTTATCTCTCTGGGCGTTCGACAAGGCGAATTCATTTTTCTGAGCCATGTATCCAGCCAAGAAACCAAAGTTTCTAATGTACTTCTGTACTCCATTCAGCGTGTGCATGCACGAGGTAACAAACTCTTGCTGTTCCTTAGTGTCCCCCTTGTTTGCGCTCATTTCTTGTTTCATCTTGGCCAAACCTGAATACATGAGAAAAAATTTATTTAGAATTTGTGATGGTTTAATCCCATTTAATGGTGCCATAATTTAGTTCTTACCGAGGCTAAATCAGTTACTAAACATTTAAATCTTGCGGATCATTCGAACCAATGCATGACAAATTAAAGTTTCTTTCTAAATCAACGAAATATGGAAAACCGTTTATTCTCTAAATCCCCAAGGATTTTAAAATCCCTTTACTGTTGTGAATTTACTAATGAATTTAGCTGACAAAACCACATTTTTGAGCTCCGCAACAGTAGCCCGAGAACGCACGAAAGTAAAGTCAAAGTCACACCTTTTTGCAAAAGCGTCTCATAATCAGGTATCACGTGACCCATTCCTGCTGCCTCGCTGAGTCCCTTGAAGAAAGCAGGCATCTTCTCGTCTTCATGTAAATAAGGCATGACAGCTTTACCAAGTCCCAGCGAGAAACAAGGAGGCATTCTGCCCACGATAATCTCATCAGGGTGAATGCTAAAGGAATCAGCTTTGCGGCCAAAGAAAGCTGGATTTTCCAACTTAGAGATTTTGTTTGTCGTAAGTAGCCTTCCCAGTGACACCTAAGACATCAACAATTACAATCAGTCACTTCTCACCTATAATGGCCTAAACTGGGACACTCTGCCCCAAAGTAATGCCTTTTACAGCTACTTTAGGTAACTGAAAGGGTAAGGATTTCACGATTTTGAATGTTCATGAAGGAGAAGGCAACTCTGTCATTTAGGTATTTAAAGGAGTCTTTGATTAAAATATTTCGGACGCTCCTTATCTTTTTTTACCTTGATTTTTAAAGGTTTAAGAAAAAAATGATGCTCTGTTGGTAATTAGGTGTTTGAAAAGGGTACCATTTTTTAATGGGTGGTATACCTTTTCCGTGAAAAATGGTATTATTATTAATGGGTGACGGGTTTAACATAGGGGCGAAGCCTCCCAGGATAATTCCCAGAATAAAGCTTTGCAAAATACCTACTTTCCCTTAAGAGTCTTTACAACAGTTGCAAACTGTTTTAAAACCGAAGTAAAGTGAAGGGAATTGAGCTCTTTCGCCGTGAGCTTTGTTTACTATGGGGCGTTTCCAGCACACCCCCCTCCCCCTCCCCCTCCCCCTCCCACCTCAATAGCCCATGGTGCAGTTCGACATAACACCTTGACCGACCCAGTGTAGCTCAGTGTCAAACGATGTTGTAAAGTTCCCAAGATGTACCTTGATGGCCCAGCCTTTTCGGATCATGATAGAAGATCCTTGGACAACGTCCTTCTTTTTTGGTGAAATCCTTTCCAAAAGATGGGGATACTTGGGGAATTCACGGCGCTTGAACCACTGATCATTCCATTGCAGAAAGGCATAGTCTAACAATCGCAATACTCGGTCACTAGGGGGGTCCCCTGGATTGTATCCGCCAGTAGTCATGCGGTAGAGGTACTCCCTCTGATTGTAGAACAGATAGTCATTGGTCGGGCTTCGTACATTCCAAAAATCCAGCAGCTCGAACCTGGAAAATATCAATTTAACATAATTCTAAACGGCAGCTAACAACAGAGAAAATAATTAGCAGATTATTTAGTTTTAGTTTAGCTGTTTATTTAGTTCTGTTGTTATTTTTTCTTCCACCGAGTAGCCCGCACTTCAGCAAGGCGTTTTTTGCACTTCCACTTTGAAAAGATCTACCAAAATCACCCACCATGTCAAAGTCTTTGGCAAAAAATTAAAGTTGCGCATTTGTATTTTAACCCCGTCATAAATCTGGACAGACTTTTCAGGACCTCGTGGTGGAGCTTGCTCTGTGAGTTATCCAGGCTTCTTGGCGACGTTTGTAAACAAATTAATAAATGAATCTAAAAAACTGTTACCTTCTTTCCTTCAGAGTTGGTAACTTTAGCTCCTCGGCACTTGGCACATACCAGAAAGTTCCTTGAAGAGGTTGCACAGCACTGATCAACTTATCAACAGTAACTTCGCCCAACTTGGATTCCTTGTCGTTACCAGCGATGTTCTTAAGAATTGTTTTAAATGTCTCTACTCTGTTGCACATGTGCAAATACATCAGCCCCTCTTCCTTAGAAGGTTCGTTTTCCACGTGACCGTACGGCATAGAAACGCGAAATACGCGCGGATGGCGCGTAAGCACGTTCACTGGTGGAACATCTTGCACCACATGCACACACGTGATGTGCGCGCGCTTGTCTGTGTGCGGAATGAACGTGTCAGTTCCCGATTTCCTTCCGATCATGTCTTCTTTCTGGATCTAAAAGAGTTAATCAGCATATATAATTAATGTAACGCTTAAGAAAGGTTTTTTTGCAAAGTTCCATTGCATCTGTCGCCTATTAATGCGGAGATCTTCCATAATCTGTTATCTTTGAATAGTTTATTCCACAATTAAATTTTACGCCCGAAATATTAATATTAAGAGAAGGTTTTCCATAAGTTTTGTTATCAAGCCTTAGTAAAGGATGTCCGATCGTATTAAATTATATGTGAGTTTGCGATCAAGTATCAACATAGCGCTCACGGTAGATTCTTAACTCTTAACGGCACTTTAATCAATCAAATTGTGCCCGTACCTTGTCCATTTGTCCCAGCACTGTCCAGTTGAATTCAAACTTCTGTGAAAGAAGATAAGTTGAGCCAGGGTAGCCCGCTACTGCACCTTCGTTCTTTACTATGTAGCTCTTGATGCTCTCAGCATCACAGGGATTCGCCACACCGTCAGTAAACGAGTTTTGGAGAATTCTCTAAAAAGGGAAAAGACAAGTCAAACCGATAGTCCTTTTTTGTGGGATTTTACTGAACCAAAATAGGGGTCGTCCAAGTCAATAGTTAAGCCATAGCGACTGCGTCATCCTTGTCAACTGCTGGCTTTGATCCATGCGTAGATTGTCTGATTCTGGAGTTGCCCTTCCCTCCAGTCCCCTCCCTCCTACCCTTTCCCATCTCACTTCCCTTCTGAGCTAAAAGAATTTTCTACCGACGAAAAAACAGATTGCTTTTCTTCGATTCCTTGAGCTGTTTTCTGGATTCCAAAGCCCATGATTCCAGACATCAAAAGCAAAAAATTCACAGATTCTTGAATCTTGATACTCTTACGTAGGGCAAACATATTATCGTGCTTTAACTGCACTTTACCTTGCTTGGAGGTTGTGATTTTGTTACGTCAAAATTGTCGCCACAAAATTCTTTCATCCTGTCCTTGAGGTAGTCAAGCACCTTCTCCAGTTCGCCTTGCACATCTGATTTGAGGAGGAAGTACACATCTCCACCGGTATCCAAAAACTTCTGCGAATCTTTAACAAGACGTTTTCCTGGATCTCTTAATTCTAGATTTGCCAGCTTAGGGTCATCTTTGTACCACTTACTCCACTGGTTTGGATCAAATCCAACAATTGCTCTTGTGCGGGACTCTAAAAAGAGACAAACCGTTAGATACAACATTAATTTTGACTTATTGGTTCTTAGATAAACAAACTCGTTGTCTCGAAGTAATTGAATCGAACAGATGTCCAGAAGTTCAGAAAGAGGAGCCGCATGCAGTTGTAATCAGGGGTGATGGGCAAAGACCCCTCTAGAAAATAATCATTAGGCTGCGAGCGAGCTGTCCACTTGGCGAAGTCTCGAGAAGTCACGCGAGAGCAGTATACGAAAGGAGACGCGAAGAGACGCGAGTGCGAGGGGCGAGGCTTCGTCGCTTACGCGCGCGTTCTCTCGCGCTCGCTTCGCTTAACATAAATGGAGAGCTTGCTAGGAGGCTTAATAATGATACTCTCCACGCCTCAGCCCTTATTTTATCGGGACAGCCTTCTCTAAAGTCGGTCGCCACTGCTCTTATTTTATCTATTTTTAAGTAGATAAATCTTTTACTTTCTGTAAATATTTCCTCCTTACCGCTTCCACTGCTCTCCTCCAGCTTTAGAGCGTATTTGATCACATCACAGGCTGCAGTCACAATGCCACTATGCGCCTGATCCACATCCAGTCCTTCCTTGTAACGCGCGAGCACAAAAATGCCAAATTTGGGTTTTCCGAAGAATAAACCTCGCTGAGCCTTGTGCAGGACTTCATCCTCTTTGAATTCGTTCTAAAAAAGCATAAACGTGAATGATAACTTCTCTTGTCTTCTATGATTTCGTTCCAAGCAGAGAAAAAACAGGAGCCCATAACTCGGACCGATTTAGTTTTAGACACATTTTATACTTGAGGCCCTCTCAATCAACATTTCGTCTTCAACGGGAAAAAAGAAAATGCTAGAGGCACTATCTTCAACAATTTCATTTTAGAGCAGAAACTCTGAAGGTCTTAAGTGGAGAAAAAAACCGTGGTCTTTTCAGTTCTTCCCAATGTTGAATTGTTTAATTAAGAGATTGGGTGTGGTGATATTCAAAAGACCAGAGTAGTCGAGAAGGCAGACATTAAAGCAATGTATGATGATCGAATTCTACTTCCACAACATGATGTTAGAAGAAGTAGCCATCTGTCCCAACTCCTCCCGTCATTCCTGTTGGAACTTCTAAGGCACAAGTAAAGTTTACACACCGATAGGTAAGCGAGCCTTAGCTCGATCACCAACCTCTGTTCCGGAAATTTAGGTAAGTCTTCCGGCCGCATTTTTTTGGGACTGTACATGTAGCTATGACACGAGGTAATTCTCACGCCGTCTGTCTCTCATTCATTTTCCTTAACAACCTCTGAGACATCAGATGACGGACTCATTCTGAAATAATCCCTCGCAGCGGTTTGTTTTGAACAAATACTATGGCATACCATGCTAAGCTGGGTCTGAACATAAACAATTCTCTGCTTACCTGAGAGCTCATCTTTCTCAATTAGTCAGAGCGAGTCCTCTAAAATAATCGGAAAAGATATATTTCAGTTAAGCCAATATATAAAATCGATTCAAAGGTATAAGTTAGGATGAAAACATTTTCGCTCTCAAACACAATTTAATGCAAATTCTCCATTTGTTTTGCGCAAGATTTACGTTGGTCGTCCGTCTATGCAATCTTTTAATAGAAATAGCAAAAATTACACAAAGCCCGTTGGTACAAAATTCTTCTGACTTAGGTCATGTATCTTGGTAACAATTTTTCAATAAGCGCGCGGTGAAAAAAAAACTTAACGAAAGTCATCAATGACGGACCAGTCAATTTCAAAGATCATGAAAAATTCACTGACTGCAGCTATATTTAATCCCCGAAACGTACGAACTATAGCTAGGGGAATACAAAAGGATTTTGCATTTTCAATTATTTCCATTTATATTAGAATTATGACACATACCACGGCGGTCTTTGATTGGCATTCAGTTCAATGCAGCGAAAAAATTTATATCATAACCTTGTTTTGCTGACTGTTTTAATTTCGAAGAACATTTTGAAAAGAAGACAGTTTAAGCTATGGCTATTTTATAACGGAGAGTTTAAATTCACTTTGTTTATTAAAATTTGATCGACGATAGCCTCCTGCGCAGATCATTCTTATCAGGGGGGGTTACTTCAAAAGCCACTGATTATGAAATCGGTCACAAAAATTGAGTTTGAAGTATAAGCATAGTAATTATAGCCTAAAAAAAAATCAAAACTCTTGTAGTTAAACAGCTTAGCAGCTTCCCTTTTCTGATTTATACACGCTAGCGCTGTCCAAGACTGAATGGATTTTTCAGTGGTAAATAGCTACACAGCCCTGGAGTCTCCCCTGGGAACTTCCCCCCGGGGCCTTTGCGCGTGGTAAGTTTACGCAAGATTTTGCAAAGAAAGTAAAAGATCTGTCATCAATCCATTCCTTGTTGCTCAGTTTAGTAAATTTTAATCCAAGATTTTATAAGCTCGGGCAGTAGCTGACCACAGCTTCTAGGAACGCTGTAATTTGCGAAAATATTTGTTCTTCGACCCTCTGTTAAAAATTCAATGTTCGCTCTTTTGAGGGACAGCAACCTACTTCAAAAAAAAAAGAGAACTTTACGTTCTCTTGACAAAAATAATAAGATTAATAGACAAGAAAAGGAAAGTACTACCAAAGAGGTCACACTTATGAATTCACCGGGGGGAGAGGTATTCCTGGGAATTCGTCGTGGGGGTGTGCCACCCGGTTCTCCAAATCCTGGCCCTATTTCCGGACCAAAAAGTTGTTTTTTTCCACTCCCGTTTCCAGACCTGGCCTCTAAAATTTATACCCGTTCTCATACCTGGCGTAGGCAGAAATTATGTTATCATTATTGAGATTAGAGCACCAGCAAAACGAATTCTTAAAATCTACCTCGACTTCGCATATTACTCTTTCTTTCTTATTCATTAATTTGGAATTGAAACGACAAATACGTTCATGCATTTCCTCGAAAACCATACTTGATTTTAGACCAAAATAGGAAAAGTCTGTACCCGTTTTTAGACCAAAACGGCGTAAAAACCATACCATAAGGGGCAGCACATACTTATAAGGCAAATATAAGGGAGTACCGCCGCCCCGAGATGTATTTTAATATTTGTCCCTAACCACAAAAATTAAAAAAAAAAAAACAACAACCCGCCAGCAGTCCCTTATCTTTACACGTTCTTCTCTAGTGGTGCAAGAGACGTGATATAGGATCGACTTGGAGCTACGATGACGGGAAACGTTCGTTGAAATGGTCACACCTTAGGATTTCATCTACAGAATCGCGAAAATTAGAACCACCTAGAATGTACAGCACAATAGGCCTTACTTCGATTAGTATGGTAATTGGAAGGGAGCTTGTCATTTTGGAGCGTGAAACGGTTCAAGGTTAAAACGGTAAACGGCATGTGTTTCGGCAGCCAGCACCAACCGAGTTTAAAACGAATGCATTTCAGTACAAACAGCTGTTCAAACTTATTGTTAAAATTATTCGTACTTGCAAAACCTCCGTTGTAAAGATTTTAGACAATTTCTGCAGTATGAGCATTTATGACAAGACTGCAGTAATACAAAAGATTAGCACTGGTTTGGACGATAAAAGAATTCAACAGAGAAAGCATACCTTTGGCTTGCAACGAAGACCTCAAAATGTAGACGTGACTAGAGGGAGTTGCCGTCGAGATTAGAATGGTCTGCGAAGCGTTTTTTTTTTTATATCAGCTCTCGGATGAATTAAAGCCAGGTATCACATTTGTCTCCAAGGACTTAACGAGGTGATGAGAACATAGCTTAAGGATTGATATAAAACAAAGGAAAAATTCTGACGAACATTCATATTCTCCTATACTTTGTTATTTTCCTGTGTTTGCCACCTAAAGCAGTGAATTATTATATTAGTACAGATTTTCAAATTCTTTTTGTTTTCTTTTTTTCTCATAAAATATAATATATGCCCGTGGTTGTCTTGAGTTCACGCAGCTGAAAAATCTAAAATCCGTGAACGCATCGAAACATCGCAGCTTGAGATCAAGTGTTTGACACCTTAAATCCTAGAACAATGTCTGAAATTCATAAAAAAATGTTTTTTCCTCGTTTTGGATCCAATCCATCGAACGTTGTCACCATAGTGTTTTGTCAATTTTTATTATTGAAAACATTTTAGTTTTGCAGGGGACTTAATTTTATTACTTCGTATTAACATAAATCTAGATCAGCCCCCATAGTAGAGTAGGCGTGTTCTTGCGGGCTTTGATTGATAGCCATTGGTAAAATACACCTAGGATGTAAAAATACTGCAATTTGCCTGATAATCACAAGATTTTAATGACCAATCAAGTAGCGACAAGGTTTTCTAATTTTAATTCTAAATAGCTCAGATATCCACGCATTTTATGGTCTTTTATAGCATAATAGCAAGCAAGATTATTCATGCGATATCTACTAAAATAATGGCAGTTACAACTTTGCTAGCCTGTTCCATGCGTTAAGACAGTAAGGCGCGGGCGAAAATTTGACGAGGAAAAATACAAGCTGCGACTAGGGAGGGAAAAGGGGAGGGAACCTCTCGCCCCAGTCTCCCTTCGTTTTTCTCTTTTTTTTCTCCGCGTACGATTTAAGTCGCCCCCCGCCATCTGAACTTCGCGTTTTACTATATGAACGCCTGAAACAGGCTACTCCCACGGACAGTCCTCTCGTTATTCTGTTTCTTGTAACCTTTTAGATGTTTTGACTTTAGATTTAGGTAATTGTTTTAATCAGGTTTCTTCAGGTGTATTAAGCGCGTTCAATTGTTTTGTTGTAGACTGTCAGATCTTCTACTAGTGTATGGTGTGTGGTGGTTTAGAGAGGCCCTTAAGTCCTTTTAAAAGAAAAGTCTTGGTGAGGTGCGCATCCTTTCACAGAAAAACACTAGAGCTCTATTCACATGCCAAGTTCAGTTCATTTTCTATGAATGGTTGTGCACCGAGTCTTGATCGTTTTGATAAAAAGGTTCGGCAAGTCGAAAACGTATACTTAGCTACTTCCTAGCAAGACTTTATAAGAAATCACCGGCTTTTTCTTTATGCAAATCCAGATCAGCGTGGGGAAGCTAACGTCGCTGATGCCCCGGTATGGAAGCGCTTTTTATGTTTTGAGAAAACTGCTGTGAAAACCAATTGTTTTTGTCCAAAAATTCAGTTAAACTCCTAAGGGAGGGATCCGGAATTCTGGGATTTGGAATGTGGAATTCAGCTCAAGGAAATCTGAATACCGCTTACGAATGGAATCCGGAATCCAATTTCCACTAACAACGAAACCGGAATATAGTTTCTGGAATCGGAAATCCACAGCCTGAAATCCAGAATCCAAGACTGTCTTGGATTCCCAGTTTTAGGGTGAAGAGCTATAGTAATCCATCGGGATAAAGACTTTTTAACTGAACCTATGGGTATAATGTGCTCTTAAACGTGTACTTAGTTTTCTAGAACAATCCTCTTTTTAGCATAAAGCAAGCAATGGCCATAAAATTTCAGATAGGTTTAGAGAATCGGCAAAAGACGAATTATATATTTTTAGCTGAACTAAGCTGGTCTGCGATAAAACTGTTACATTTAAGCTTAGTATGGGAGTGGCTCCTGTTGGTCATATGCTCCTGAGTGGGAGTTTGCAAAAGAAGTTCCTGTGGTCTCAAAGTTCCTTCCGACATTTCGTATTGAGACATTCCGGTTGCAAGGATCACGGCCGTTGGATCCAGATGGTCACTGTAGCAGCAACCGTTGTGAAGACAAAAATAATCAGCAGGATTCTATCCGTCGCCTCTGCGATCTCTTTCCATGAGTTCTTCCACTCGTTTTGTACTTTGTTTTCCTTTATGTCTTGGGCCTGAAGTTCCAGCGCGGAATCCCTCAATGAGTTGTCACTGGGTTTCTTAATTTCCAGTGCATGTTTTCCTTCTACCAGTGGCATCACTGGCTTATCTGAAACCTCTAAGTGCACAGTCTTACCACTCGGTTTCTTCCCTTGCCGTCTAAGGATGTTCTTGGCAAACTTCACGAGACATTTAGGGGGTTTACTTTCAGCAAAGTGGCATCTTAACACTACAACAGTGCCGACCAGGCTGAAGGCGACTAGGACTATGGTCACCATATAATACACTCCTAACATCGCAACATCGTCGGAAGTTTCAGGCAGAGAGTTGGCCAAGATGAGCAAGTAAACGCTCATAGAAAGCAAAATGGTGATGCAAAAACTAATTCTTTCTCCACTGTCAGGCGGAATAATGAAGTTAAGAACGACCAGCATAACCATAACAACACATGGCAGTATTTGATATAGTACATGATAAAGTGACTTCCGTTCAAAGTGGAGAGTGTAAGTTACGACGGAGTAGGGGTGTTTGCAGCATTCATACGTCTTGTCAACGGTTTTGATTGATGAGTGTACCAATTTCCAATCTCCGCTTTCAACGAACTTGTCTGAAAAGAAAAAAGTGACATAAATAGCCTGTGAACGACTCTCTGTTTGGCGGAAGGGGGCAAAAAATCGCGAGACAGCGAGGGGAAAAATGGAAGGGGTGAAATTGTGGAAGTTAGACACCTCCTAGGCCCTCGCCCAGCTCACCTCGTTCGCCGATTTCTCACCCTTATTTCCCACCAAACACCTAGGAACTTGATCCAGGCCACTAAGGGGCCGACCATTTAACTCTTGAGGGGGGGGGTGATTTCTGGTCATCAAGAATTTTTTTTCTAGCAATCTGGTGGGCAGGATCTTTTTTTCCCTTTTTTTCCCATAAGCTTTCTATCACATTTGTGCTGCATGCAATTTTTTTCTTCCGACAAGCGCTTGCAGGAAATTTGTTTCAAAATCAGCCACCCCCCTCAAGAGTTAAATGGTCGGCCCCTAAGAAACAACCTCTTTCCTTGTTATCAAGTTGTTAATGGCATGTTTTTTATTTGTGGGAGAGGGTTATACGGGATGGGAATGCTCACATTAGATTTCCTAAAATGGACCTTAAATGACGGTTTTACAATTAAACTCTCTGTTTATCTGATAAACGTTCTACAGTTAGTAAGTAGTATCTAGTACATTGACATGTCTTGCACCGGTTGTTCAAACGTTGGATAGCGTTAACCACCGTATGAATCGCTATCCAGTGGATAAGTATTAGGAAATCAATTGCGTAATTATCCAGTGGTTAGCGTTATCTACCTTTCGAACAACTGGGCCCAGTAAGCTAGTACACTAACCCGGGGGTACTCGCAGAAAAATTGGGTAGGGGTGTGCGGCCCGCTTCCCAAAACCCTTACCCTATTTATGACCAAAATCTGCGATTTTCCCTACCCTATTTATGACGTAACCAAAAATTTGATAGCCTATTTATGACCTGGAACATAATTTGTGAAGGGCTTTTGTTGCTTGTTGCTTGTATTTTCTAGCCTACAAAGCAGCCGGTGGAGAGGAAGGCACAGCGCGGATGGAAGGAGGGGGACATGATAAGGAAGTAGCTTCTTCTAAAAAAGTGCATTCAAGACTACAGTGCAAAAATCGTTACCCTATTTATGACCAAAATGGCGGTTAAATAGCCAAAATCGATACCCAATTTATGACCAAAACGGCTGAAAAACCCTACCCTCTGGGGCCGCACATACCTATATAGCCCATATTAGGGAGTACCCCCCCGGGTACACTAACATCTATCTGTACATCAAAATCAACACAAGTTTCTTTTCATTCCAACCTGATGTCGAATGACTGTCGTCCTTGTTCATCATTTTAAGCAACCTGTTGTCAAATGTCAACGAACCAAAAGTCAGATGACAGGTTTGTCTATCAAAGGGGTAGAATCTGATCACCATATCACAGGAGCTTTTGAAAGAAGCCGGAGACATCCACATATTCACGCCACTGCTGTCCACGATCACGTACGTCTTGAACTTCTCTTTGAAGCCTGCAAGAGTCACGTCCTCGTCTGCGCTGAGAAATAAGAAAAGGAGAAGATGTTGGGAGAATCAGAGAAACGATGATGAAGTAGACTGTGAACAGTCTCTCACTTTTTTTGAGATCTAGAGCAACATGAGGCGCAGGCTGCGAAGCCCCAAGGAACAAGCTGGGCGGAAAATCGACCGAGGCCCAACCTCTCCTCTCTCCTCGTTTTTACCATTAATTTGCATAATTTTACTTTTTCGCTCTCCGTGCGTGGCTGAGGAAAGAAGGGCGACCGCTGGCGGTCTAATGATAAAGGAGACGTATGTAGTTCTTACTTGTTATAAAGCACAACATCCGGGACCCATAGCTCATTAGGTGATATGTGCAGTGTATGTATACCGTCATATTCGGTTTCATTCCAGCTCAAGTAGGGATTCTTCCACACCTGTGATGAGAACATACATCTTAAGATTCAGATATTTGTCCTTAGCCACACGCAAGACTGGCAGGTCCTTCATCCTCTCTTACCACACATTAGCGCTAGTTTAAACGCTTAAGCGATCCAACAGGAGGTTTATGAAGAGTTGAACCTCTCTTGGTTGTGATTGATCATGTTGGATCTCTACAGAATATCAGCTCGTTCAGATAGACCAATTAAAATCCTGAACTGATGAATAGTATTGTCACGTGACAAAAAATGAATTACTACTCCACCAATGAAAGTTAGGAGACCACATACCTCTTGGAATAAGCTTTTTGATAAAAAAAAAAGATAAGTAAATCGACAGCAGCGTTGTAGACTTAAGCTTTAAAGTTCTTGGCTTAGAAGGAGCTCTCCACAGACTAAATTCAACTCGATACTTGTCAGCTTAAGAGACCTACAAGCGCGCAGAGGGGCCGGGATGTGAGGCGTCTGCAGGGAAAGTGACATGGATACATAAAAACATCGATCGAGCATACCTGAATGATCCACGTATCTGCAATGAGAACCTGTACTTTAGTGTCCTGGTAAAAAGCAAAGTCAGGCTTTAAGAAGTCGATTTATAAATTGAGAATTCTAGTAGACGCGTTATTAGTACAGTGGCGCGTCTCTCCACCGAAAGGGTGGCAGCGGAGAGAATATGTCTACTACAACCACCATGATAATGGGCGAGGCTGAAAAAAGTATCTTTTATATACCAGTAAAGACAAATAATTTGACCGAGAGATTGACAAATTGTGATATTTTGCCAACCGTGTGTTTAATCTAGTTGTTTTATCATCCAGTCGGTTTGCATGTTTTTAACAAGACACTTTTCTAGAATCCGTTGTTTCAGGCCTCCTTTGGGGACTCGGACAAAACTGCGCACGAAAATAACGGCGTTTTTTCTACTTAATGGTGACGTAATGATCTCTAGCCTGCATGACAGGCGCTTTACGAGCCAAGCGAGGCGAACGCGGCATTTTGCGCGGAGCGCGAGACGCAAACTGCCCCGTTCGCCTCCCTTGGCTCAGAAAGCGCCTGTTATACAGGCTAAATGATCTCTAGGCCAATAGAAAACTTTGGTAAAAGAATTGAAGAAAAAAAAAACACAGGTATTAGCCTTGACTTACCAGGGAAACTACTCTTGACATTCTGTAAGAGAAGGAGACATTAACAGTTTCGTCAGGGTGGAGCACGGGTCGGACGTCATCGTGGTATTTGCCTAGGAGGTCGTGGCGTAATCTTTGCTCAGGGGTCCCGAGGGTAGCTGTTACGGTATCTGAGAAAAACAAGTTAATTAAGCAAAAAGTCTGTTAGTCTCCCACGGAGCTATTTCTTGTGACGTCATGTGTTACTTGACGACAAAGAGATGCTGCGTCGGGACACTAATCAGTCTATATTGCTAATTTCGAAAAGGAATTCTTGAATACTGGCCAACCTCGTTCCCAGGGTACTCTCCAACTCGTTCTCCGGAGCGAGAGATAGGAACCTGGGAACAAGAGTTTGAAGTATGACGGTTGAAATGAAGATATCAAGTTGGGGCTCTTTCAGGATGGCTGCCTTAGTCAAAAACAGGAACTGTTGCTGCATGCATCGAGCACATCATCTAAATAAAACCTTAGCCAAGATATTTAAAAATCAACTTAGGATTCAAAATTCGTGCTTGAAGACGTACCACTTGAAGCGGATGATATCTCAGATATATCCTTATAAATTCTTCTAGCCTGTGAAAAGACGTCCCCTCCGCTAAACAAAAAAAAAATCGAACGGATGGAGACGTCTGTGAATAGCCGTCTTTAATTGTGTTTCGGTATACATTCCCATAAATTGTTTCAGTGTTTTTGTTTTTCTCTCTCCCAGATTTTTTCTGAGGGGAGGGGAGCGTCTGTAAGCTAAAGTCTTCTTTTCATTTTCCCTTTCGTTTATTTCCCTTCCGTTCCTTTCTCCATTTTAACATGCGAAGAATATTACCCACTTATTCTTATTCGAATTCCATCTATATAATCTGAAGAAACTTTGTTGTTCGTGCTGTTTTCGCTGCTTTCCAAATCCGATTTTGCTGGTCGACAATAGTAATAGGCTTTAGCGTCGACCTGTGGGAAGACAAGTTTTAATGCTTTAAATTTTAACACGTACACATTTGCATGCAGCACGACACAACCTCTGTAGCCTGCATAGAAGCGTTTCCGCGCGATTAGCTCGCCCCGGGTAGCTCGCTAAGATCGTTTTTCTACAACTCAGTAACTATTTGCCGTACGGTCAGTGATATTTGCGGTCAAACAGGTTAACAATAATAGAAGGACAATTTTAATTATTTCTTTTTCTAAACTAATAGCCATCAGGAACTATAAATATAAAGATTGTTGACAAAAATAACAAAATAGCCAACACGAAAAGCTGGACTGGACTCGGCTCGTACCGATCTGAGCTCACGCCGCCGGGTTGGGGGGTGGGGTTGGCGGTTCAGCCTTATCAAACATTCGTCAGAAAAAAAAACATTGTTCTAATGAAGCTCACTCTTGATTGTTTTTGGATCGTCTTATTAACCGCAAAAGTAAATTATTCAGTCAATTTGATTCAAATCGACCGTGACCAGCGGCTTGTCTTCAAACGTCTCCGACAGGTCAAATATTACCAGATATACGCGATGTAACAGCATAGTATTTAAAACAGTTTTACCTCCAAAGTTATAGTGGTAGCGTAGGAACAAGACCCTTTTCGCTAGTTAAAACCACAAACACCATGAGCTTTATGAGACGTTCCGTAAAGAAAATGGACAAAATCGATGAAGAGACGGAAGCGATTTCAAATTCTGGATTGAAAGAAACATCTGGCCACCTAGACGATGATTTCAGCGAGAACGATATATTATACACAATAGAAATGCTTCAAGCTGAGCTTCATGATGTAGTCGGAGACGTAAGAGAATTGAAGAAAAATATTCAGGTCATCGAAAAGGACACCGAGTCTATAAGGCAGCGGCTTCATGAATGTTCAAAGTTTGTTGAACTTGACGTGGAGAAAGATCAAGATAATTGTTGATTCATCGCCGTGGTTTGTGTACGGAAACGGAGCAGCACAGGCCAGCCGATCAATATTTTTCGATGTTTGCGTATTTGACGAAGCAAGAAATACTGACAATCGAGAGAAAAATCTGGCATAAACTCGAGAACAGAACTCAATGCTGATGATTTTTGACTCATAATATATTGAGCGCCTTGAGCTGTGAATAAACGGACGGGTTTTTACAAAGTAAGAAATATACTTAAAATATAAATTGACGTTTTCAAGGGACCCGTGTTTTCGCTTTTGTGTCACGATATGATGTCAAATTTTTCTTTAGAATTCTATTTATTTTGAGATGCTCTTTCCAGCAGTATTGATGACTCAATGGTTAAATCGTAAAACCTCCATGAAAATTCGTAAAAAATTAAAGCTGCTCCTATCCATTAAGAAGGCCAAAGACATTAGACAGTGCCTAGGATTAAAGACATTGTACTTAACGTTTTGAAGAGATATTGGAAGCTATTTTGACGCACATCGTAAACTAACAAAGGAGAAAAAGAAATGAAGATTATTATTCATCAATTTGCATAACTAACTAAGAACTGAGTGTATAAAGCTTCTTTCCATTGTGAAAAAAAATTATAAAGAAGTGAATATTGTCTGCGAAGACTGAATTGTTTACAGTAAAAATATCACTTAATGATTAATAAAATTTGCATAAAAGTCGAACGAATTCACAATTATGGCTCTTTTCCTGGCTTTATCTTAAAAAATATTTTTCGACTTCCGTGAAATATGCATATCCAGTCGATCGATTTTGTCTCGTAGTAGAGACTGATCACGTTTCTAATTTGAAAATGGTGGTTTTCGAAATGACCTCGATCACTGTCAGGAGGCGGGACTGAGTTGTCCCGGGCTTTCCCAGTGGGAAAGGGAATGATTTTATTGGCCGGTACCTTAGGGAAAGTTCATTTAATATGACAAGGGGGGCGGATGAAGATATTGAAACTCGAAGCTTGAAATTTTAGCAGCCCCCTCGCTAGCGGTTCAATTTTTTAGGAGCCCCCTCCTTGGTAGTCGAAAAAATTTCAGAGCCCCCCCCCTCCTCCTTCAATTCCTTTGCTCCCCTGAAAAAAGATCACTAGACTGTATTAAATATATTTACCGTTATTGTCTTCAATGGTTTATACTATAACAAACTTGAGATACAGTTGTGATACAATTTTCTAAAGCATTTTTAGGATGAACAAGAGTGTAATAATTACTGAGACTACATTTGTTATATCTGTAAACCACGTGATATAGCTGAGTTGCACAGGTCATTAAATTGTTGAGTTGAAAACCATCCGATCTGTATGATGATGTCATGTGTTGGTTTTGAAGTATACAAATTTTCTGAGCCCCCCTCCTAGCGCAACAATTTTTTCAGAGCCCCCCTTCGGGTGTCTAAAAATTTTCGGAGCCCCCCCCTCAATATCTTCATCCCCCCCTTGTCATATTAAATGAACTTTCCCTTATTGGCCTGCAGACTGATTTGAAGATCGCTGAAGACCATCGAACAGTCATTCTGTCTCCCTCAGACTAAGTACCAGCCTGTGCCAGCCCCCATCACCTCAAACAAAATCGGGTTCAAGAGAAGGGGGTGGCTGTACACAGGCTAGTCAGTAAGGGTGAGTAGAGTGCGGGGCTAAATAGGCTAGCTTAATGCGTCTGCTGTTCGAAGGCTAGCTGATTGATTACTCTAGAAGCCATTTTATCAGCTCACCCCTCCCCTAGAGCGTGGTTGTAAAACGTCCGTTCCATAACACCTTGCGCACCATGCCTTGTCCGGAAGATGGGCGTCAGCCTACTAACGACCTCCTCCCAAATACATTGAAAGCACTTTTTAAACTATACAGAGTACTTTTAGATCTAGCGGCATAAACTTTGTACCTGTCCGGTCATCTTAGGAGAACTTGAAGTAAAATGTGAAACATTAAGCTTCAGATAATCGTAGGGAACTTAGATAATTTCCGAAAATTATACGTGAAAGGAAATATTAGCCTTCCTCAAGTAACAGAAAATTAGGCAATACTTGCTTCTCCGAACAGATATTTTACAGAAAACAGTCGTTGGGTGCTCATGAGTTTAGCAGTTTCATGAGAACTGAGATTCACTGAATCTCAATTACTGAATGTCTCTTGCATAATCAGACTACAAATACCTGAAATACTGATTGTGATAGTGTGCATGATATTATTTATATCGACTTGTAAACGTGATAAAATCGTTCAGGGCTGATCGTTTCGCGTATCGATTTGAAAAAGTAGCATCGCTGGTAACCTCCCAGCACCCAGGCGTTCTTTTGGCTCGTTACGTTGGACCTAAGAACGTCTACGTGAGAGGCTACATAGCTGGAAAAGCCTCCCTGAACACAGTAAAGGTAAGAGCTGATCAACCTTTTAAGCCCCAATATCAACATACAAATTCTCCTGTCCGATCTCCATACTGACCATACATTTCCTTCAGGAATTAGTTAAGAGAATTTGATAAAAGATCAAAGCATTTCCCCTTCGGTAATTATTATATTAATTCTCATAACCCTTTCTCTTTGTGATGTGCTGATATTATTAGGAGAAAACTGATGTTGATCACTCTTGGGACCGATAGCTTGCTGTCAGAGATTTGCAAACGAGATTTATTTCACAGGGATTTCACGCTGGGAGATCATACCACCTGCTATGATGTGGGCAAAAGTCATTAGTTTAAGTAATGAAGTGATGAACAACTTAAAATTACAATGCATTCAAAGTCAATAACTGTATTTGATGCATTCTTGATTGAGGGTCCGTGTCACGTTGGATAGTTTTAAGGCCATTAGTATTACAAAGGGTCTCTGAAATAGCGAAACTGTCTTTATTCACTAATACTACGGCAGGGACTAGGTTTTGTTCATCGCAAACTCTGTCTAAACTTTAACATAAACGAAGTGCGTGCCATTGGAAACTCAGTGCTTGATTATACTTCCTTCCCCAAATGAACTTGGTTAGTTTTATATATTCAATAAAGTGAAAATTAAGAAAACAATTATGAAATGAAACGCATCATCAGTTGTCAAACCAGTCATCACGGAAAAGTATTTTATAAACTTATCCCAATGTTGTTT